GGCCATGGCAGAGATGGTCGAGATGGAGCAGCAGGAGCACGAGGACAATCAGGTCTGCGGGGGGAACCAGGCGAGCCAGGAGTACCTGGCCGAGATGGGGCACCGCGGCAGGAGCAGCAGGACCAAGAGAAAGATTAATAATAATCTCTGGGTGAATTCTTTCGTTCACAGACTTTCGAGGAGCCCAACATCCATCGATCTGGAGTGAGTCGGCGTACAGATGTGCCTATTGGTGGCGTCATCTCACTTTCAACATTAGCTATCTCTGCTGAGCGAGAACATGTCTAATGCGTACCAAAATATGTTGAATTCTTTCAATTCTAGTCGTCGTTACTCCGCAGCAGATCATGATACCCTTCTGATTCTGACGTGTACTCAGACCAACTATTCATCAAGACCTTTCCCGCTTTCCAGCTCTTATTTTCCCCGAAAATAGTCGATACCGATAAATCGACTCTTCTCATCGGTCGGAGGGTGGGTGAAGCTTTCGGGGGGCGTTCTATGTAGTTGGGTGCTCATAGTAGAGCGATTATAGAGGTAATGCCAGAATGACTACTTCCAGCAGATGGTAATGCTTGAAGACCAGATAATGACGGTTTTGTGATTGGGGTCTGAGGCGCGTGGAAATGTTAGGCTCAAGTGGAACTAATGGCAAACTTTGCATTCGTGGAACGAAGCAAGATTATGATGACTGGAATATACCAGGTTGGAGCAGAGAGGAAGTATTTGGCTACATGAAGAAGGCCGAGAATTTTCATGATAAGAAATGGTTCAAAGCAGACGAGCAGAACCATGGCTACGATGGACTACTGAATGTAGGGTCCTATGATTCGGTAGATGCGTCCTCCAATCGAGATGTTGGAACTTGTTGCTTATGAATACCACAGGCACCGATATCGAACATGATCCTAGAATCGATGGAGGACCTGGGATTAAGAAAACAGCCGTATATGTTCACCACTGGAGATAATCCACATGGATGTGGACACGTACCCAGAACAGTGTACAAGGGAGACAGAACTACTGCGGATGGTTACTTCGTGAACAAGGGCCCAAACCTGGCGGTCAAGACTGAGACCACGGTCGACAAAGTCATCCTCGAAGGCGAAGGCGAAGGTGACAAACTCAAAGCTGTTGCAGTCAAAGTTATCGAGAAAGATGGCTCGATGAGAGAAATCAAGGCCACGAAAGAGATTATCGTCATGAAAGACTCAAGGCCGAACCACTTTGGAACTCAGCCCTTCGAAAGGAAGGCCGTGACCCCATGGGTCTCACATCTGCACAACTAAATATCGAGTTCTTCAGCACAGAGTGTTATGGCGGCCTAAAACAATTCACAGACTTCTTAGATGGAGAAAACTCCCACGCTTTCTCGCTCATCGCCGAATTATTCGCGCCAAAATCTCGAGGTAGTGTCACGCTCAAGTCGGCTGATCCGAAAGACAACCCTATTGTGTACCACAATTATCTTTCAGAGGAGTTGGACGTTGTTGTGCTCAGTGAAGCTTGCAAATTTGCCAATGAGATTATCACCCAAGGTAAGGGCACCAGGGACATTGTCGACGGCAGTTGGCCTGCAGCTTTGACTCACCACAAGAACACCGAGAGAGAGGATTGGGTTCCCTTCGTCAGGGACAATGCGACCACGTGTTACCACCCTGCCGGAACAGCCAAAATGGGTACCGATTTTGATCCCATGGCTGTCCTTGATAGCGAGTTGAGGGTACGAGGAGTGAAGGGCCTTCGCGTTGCCGATACCAGTGTGATGCCATTGCTTAACCAAGGCCACACTCAAATGCCCGCTTACGCAATTGGTGAGAAGGCTGCGGACTTGATCAAAGGCAAATCTTTGGGGATGAGCAGTCTCACAGAGAAAATCGGCAGTAATACGCTGTCTCAAGCTCAAAACAACAACTCGAACGGAACATTGGTGTTGAATTAGGGAAATTTATGACAAAGGATATGTCGTTCAGAAATTTATCGGATCATTGGAATCGTAGAGTATGGATCTATTCCTACTTGGGGTACTTGAACTTATAATGCCACCCTCTTACGCATGAATTGAACAACTTGTGCCTTGGACTTAGTCTGAGTTGCGAAGACGCGAAAGAAAGATTTCTGTGAGATTGATTTGGGCCAATTAGGAAGGTGGGGCGGCAACCTCAGCACGTGGCCATCACTATAGGACATGACATGACGGTCACTAGCAATTAGAAATTGTCCGATGGGTTTATGTATAAGTATGATAGGAAATTCCCACTTTAAATTTTGCAATTGTTTGCCTTTTCATTCTAGTGAAGGATTTCTATCATGTTAATCAAATACGCCCAAGCAGTCTCTTGCCTTGCAGTCACGTGCGCAGCAGAATGGGTTCCACGTCCAACGTCTGCGCCAGAAACATTCCCATCGGCTTATATCAAGTACTCGACTGTCCTTGGATTGTTCCTTCAAGACGACAACGCTACGGTTCCAGGGACATTTGATTATGTGAGCGATGTCTTATTTAGAAAGATAAGGGGAAATCAACTAATTTACATGACAGACAGCCACAAATTTTGGATTGATCAATCGTACCTACCCTACCGACACTGAGTGTGATAACTCTTTCACCCAATGGCAAAAATTCGAGCACTATGTCGATACTCTAAATATCAGGAGTGGTAAAAACGTCAATTACAAAGTCCTTTTCTTGGGTCGCCACGGTGAGGGGTATCACAATGTTGCAGAATCTTATTATGGAACGCCAGCATGGAACGTATGTTTTGCTTACGTAAATATTCAACCATTATATTATACTGATGACTACAACAGTGCTACTGGTCTATTCGTGACGGGAACGGCACCATAGTTTGGGCTGATGCAAAGATCACACTGAACGGAGTAGCACAAGCACAAAAAGCTGCAGATTTCTGGGCCTCTCGTATCAAGCTACAGAAGATCCCAGTTCCTCAAAGCTACTATGTATCTCCTCTCACTCGCTGTCTGCAAACGGCCAACGTCACGTTCTCGCAGCTACCCTTGTCTCCTTTACACCCCTTCATCCCCACTGTCAAAGAACTGTTCCGGGAAGGAATCAGTGGTCACACGTGTGATAGAAGAGGAAATAAGACGTATATCCACAACGCCTTCCCCCTGTACAAGATCGAGGCTGGCTTTTCGGAGGAAGATTTACTTTTCAAACCGCTTGAGGGCGAGGTACCCACGGATCAGGATATCAGAAGCAAGACGGTTCTGGATGATGTGTTTGGGAGTGACGGCCACACTTGGCTCTCAGTTACCAGCCATTCTGGGGAAATTGCTAGTATCTTGAGAGGTACTTACCCTCTGCCCTTGAAATTGAAATAGCTACTAATAGTGGAATAGTGCTTGGCCATCGAATATTCAGTCTTAACACTGGAGCAGTGATTCCGGTCTTGGTTAAGGCGGAGACGGTTTCAGGGACTCCTGTTTCGACGGCCACGGTGCCGTATACCACGATGTCAACTTGTAGCACGCAGCCACCTCTTCCTATAGCTACTTCCTGATAACTCGCAGATTGGAAGTGGAAATCATGGTGGATTTGTGAGACACAATGCTAAAATGAACAAAACACAACTCCACCGGGCCCTGTCTCCGTGTTGGAATATCAACCTTGAAGTTGTTCGTTTCGCGCTCAGAAGATATCCACAAATGAGAGTATGTACCGTATTATGAGTAATGAACATTGTGCAGCGAAACTTGAGAATCTGTAGATAACCTAGCTTGGAACTTCCCCAAACGGCAGCTTGTGGACCGAGCCGAGACTACAGTAGTACTCGAGTATCTCCCGCCAAAAGTCAGCTCGGAGATTTCAGCCTCGCCCAGCCTTGCGTTTGTCATGACATCACCACATCTTCCTCATATACATAACAAAAGCACACCTGCAGTCACCGTCTCTCTCTAAGAGCCTCAACTCCCTATAAGAGATCCTCAATTCCTACATTCCCAAAAAGAAATACAACAGAATGGCGTCTAACAACAACCCCTCGATGATCTCCGGACACGCACAATACGCAAAAGGCTACGCCGAAGAGACGATTGGCAATGTAACGGGTAGCAAGGAATGGCAGGAGAGCGGGAAGCAAGATGCAAAGGCTGGCATTGATGAAATGAAGGTACTACCTTTCCTTCTCAACCCAAAAGCCTAGAAATGCATATATTATATAAATATATCCAAGGAATCGAACAGAACTGATGAGAAAATGCATAGAGTGCGAGCCAAAACAAGAGCAGTGAGCCAGCAGCAAGTGGCATCGGTGGCAAAGTCGAGGAATTAGCTGGCAAGGCGACCGGATGCGAGGGTATGGAGAAGGAGGGTGCTGAGAGACAGGCGAAGACATGAATGAGCCAGGCCCCCCTCTCAACATTGCTAGATGTTATAGTAGATTGACATGTAAAAGAGCAATGCGACGAAGGAAAGGACACGCAAAGAGATTATGTATCATCCATCATTCATTCATTACATACAAATATCCCAACCCAGTGGGATATAAGATATTGTACAAGCCATCCATCCATGCCTTGAACCAAAGTTACCAAACGCCGTATGCACAATCCGCTCATCCATGCAAATACATCCGATATCCCTTTGAAAGTCAAATCCCACAGAACCTTACTCGCTCGCCTTTAATAGCGTCCTTAAAGTTAGAATTTCCCTCCTCAATCTCGCGTTCTCTTTCTTCGTCTTCGCGGCATCCTCGCTATATTCCTTGACTTTGACAATCAACTCTTCTTTATCTTCTTTTCCCTTTCCCCTCAAAGCCTTAACGATCTTCCCTAACTCGCCATTCATTTTCTCGTACAGTAGTTCGTTCTCCGCACTGCTCTCCTTATACAGTTGGTCCAGGCCTTTGACTTTGAGCTCCGATGCTTGCAAGCTCTTCTCGAGATCTTGCTTAATCGTATCATTCTTGCTCGTCAAGTCCCTAACTACTTCAGGGATCTTGACTTCGAGATTTGAGACTGTCGAGGTGAGTTTATCTAGGTCGTCAGAGCGACCAGAGGAGCCGGAATTGAGTTTAGCCATTTCTTCGCCGATTTTCGAGAGTTCTTTTTGTAGAGAAGCTTCAGCCTCGTTGATTGCCTTAGATTCGTTTTGAAGACGTTCCCGCAGCTTCTGAGGACTTTGCAAGCGCAACTTCTGTGGTGAGGATTTTCCTGGACTGGATGTTGGACGTGATGTTGAGGCGCCACGCGAATGAGGCGAGCCGTGGAGTGTTGGAATGTTGGAGGAAAGCGAGACAGTTTTGGAATGAGCTTTTCCAGTCCATAAATCCTTCACTACGACAGTATCAGACGAGGACATGATATTTTGAGGTCGCTCTGTCAGACTTCCAATATTTCTTGAGTTGAGTGGAATATTCTCCTTCTGATTCGGAGAGCCAGTGCGGAACAGTGGGGATTTCTTGTCTGCTACTGGGATCTTGGTGGGTGATGGGGTACGCGGGGGAGTGTTGAAATGGAGCCCCTTCGGAGGTGGAGGCGGAGCTGGTGAGATATTCCCTAACGTTGCAGCTGCCATTAAGGCCTTGAGATCTGACAAAGAGCTTCTTCTGCTTTTCTTGAGGGACTTCACAGAATCGATATTCTCGGGCGGAGGCGAAGCCCCAATAGTACTCAATCTTCCTGGTTGTCCATGCGAACTTGAAGGCCTATCATCAAACAACCCTTGAATAGCGGGTCTATCGCGAGAGACTGGTCGCCTGCCTGGAGATTCAATCGACCTCGACCGATTCAGAGATCCCTTGGAAATGCTAGAAGATGGAACAGGCTCCCCAGTAGCGACATGACGATTTGTCTTGCTCAACGTTCTCCAGACAGAGGAACGATCAGCGTCAGTCTTGCTATTTTGTCTGAGCAGTGTATCGGCAAATCTGCGTCGGAAAGAAGAGGTGTTCGATGTCAACGATGCAGTTGCTGAGTGGTTAGACCGGCCCCCAGAAATGGAGCCATACGCAGAATTACTACCAAAGCCAGTGATAGAACCAGGGCCGATGTCTTCAAATAGACGATCTGCATCCTCTACCATACGATCCAACAAGTTGATGTAGTCGTGAGGCTCTCCATCCGTAACCAACAATTCTGCAAATGCAACTGTTAAAGCACCTCTGTCGCCGTCATTGCCACAACCATCCAACAGATCGGCTAGCAGCTTGATTATTGCGATAAAAGCTCGTCGGTTTTGTGGTGCCATCTCACCGAATACTATTCTCACATAGTCGGCAAAATCTCCTGGGTATTGATTTAAAGACCTTTCCTGCAAGGCATCCAGAGTTTGCAGAGACATGACTTGACCCATCTGGTCCTTCCAAGCCATTCTCAAGTACTTTTCAAATGCTACGAATAGAACATCAACAGTGACTTCCGAAGATGCTCTGTTGTCAAAAGGATTTTCAATAAAGGTGTTGTAAATGGCATTGATGGCAAGCTCATCCGCATTTTTTCGGCTTCGAAGTACTCTCCCGACAATGTTCCCCTTGCGAACCTGTAGAGCAGCAACGTAGGCTGTGAACGTTTCCTCTAAGCGAACGAGTGGATTATCAGGTCGAGTTTCATCAACTGCAGCCCTAACGCTACCTTTACCGTCAAAGTCAACCGATTGGGAATATTTGTGGCTGCCTGTTCTCGACACTGGCGAAGCTTGCATTGGGGGAATAAAGGCCATAACAGGAGTTCGTGGATGCTTGTTCGGAGTTGTGTAGGAGGATCCAGAGTCTTTAAAAGATGAGACTGAGCTATTGAAGCCCCCGCTTAAGAAGCTCGAAAGCATCTTGACAGGTGATGGCGACCGTATGCTCTTCATCTTGTCACCCTCAGCCACTACGCAAAGCGACTTGAGAATCTTAGAGTGGAATGATGAGAATGATCCGCTTAGAGCGGGGTTGCTCAGATTGTATTGGGATCGAAGCAAGTCCACAGCTGCGCAGTTTGTCAGTTATTTCTCTATTTTTTTTTGAGTGATGTGCAATTACTTCTCTTTGCAAAGGTGGGAAGAAAATGCTCTGTGACCACTTCATCTACAAAAACCCTATCGTGGAGTCCGTCTACCTCGAGCCGATACTTCAGTCCACCCCCAAGGACTGATACATTGGCGACAATCTCGACCCCGTAGTGACCGACAGGGGCTCCTTTCGTACCCTTCTCATGATCAATCACGATCCGAATGGGAGCTGGCTCCTTTCTGCCCTCAACTAACTTGTCAATTCCTTCTTCGAAGATTGCAGTGTGAAAAGAGATCTCAGTAGCATGCAGTTTTGTTGATCTTAGACACCATTTGTCTGTCTCTCTTTCCCTTTCAGGGAATCTTCCTTCTAGCCTAGCTCGAGTAATCTCCTCGGTAAACCTCAGCGCTTTGCCCTCATATCCAGTACGGAGAGCAAAATTGCGTATGGTAGGGGCTGGAGAAGTGCGTTCTCTGCCAGTCAATGGGTCCTTCAGTTCGCGTAGCGAGGTCATCCAAATATTGCGTCCATCGTTAGACATTGTGAAACGAACATCACCCAAGAAATGCCAGCCGCCGAATGTTAGCTCGTATATGTGCTTTTGTCCTCCCGCAGCAGCTGTAACAGACGCCATCATGGAAGCTGCCGAGGGTTTGTCAATTTCCGCCATGACGCCTCTGGCCGACAAATTGCATTCTGTGACCTTCTTAAGCAAAATGACACAATCTGCAAAGAGAAGAAGCATTCCTTCTCTAGAATTTGAGGAGACATTTGATGGATCAGCATGAAATGGAGCTGGGAGCTCGAGAACGTCCACTGCTGTAATGAGTCGACCTTGCGGATGCAAACCCATAGGCCAAGAATCGATAATGTTTCGTAACCGATTTACGACCTGAGACTTGTCTGCTGCAGGTGGGTCCAGAGAACAAATTGAGGTTATGATATCTCTTGCTTTGAGCATAGGCTGTAGAGCGGGGTGAAAGACCGGAAGGCAGTTGACAATATTGTCAATGAAGAGGCTGTAACGTGGCAGTCTCTGGACAGGCTCAATAACAGCAGATCGAAGACGTTGCTCTCCAGTCTGCTGGACTCTTTGGGAGAAACTTGATTGTTGCTTGGTGAACGAGGAAATGAGCTGGGGAAAGTCTTGACTGGCATTGATGTATTCTTGGTAACAGTCTGCAAATTGAGGAAACCATTGGAGAAGTACTTTGGCAAATGCAAGCGCTCCAGTGGGATCTTTCAAACGTCCAGATGCACCATGTCGAGATCCGGTCGAACCAACAGTAGGGGCTTCTAAATCTCCCATTGCTTCTTCTTCCGTGGCGTCCATGACCTTCTTAATGTCTGCAAGAAAAGCTGAGTTCACTTGCAAGATCCTATCTAAGCATCGAGGAAAGAGCTTTGCCAGATCCTGTTCAGAAGGACTGAAGCTCCCAAATGCCCGGTTTTTGGCCTTCGTGCGGAAATCATCAGCCATATGATTGACGAGCTCGTGCATTTTGATAACATATCGCTCTTCGGTATCAACAAACTCTCCCATTTCTCGACGTAATGACATCTTCTGGTCCTTTACGAAAGTTCTTGATTTGTTGAGAGACGTGGGTTTGGATGGCGCCCGGCGCAGCTTTGAAGTTGGAAGAAATGACACTTCGCCGAAAAGCTTGACCAATGGAGCATAAATGCCATATTGCTTCAGGGTGGGATCTAGTAAGTCATCATCGTCCAGGTTTTCGTCCGCCATCTCCTCCTGAAGGTCTGCAATCGAGCCCGGTGGCAGAACGAGATCAATGTCAACATGGTTGATATGCTGGGGCCGCAATGCTGACTCTATATCCTTAATCACATCCGCTTTGTTTTCCAGCTTGACCATCGACGCCGCCAGATCCGCCGCATGTTGCTCGCCAAATAATGCAGGAGCCGGACCAGGTATCTTGTTTCGAGTATGCGCCGATTGAAGGGTCAAGCCACTCTTGACTACTTCTGGCAACTCCTTGAAGTATTTCAATAATCCAAATGCTAGACCCCGACATATTTCCTCTCCTTGTTTGTCGCGCGGTAGATGATTCACAGATTGATAGAACGGCGAATTGGGGGAGATGGTGATGCGTGGGTAGCTTTGAAATCCAGCTGAGGAGAAGACATGGACCTGGATTCGGGAGCTGTTGAGGGTGGAATTGCTCGTCGTCGAGGGGCCGTGGAATATGAGAACTGGCAGATTTCCCAGAGAGGGATCAGTAGTGTAATAGAGACTGACTTGGTCTTGCGCCAAGATCAGCTCGTCGGTGACTCGAACCATGACAAGGCTGGTGATGAAGGGTAGTTGTTTAGGAGATGGCTAGTCTAGGCCGGTCAATGGGCCCCCCTCATAGCGAGGGTTCCTCGATGGATGCGACTGAAGAGATTTCTGTGCGTGGATGTGGTTTGACGAATTAATGTTTCTGTTGGTGAGCATCTGGTTGGGCGTGGGAAAAACAAAGGCGACGCGTTTGCGTTTGTGGCCAGACGCTGTTTTTCTGTTGAAGAGTTTGTACTTCTAGTACTGCAGATGCGGATGCACGATCGAGGCCTTTGAGTGGTGGGAGTAGACACCTTATTCTGATACTTAATGCACGATCCGGGGTAAAGCTGGTCGAAGGTAGCGTAGCTTGTCAATATCAGCCTCTAAGTATAGATTTGCGGAGAGCTTTTTCTTGAGGCACACGATTGGACGCGTTGATTGGTTCGCAGCTTTTGTCAACAAAAGAGTTCCGTCGACCCCGCCAAACCTCAAGACGAAACAACAAGAAATCACATCACATACGAGGTACCTCGTTTACTGTAAGCCAATATTCTGCGACGGGGCAATAATTCTCACCATCCAACATGTCGACCCAGTACGATGTCGATATCCCTTTCTCTGCGAACCACAACCAGCAAGCGTTCAAGCTTCTGGAACTTCCACCAGAGGTCCTAGCTCTCCTTGAGTCGGACAAACCTCCAGCGTTTGACCCCGTTCTATTGTTCTTCTGCTTTAGAGCTAACATCCTCATAGAATTACCATAACATCCTCCCCTGCGACTGCTACTACCCCCGGGTACGCGATTCTCTGCTCCGGGGACAAGAAATACCAGATGCGGCAGAAGAACACGTCGAATCCAATTATGATACTGCAGCCTTCGAGTACGTTCCCGACCGAAGCGGACGATGCTGCGAGTTTTATCCCGGTACCATCAATTACAGCGATTGCTAAGATCGAAGATACAATCGAGTTAATCGTTCAGGAGGCAGAAGCGAAAGCACCTCCCAAAGTCAACAAGTGGCATGAGAAGTTTGCTAAGAGTCGACTGGAGAAGAAGGGTTGACAAAGGACTAGAGCTTTTGAATAAAGCATTGTGAAGGGATATATGCACCAGGGTGCCCCTTGATTCCCGACCTTGCTTTTCATGAACAGCACCTCAAAATTATTCCAGGAGCTCGGGCCGCCAGATGCAACGAGCAATACAAGATGTTGGTTCTGGACCACTCTGTTTGAGATTCGTCGAGTCTATAATTCCGTAGAGGAGGCGGAGGAGGCAGAGGGGCAGGGGCGAATTGTGGAATACCCCGCTGAAAGGCTATCTCTTTCAACAGCCCTGGGCAAAGTATCTAGAACAGGCCGCCAACCACGTCTATCAAAACTCTTTAATGCGACAACTTCAAAATTCTCTATCTGGATCGATGATCAGTGCCCGTCAATTCGCCCTGCCTTCTCATTGGTGTATACGGGCTCCTCAGCACACGCCGTCCAGTTACCCCCACCCAGCCGCATTAGTTTCGACACCCAAGATCCAGCAACGCAATTTCCGACGAACATCTATAGGCAGTTGATTAAAACAGGAATTTTCAATATAGGGCAATCCTGACAGGGCTCTGTATTCGCATGCATTTTTTCTGGACAGCATATTCTCGGCCAATGGGGATCTTAAGCTCCGGCTAGGATAAAGCATACTCGGTCAAAGCAATCTTGAACGATACCCTTCGGAGGATACCAGCGAGCCCGTGCGTAATTTGATCGTAATGTATAATTGCAAAAAGTATTCTTACCTCTCGGTATTTCAAAAGGTGCACCAGAAGTCTTCTCATCTATGCAACAGTCACATGATCTCGCTTAACCCCTATATTCTTCACTTGTTCATCAACCTTCATCTCCAAGATAGCCTCACTTCACAGACCCCCGTAAAGCTCAAGAAAGCCATCTGAATCATCGAATGCTTTCCCATTTAGAATCCCACATTCTACTCTACAAGCGCCACAATCAAACCGGGTATCATGCCAAATCAACGCTTCCCAAACGCCACCACCCCTCCCTCCCTCCACCCACTATCCACAAAGCACAGCTCCCATTACCAATTCACCTCTGCGTCTCAAAACTCCTCCATAAGTTCATCAACATCCAACTCCTCTCCCTCATCCACGCCCACTCCCCTTCCACCACCCTCCCAATCCACAAACTGCTCCACCCAATCCTCCTCCCCATCAACACGAATCTCACCACGAGTCATCCACGTCGGGTCCGGGGGATCCTTCGCATAAGGCGGCGTGTGCTCTTTGCAGTATTTGCTTTGGGGCCCGTGTTGTATTTCGAGCATGTTCAAGCGGAGCATTTCGTCGTAGGTGTGTAGGCCAGCCGCGAGGGCTTGGTGGTAGGCGTCGTTGACCTTGTAGGTAGTTAGCAAGAAGGGCAAAGAGACTTCGGGTTTGTCGAAAGCGAGAAGCTGGGTGATATGCGGGGAATACGAACTTCTCCCTGCGTCATCTCCACCGAAATATCATCCCCCATCTCATCCCAATCTCTCAACGTAAAAGTACCACCCGGCGCCATCTGCCCCTGACGCTCTGCATAAGTAGCAGACTCTGCACGCTGTGTCAAAAACTGCGCTGCTGTATGCGCGGGGGTTTTCATTGGGCTGGGTAAACTGCTGATACTGGGCTTTAGTGGAGGAAGTGAACCCCAGATTTTCAGAGGGGGGTTGGGGTCTGGGAGTGGGTAGTGCAGCGCGGCGAAGTTTTTGTCTGCTGATATTTTTGGTGAGCTGAGGAGGAGGGTCATGCTGTGTTGGATGTCTTCGGGAGGTTCTTGCATCTTTGGCGCCGGTTGGGAGTTTTGTGTTTGTGGATGTGCATGTGGTTGAAAGTCCTCGAGGGGGTTTTTTGTTCCCAGAGAATTCTGCATTTGTGCGAATATTCGGGCATGTTGTTGTGCTTGGTATTCTTGTAACTTTTGCGGCATATTTATAGACCGTTGTGCGTGGATGTTTACCGGAGTATGTTGCTTGTTTGTGGATTGTTCTTGTTTTGGCCGACCCGTTGCTATTGAATGTTCCATAGCGCGTTGTTTAGTGGCGAGGGTAGCCAAGTGGTCTCGAAGCTGCAGGTGTCTTAAAGATATCAAAGAAGAATTTGGATACCTGTCAGGAAAAGGAAAACCCGGCAGGAACGGTCTTGCCCAAGTATTTTCCGGATCGTCAGAAGGCAAGGTAGAATTATAGCGGTCCAGAGGTTTTGGGTATGGCTTGAAGACAGGTGTGAATTTGACGTTGTTAAAAATAAAGGGATTTGTCAATACTGGGATGTTTCCGTAGCATATAGGAGAAAGGTAGTCGCGTGCCCATTCGAGATCAACCACTATATTTAAATGACATATTAGAAGTGTTCTGAGTGTGTGTAAATAGAAGAACTCACCTTTGGGAATTTTGAGAAGGCGAGCTCCGTCGTTCAAACAAACCCACTGAACTTTGCTTGGGCGAATATGTTCAATACTACTTTCTGTGAGGTTTAGTCAACATGCCAGGTAAGACTTGCTTTGATAATTGTCTTACCTGCTCTTAACGCTTCCGATATGATAAAATGATCTTGGCCAGGTTCTGAAGCTGCATTGTTAGGATAGTCGTACGGGACCTGTTGTTTGTTGTTGATAGCTTGAGAAACTTCCTTGAGCGACGTCGCACTCCCAGAATTGATTACCTCCTGCTCATTCGGAGCTCGTATATCTGGCATCGGCTCGTCGATCATTTGCTCCATTATCCAATCCTCAAAATCCAGAGAACGAGGGTCATCTACTACCAGGTCAGAATCCGTTGATTCATTGTCTGCTCTCTTCTGGAAGCCACGAAAGACGCTGCCAGAGGCATCTTGTGAGCTTCCAGGTGCACTTTTGGGAGATCTTGGAGGCGAGCGTGTAAATAGGTGTTGATTGAATCTGGAGGCGCGCTTTGATTCAGGTCCAGCCTGGTCAAATATAGAGCGCTTTGCGGCTCTTTTCTCGGGTGAATTCATGGCATGTGAGTAACAGTCACTCGAAAGACGCTTTGTTGTTTAGGTAAATTGCACGATTGAGGGGGAAAACAAACACGCGCTGGCGATCATCGTGGTTCTTGTTATGATTCAGAAGCGGTCCGTCCTGTAGATTCTGCCACTGATGACCGAGTCTGCTCAATAGCCGAAACGGCCCATTCTCATCCTATAGTTACGAAGGCAGCAGCTCAGATAATGTCAGTCCCATATTGTGTAAAGTGAGGTAAACAAAACAGAACGGCCCTTTACATCAAGGGACTCATCGCAGCTCCTCGCTTGAAGGTCAAATATTAGTTCCTACCTACCGTAGGTACCTACATATGAGTTATTCACCTAGTAACGCTTAGTAGCACAGTTCTATCTTAAATGCCAATATGTATAATACCACTTTTGACTATATTTTATCAAAATTATCGTAGGATCTCATTTGCCTGTCTCGCATTTGCAACCAAGAGCCATAATGAATGGAAGTAATAAGTTATGCATTTTAGATACACAAGCCACAAATATCGACCGAAGTAAAGGAGCAACGCGCCAATACCTGGGTAGAATCGGGCAGAAGAGAAATACGATTTAGACTTAAATCACGCAGAGTCACAGAAGCCGACTCAATCACAACTTCACTGGAAGCATGAACTATTTATACAGGTTTCTTATTTTATCTGTATACCTCCCAAGAATCATACAATCTATTCCAATAGTCTTCTTCATGTCCGACGGTAACACGCCCTGAAAGGACCTTTGCTTTTTGCATTCTCAGCGGCTCGAAGACTCAGAATGCCCAATCGACAATGCTGGACGAAACCGCGCTTAATGATTCCGCGGCGCTGCGCTTCTGGTCTGCCAAACTAGTTGTGATTATACGATGAGGGTATGGCTTCTCCCTCTTTTCTATCTCTTGCTCGAAGAATTGCAGCCGCCTGCTGAGATCGGGAGCATTGGTGTATTCGTGCCCCTGTTGCTTGGATGCGTTCATCAGCTTGGTGAAGGCATTGGTCTTGGTAGGGGTAATTGGTCTTGCTGGTGCATCGCCCCTGAATGTGGAATAGGGCGCTATTTCCGTGAGTCATTAGTGAAGAGAAATTCTGGATGATGGGCGCTGTCTAGACTGGATGAAAAGATTCAAGATTTGGGGAGACGCGTCTGGACGCGGAAGTCGCGATGGAAGTGGAGTAGCATAGGATTGATCACGTGTAGATTTATGGAAGTTATGCGAGAAATAGATGGTAGAGCTGGTTCAAATGGTCTATGGAAGGTAATCTTATCCGATATTGAACTCGCTCGCGACAGCCATATGCTCTTTCATCTTCTTCTTCATCCTCCTTGCAGCATCGTCATCCGCTCTAGGCAATTCCAAGTCCAATTTCCTCTGCTTCCTAGCTCTCTCTCCCTCGGGAGCTTTATCCTCCACCTCTCCTCTCTTCGCCTTCCTAGCTGCAACACTTCTATCCGCCTTTGTCATCTTGTTTGGCCTCAAACCAGGCACCTTGATACTACCCGGTTTATCTCTCAGCGCGAACGCTTTTGCTAGATGTCCTAGATGGAGAGTTTGCATGTTGAAGATATGCCTTTCGTTTGCTACATGAGTAGCATATGCACGGATATGGCTTTGATATCCACGGCGTGCCATCTCGAGATATTTGGGTGAGTCTTGACTCCAGCGCTCGACCTCCAATTGCCATTCTGTAGCACGCTCTTCCCATTCTCTGCCTGTACCACCGAACCCTTTTCGTACTAGATCCTCCGCGGTATGGTGGGTGAGTGATTTCTTACCGTCCTTGTAGCCTGATGCTAGGATAGAAACATACTCTTCTTCCTCGCCAGGGAGCAGGAAGATCAATGCTCGGCCCTCTCGTCCCGCTCGAGCGGTTCTCCCGACACGATGAAGATGGTCGTCGGCGCTGAAAGGGGGGTCGTACTCGATTACATAGTCTACGTTTGGTAAATCCAGACCTCGAGATGCGACATCGGTACAGACCAAGACGCAGGGCTCTGTAGATTGAGTAAAAGCCTTGAGCGTTGCTGTTCTAATATTTTGAGCCAATGAGCCGTGTAACTTGTGGAGGATGACGGGATTTGTATTGCTGGAGAATGCAGTTCCATGAGCAACTGTGTCTTTAGTCAAGTCCGTCTTCGTAATTGTCGGTACTTCAGGTTGGGCTTCTCCATCTTCTGCTGAAACCTCGAGAGGCCGACTGAATAATGAGAAGTGAAAGTCGACTGAATCAGCACAGGAAATGAATACAATCGCCTTCATGACTGAACCTCGTCTCGCAAATGCGCGCTTGAGGATTGCTGTAAGTGTGACGAGTCGTAGCTTGGCGGGAACGACGGCATACGACTGCTTTAATTGGGCTGGAGCTGAAAACACCTTCTCCTCCGTTTCTGTGTCGCTCGTTTTCTCCTTCGTGATGTCCACTTCAGCAGGATCCGCTTGTATGTGAACCGCATCCTTCAAACTAATTTCTCCGAGTCGCTGAACATTCATCTTCATAGTAGCCGAGCAAAGGACCGTCACCTTTCGACTTGGCAAGGCCTTGAGGTCCAAGCCTTGAATCGAAGGCACCTTTAACGCTCTTCGACCGATCTTCTCCACAATCCCCTTGATCTCCTCCTCGAATCCCAACTCCATTAATCGATCCCCTTCATCCAATACTAGCCATCTAACCTTGCTAACATTCAAAACTTCAGTGTTGTCCAAGTGATCCGCAAGTCTTCCAGGAGTTGCGATTAGGATATTCACGCCCTTTCGTAGTCTGGCTTTCTCCGACTGTTTGCTCTCCCCTCCAATCACCGTAGTGCCCACAATCCAGGGCGCACATCTTAAAAGCTTCTCCAAAACGGCAGCTATCTGCTTGCATAACTCTCGCGTAGGAGCAAGCACAATTGCAAATAATCCAGAATCTCGATGTACCTGCACGTCCTTGCTGCTCATTGCCAGGATTCGCTCCACAATGGGCAATAGGTATGCCAGGGTTTTACCTGAACCAGTTTCCGCTTGTATAAACGTATCGCTGTCATCCTTCACCATCTGAGTTACTGCTGCCTTCTGAATCGCAGTCGGTGCTTTCATCCCCATCTTAGTGGAGAGATGGGCAGCTAGTCGTAGTGAGAGACCCAGGTTCACAAATGTAGACATCTCATCGGTGAGAGGGGCATTAGACGGTTTGGCTGGTTCAACCTCTTCTTCGGGTTCCTCAAATGTAGTCTTTGACGAGGGGTTGAACGTGAAGAGTGACGAGATAATCTGATTTGGTTTTCCAGTATCTTTATTGTGACCAGGGCCAATGCTTCCAGGCGGTTGTTTTCCTGGTACAAAGTTCGGTCTTGTATCCTCGTCTCCGAACTTTTTGGAGCTGCTGCCAATTTTTATACTTCCAGGAGGCAGCTTCCCTGACATAAAAGCAGGTCTTGTCTCGTCGTCCTCGAACTTCTTTGAGCCGCCGCCAATTTTTATGCTTCCTGGAGGTAGTTTGCCAGAAACAAAAGCAGGTCTTGTCTCCTCTTGTATCGCGGTATCCCGTCTGGCTCCTATATTTATACTGCCAGGCGGAAGTTTACCTGAAATTACTCTCGCAGTATTCTCATTTCTCCCCGAATTCTCATTTCTTTCCGAATCGTCTTCAACCCGTTGTCTTTTCGGTGGCCTTGCGTTGGCTCCCGGACCAATGTAATCTTCGACTCCAACATCGTGCCGTCTCTCGTTGAATATTTCTCGGGCGTGGGGTTGCGGTCTTGGTCCACGAGCCTCCCTCTTTGCTGCTAGACGGTCCTTCCAACGCCCTCCTTGAATGATTGGTTTAGACAGGAGAGGAGAGTCTCCTATCTCAAAGTTCATGATCATGCCATCGTCGGCCATGATCGTTAGTTTTCGAGAAATATTGAGTATGTTGGTATTTTCTGGCCCTTCCGATAAAGTCAGAAAAGTTTCGTTATCGAGAAAAGTGCACAGACGGAAGATTCCCCGCGATGGGAACTAGTCCCCTTGGGGAAACTGGCTGCGGAGCTTCAAAAAAGCTTCTTGGGCTTCGATATACGCAGCACATACCATCACAGCAATGAAGTCGGGCAAGCATTCTTGTCAAAATGGGCCTTGAACAGGCACCTCCATATTTCTACCATCTACTACCCAAATATCAAGCATCAACTGGCAATCATGTTCTCTAGAAGCCATTGCATAGCTTTTCCGAGCTCTAATATACGACATGTCTTGAAAACAACCAGCCCTCGATGTTCTTCCTCACATCTTCGTTCATTCCACTTTCGAAGCAAAGGCCAGGTGATACCTCACACGTCTATCAAGATCTTCCGAGAGATCTCGGAACTGCAAGCATGGCGCCGAAAACAACTCCTTGACTACCGCACCGTCGGTCTCGTTCCTACCATGGGAGCCCTGCACGAAGGCCATCTGTCCCTAATTCGAATGGCAGCCGCCGAGAACCACCGCGTCGTTGTCAGCGTATACGTCAACCCAACCCAATTTGGTGTACATGAAGACCTAGACAGCTATCCCAAGACGTGGGAAACGGATTGTGGTATGCTGAAGGATCTTGATAAGGAGCTCGCTGAGGATGGGAACAACCTTGGAGGCATTGCTGCCGTGTTTGCGCCTACCACAGACACCATGTATCCCAGCGGCAGGCCAGATCAGGCGGTCAATGCCAAAGGGAGCTTTGTGACAATTACACCTGTTGGAGAAGTCTTGGAAGGCGCAAGTCGGCCTACGTTCTTCCGAGGAGTGGCTACAGTGTGTATGAAGTTGTTCAATATCGTAATGCCAGAAAAGGTCTATTTTGGACAGAAGGATGTACAACAGACAGTGGTGATCAAGAAGATGGTCAAAGACTTTTGTATGAATACGGAGGTGGTTGTTGGTGATACCCAGAGGGCGCCAGATGGATTGGCGCTGAGTTCCAGGAATGTTTATTTAGGTACAAGAAGACGGAAAGTTGCGACGGTTCTGTCAAAAATCTTGAGGGTGGCGGAGATGAGTTACCTACGAGAACACCGTTTGCGGGATGAGCTTCTGGGGCCTGCTGAACAATTGACGAAGCTCCTATTAATGGAGCAGCACCAGTTGCCGCCAGAAGAACGGGTGAACTTTGAGATCGATTACATCTCCTTGGCAGATCCGGAAACGATGCAGGAATTGGATGAAGTCGATGAGACGAGAGGGGCAATTATCAGTGGGGCCGTGAAGATGCTACCGGTCGAAGTTCCGCAGCCCGGAGAAGATCTGGGGTTGTCAGATGGGCCGCCAGTAAGGTTGATTGACAACATCATCCTGAAGCCCGTGAAGTTATAGGATATGAATTTACGGGCTATTGTAGTATGTGAAAGAAGAATTCAAAGCGAGGATGATCCCGAGAGATGCATTGTCGGACTTCATGTTAGGCACCTCTTTACCATATTACCAAGTAGACGCTCTCACACTTTCACTCTGTTCCATCCTTTCTTCCTAAGCCCGGGGTATCTTCAACTCTGAAAACGTATTTCACCGCACTAGCTTTCCCAGCCTTCAAATCAGCTAGCGCACCCTCCACTCCATCGAGCCCTCCTTTCCTAATCTCATACGGATGTCCCTTGAACCATCCATCGGCAAGTCCTTTGGCAAACAAGCGGAAGAAAACATATGCCAAGTCCGGGTCATAATCACGAGTCCCAGGTCCCCCATGTGAGCCCCCAACAGCAGTGCGTACATGGCTCATCGTTTGCGGAATGTCGCTCTCAGGATATGGCAGCAGGAGAGTAATTGCACCATGTGGATCCATAACCTTAACCATCGGTTTCCAGCTCTCGTTCCCACTGATGACATCAAAGCCGTACTTGACCTCCTGTAAACCATTGGCTCGAAGAGCGTCTCTGAAGCCTTGAGCCACGGCATTCGGTCCTTGTCGATAGTCAATAATCGTATCCCCTTTGGATCGGTCAATCAATGTCTCGACGTGCGATGCACCTTTTCCGGCAACGCAGAGCAAAGGGTGGATGTTGGCACGTTTGGCGAGCTGGATTGCGAAGCAACCTACGGCGGAGGATGCGCCATATATGATGAGTGGTGTTGGCTTTTTGGCTGGTGACCAGGGCATGGGCAGCGGGAGGCGAGAGAAAAGAGCCATTGCTGCCGTCATTGCAGCTAATCTGTATATTGTTGTTAGTGCTTTCTTTCTATTTCGAAGGGTGAAGCTAGGTTTACGGGATCGTTGCAGCTTCTGTAATCCAGGTTAGAAGTCGAATTAGAGGACACTCTGGGAGTCATTTACCTTCAAACGAAATCTTCTTTGGCAAATGAAAGGTGGTATATGCCCAAGCCAACGCATATTCTGCATACCCACCCCCTGGGCCGCCCATCTCATGGAACGCCGCAACACGATCTCCAGGCTATTCCAAGTCCACATTAGCTATCTCCTCCCTCAGAATAAGGTCCCCCCTCACCTTGAACTCGGTGACGTTCTCTCCCACAGCGTGAACATACCCCGCCACATCATCCCCTTGATTGATAACATTACCACGCCATTCAGGACGCTTCCAGTCTTTGGGATTAGATCCAACGGCAACGACTTTGATAACAACTTGATCTTTGTTTGGAGTAGGGATAGGCGAATTGATTACCGTTACTTTCGGTCCAGCTTTTATTAAAAGTTCTTTCATTTCATATGATATCAGTCTACGTGGCCCGTTAGCTGGAAATGATTTCCGAAACAGAACCGCATTCTGCTGGTTAAGTCGATTCGGTCGTAGAAGGGTTTGCCAAAGTTTCGCCGCTGGTAATGCTACCCTCATTTGGTCGTTTTGTTCTCAAGACTTGATAGTTTTGACAGTTGTCAATTGACTCCAGAGGCAGAGGTTGCTTTCGAAACCTCACCCAATCACACGATATCCGAACACTGTAGGGATTAATATATTTGTAATAGGATCAAAATCCGATTCCGGCTTTTGAGCAATGCGTGGGGAACATGGGGTACTCAGTGTTACGGAGGGTAGATAGGAAATCTACAGCCACAGGCAATTATAATTCGCTACAATATGTGCACTATCAATCTAGTAGTGTCGAAGTAAATCATACTATTCGAAGCGTAAAATAGTCTATAGTGGAAATTATAAAAATAATGAGTAAAGGACCAAGTCATGTGATTATATGCACTAAAATTCGTTTGAGCAGCTGACCGGGATGATAACATTCGAAGAGATTTTACTGCTGGTCCCCCACTCATGAGTTCCGAATAATTATCTGGGCTAAAGGTATGTGTCAAAATGCGATACTTGCCTAGAGAATAGGCACCGTTTCTTATATGGAGACCGGATCCTCAACGTCGACCAATGTAAGTTCCGCTAAAGCGCGAGGTACCTTGCCATTGCATTGGCGGTCAGCAAAACTGATGGTTTGTAGAGAGCAAATGGCTCGCGACGACATCCTAGCAAAGCTTGCAATGAGTGCAAGCAACAAAAGGCAAGCCTGAGTACTCGAATCCGAGAATAACAATACTCAAAGCAAGAGACTTTATCCCGGTCAACAGGCGTCGGGCTGACTGGAAACATTGATAGTTGAAATGTAGTGCAAAGGCAGACTTTCCCAACCCATGCGAAAGATGTCGAAGGTTGGGGCTACATTGTACAATTGAAAACGGATTCAGGAGGACCAACAAAAGGCAGTAAGGATCAGGTTTCTTCCTCTTCACTAGGCGTGGTCGTTGATATTAAGCAGGAAATCGGCAATCCTGCAACGAGAGAATGACCTCCTTAGAGAACGATTGAGTACAGTCTACGGCGCCAATGATCCACGACTCCAAGAATCTGGAATTTCCACATCACCAAGCGACGCTGTTGTGTCACACTCACCCACGAGTAGGCATGAGAGTCAGGACCAAAGTGAACAGCGACAGGAGGACAATGCGCTCCAAGTTGCACCTCTTCATGCCCCCATACCGATGGGGGGCAGTTCAAGTGATACGCTGCCCAGGAGTTTGGGTGCAATCAACCTCGAACCAAAGGAAATCGACGATATTTTTGCATTGTAAGTTTCTTCCACTCCCTTTCACGTGACGCATGGACTGACTGACGACGGCAGATACTTCCTGTACTATGCAAAGCACTTGCCATTTCTGGACCCACAAGCTACTCCTAACTCGTTTTATGACCAGTCGCCTCTATTGTTCTGGGCAATCATCAGCGCAGGTACTAGAAGATATATAGGCAACCCCACCTTAATTGGATCGATCGCTGAGCCCGTCCTGAAACTCGGATGGTCTTCAATGCACATAGGAGGTGCGGTAATTCCCAATATCCAAGGACTTTTGATCTTATCTACTTGGCCATTTCCGACAAATTCAACAAGCAAAGACAACACCTTTACCCTATCTGGGATGTCGATCAATCTGGCACTTCAAATTGGTCTACATGTGCCACTGCAAGGACAAGACTATTCACGAACTCGAGTGGATCTGAGCAATGAGAACATTGCTCGCCGTGTTCAGCTGTGGTCTTATTGTGTAGTCGTGCACCAAAAGTCAGTATTCGATGTCTAGATCTGAACCCATCTGACTGTACCCAGAGCCGCATGTGCCCTCGGATACCCAATTACACTGCCCTTAGATCTATTCCAGAGAAAATTGGAGTTGAGCGGCCATATGTCTCTAACTCCCCGGAGCTTAAACTTAGAGATCAGACTCGCAAGTATCGTTGGTCGAATGAACTCGGTTCTATTTGAATACAATTTCGACGATTTACAAAACAAGCCTCAAGCTGCTCCCTCAATGATGTTAGATGTTTTTGAGGCTCAACTCAGCGAACTAGATCGAGAGAGCTCAGAATTCTCAGGTAAATTACTTTCAATATTTTCTCAAACTTGTAACAGAACCTCCCAACTGATTATTTCGACAACCGAAATAGATCTGGAAGCTCTGTACCTTCAAATCGCACGACTACAGCTGCGTATATACTACCTTCGATGCCCAGAGGATGAGATGTTTTCTCTGAACCTCACTAAAATATACACGACGGCTATACAAGTCATTGAGATGACAGGCAGGCTAGACAGTGAGATAAATCTAGCATCGTTCTGCCCACATCAGATATATCGCATGTCGGCCTTAGCAGCGTCCGTTCTTCTGCGCATCTTGAAGACCCGTATCTCAAAATATATCCGCGACCAGCAGGCAGGGAAAGTTTCATATTTTCAAGAAATCGCACTTCTGAGAAAGATGTCTATCCACAATAACGATATGCCAGGCCGTATGGCGGGGATATTTGCTCAGCTCTGGACATCGCAGAAGGCTTTCAAGCCGAAGGGTGATGGTATTGCTTCTCCAGAAGTGAGAATTCAAAGTCGGCTTTCGATGAGTCTTTTACATGATACGATGTGGTGGTGGCGAGAAGAATATGGCGACCAACCATACACCAGGAGTCTCAAGAAAGGTATGCCCAGCTTCCCGGGTATTTTACTTAGCCACGGACCTTTGTTAACCATGGCTAGAACAACAAGCAAACCTACTAGAGTCTTTAGCGCCGTCAAACCCCTTGCCAGTTGAAAGCTACCTTGAAAATCCAAATGCCGAAAACAATGTCCCGGAGAATGCAAATAGTAGTAACCCGCACGTTCCGGATCAAAACCTCATAAGTCAAAGTGCAACCAACGATTTTTTCGCAGTGGATGACACAATGCCTTTCCTCTGGGACCCCATCGATCCTGGCTTTGAATCAATGATCGAGTTGTTCCCTGATTCATGGCCGCTATGATATCCTTCTTGATTACTATAGGAATAAAGGAAAATCAGTATCATCGGATTCATCTCCACGCCGAGAGGATGACTTGGAATATCGAAATGCCAGGCTCGGTGTGGAGTTGTTAATGGCGGGCATGGAGCGGCGCGTTGAGACATCGGGGAATGACGTCCAAGGAAAACACCCCAAGCAAATAGGTGACTAATCTCCGTGGTTCTCTGAAAGGCTATGAATGGCTAAGAAGCTCGAAGATCCCTATTTCTGGCTCCTGCCAGCTTTGTTTAGAGCACCTGGAGTTGGTCGATAAAAACGGCTACTTCTTTACACATCAGGTGTTCGAACCCAAATAATGAACTGTCAAATTATGGCTACAGATATGCAATAATCATATAGAAATAAGCAACAATGCTGCATGGTAATAACGAGTCTTTGAGTGAGCAACGTCTTAGTGATACTGATTCGCCCGATGAGAAAAGTAGACGCAGCCTCTTTCCAGCATTCTACTCGAGTAAGGTACGGGCCGTCAATGCATCAACGCTACCTAGCTACCTACCTAGGTACATATCACTCCAAGCTCCCGCTCCAAGAGTTACCAACACGCAGCTAATGACTCACGTATCACTAAACTGCCTATTGGGCCACCGTCTCGGCCGCATTGAAGAAATCTCGTGGGCGGGTAATCAAGGCTGCAAGGCTTTCTCCAACTGTGCAACATGAGGCTGTGCTGTGCTCCGCCAAATGGCCCCCAACCCCAAACAATCGCACCACATACCCCGAAAAGATCCTTGTAAAAACACAGACCGGAGACCCTCCATACTTCCGCGGCGAAGTCGTTTGCTGCGGACTTGAAAATGTCGCGCAGAGTGCAGGGGAAAATGACGTTTCTGTCCGCCCTGTGTGTCCGCTCGTGGGACGGGCATCAGCCTTACCGGAACCGGAACTTGCACTTCCTAGGTACACTCCGTATACAATTGCAAGCAACGTTCAATTGAAGGTGGGTAGGTAGGTACCAAACCAATATTCCTGGCGGGCCGAGCCAGCCCACGGAATGAGCACAAACTAGCTGCTAGCTGCCCAACGACCACCCCCATCTCCACCCCCTTCCTTCTTACCTCCCCATGATCAGAGCTTAATGGTATTTGCCACCAGGATCAAACAGTCATCTCCGGCTTGCCAAGTGGCATTGCTTTCTTTCAATGACTTCATACACACACATACACACAACCACATAACCACACAACCACATGACTACCCGGGGGACAGCCTCCTCTGTCCCGGGAAAGTATGGCTGGCATTGTTCATCGCCCTGTCGAGCTAGGAAGACAGGCGGCATGAAGGCAACCAGTTTCGGTGAGGGCGTTGGTTTATACAATAGCAGGGGGTAGAGAAACTCGCCTGTGGGTACGTGCAATGTAAAATGAATGACACTGCTGTCCGCTGTCTAGTGTCTGCTGCTTGTTTGACTTTTTTTGTTTTTTATGTATGTAATGAAAGCGGGAAATTACCTAGCTAAACCTGCAAGAACATATTTTTATGTTTGTTTTCACACATGTGCGAGAGGACGAGTATATAAGCAACCCGACTGCCGTTTGTTCTTCATTCTTTCTACCTCTCTTCCTTCTCTCAACGCGCAAGAGCTTGAACATGCCTTGAATTTGAGCTTGAGCTTGTTTCCTTTGCTTTGCTTGTATGCACGAATCGACACCAATGCGTCTACGAAGTGGAGCTGTTTGGGACTTGCCAAGTAGCTGCAGTGAGGTTGCTGGAGATACGGATACGGAATCGGGGATGGATGGGCAGGACGATTCGCTTTCGACAGATGCGCAATGGGGAACACCGCTTACTACGAGGTGAGGTTTGAAGAACTGGGTCTGTGTTTGTGGTTCTATTGAGCTGATGCTTATTGTTTGTTTGTGCAGTCAGTCAACAGTAGGATCAAGGAGTCCAGCTCCAGCTAGTCAACAAGAACAAGTCGGGCCATCGGCTTCTCAGCAGGCTCCTGGACAGCAAAGAGAACAGGACCCATACGTTCCCATGAACCCCTCACATCGTGTGGAAGATGGCTACGAGCCAGACAATGGCCATGCATCGGCATCCGCACCGTCTTGGCATTCAAATCCTCAACCACAGCCCGAGTCTCTTCGTCGCTTCTCTTCCAGCACAGGTCCCTGGAACCCTGCGTCGCCCACTGAAGCACCTGTCGACCCCGAAAGCTTGAAGAGAAGACACTCGGACGTGGCGGGAATGGACGAGTATCCGCTCGATCGCAGCTACCCCGATAAGCTAGAAACAGAGTATGCAAACCCCTCTACTCTTTATTTCCTGTAACCGATTCGCGAGTCTCGAATTTGGCCATGCTTCTTCACGTCGTCTTGAAGTATCAAGAATCACAATCCTTGGGATACAGGCATTTCTTTCCCGGTTTTTGCCATGCTGACTCTGAGCAGGTTAGATGAATTGGGAGAGAAGAGTGGCGATGCTGATAAGGGTGGTGATAGCGAACGAAGCAAGTACGCCGAGCATAATAGCAAGAAGAGAAAGAGGGGAAGCGGAAAGAGCAAGAAGAAGGGTGGGGCAAGTGGACGGCCTAGAGACAGTGACAGAGATGAGAGAGACAGAAGCGATGACGGAAACAATGATGAGGGAATGAGTATGGTAGCTTGACGAGACATAAGCTATAGATGATAACTGCGCAGATGGGAATCTTAGAATCAACAGGTTCAGGGATGTGCATTGGGAGGGTTGCTTGCTCAGATTTTCGGGCTTTGGGAGATAGTTGGGCACTTCGCTTGCTTGAATCGTTTGTTTCTGGCGTTGTGTGACATTGATTTGCAGGTATTCACAGGACTGGATTGGCAGGATATTGTGGCGTTTTTGAAGAAGGTTGCTTGCTCTTTCATGCCCATAGATCTTCATTGCTAAAGGTAGCTTGCCGCACAGGACTCGGTCGTGCCACTCTAAGTGCAATATGTAACCAATTTGCTTCCATCACTTCTTTCCTCTCTTCGCAGGCCTGGCATTTTTCATCTTCTTCTGCTCCTGCAACTTCCGCTCCTTGTGGATATCATTTGTGCTCTTGATTTCAGCCTTCCCGGTACCATCCTTGAAAGACCCAACTCGCTTCTCCTTGGCTTCCGCTACCCTCTTCTTCCTCACATGATAATCATCACGATACCTGTCAGCCTCCTTTGGAGCCTTGTCCTGCTTATGCTTGTACCGCGTTCCAGCCCTCTTCCTATACCACCTCCGCCACCCCCTTCTCGCTCAGCCTCGCCAGTGCGTGGTAGCCGGCCGACTTTGTGCGCTTTGCGCCACCTATCGAATCGGCCACTTTGGAAACTGGCTGCGATTTTCTGTCCGCTTTCACCACGGATCATTTTCTTTCCCTTGGAACCATCCTCGTCGTTTGCTCGAGCGACGTATTTGCTATTCTTTTTATCCCAGCGCATACCTTTTGCTCTGGCGGGTTCAGCAAATGACTTCGCACCGTCATCGTTCGTAAGGTCCATAGTGACGCCTCTGGCTGCCTCAACGAAATTCGAGTTCTGAGATGCTGTGTTATATGATCCCGAGTGAACTCCATAGCCCCGTTCTTCGGCCGTGTTGATTGATTTTGGAGTGTATGACATGAAATTCTCCGAGTCCTGGTAAGATAGCGTCCTGCCTTTGCCTTTTTGCGCCGTCTTGGAGAATGTGACTTCTAGTTCACCATCTGATGCCTCTTCCATGTCATCTCCACCACCACTCACAGTGACTTCCAGACCATCATCATCGTCGGAATCCGGTTCCACATCCATCGTATCGAAATCCTCATCGTTTGCCTCTGCCTCTGCCTTTGCTGCCGCCTTTTCATCTTCATCCTTTTGTCTTCTGGGTATTATTTTCAGTCTCCGTGCTCTCATGACTTCGGCAGCCTCACTATGAGCCGCCTTGCCCCTAGTACCTATTTCAAACACAGTTTCCTGCGGTCGGAATCCACTGATTCTAGCAAGCATATCGATGCGTGCTTGTTCTGCATTGTTTGTCTCGCTGTTGAAGAGGGAATGCAGCTGCATGAACCCTTTAGAAGCCACAACTTCCTTGGCCCTCTTTGCGCTCTCGTTGGATGCTGAATTGCGAGTCTTGATGTACAATTTCTCGCCCTTTCCTGCAACAGTCCGGAGGGCACTGAGATCATCATCGTCACTGAGCAGCTTCTGGATCCACTCTGTCGTACTTTCCAGTTTGTCCCTGAGCAGCGCGCCGACAATAACATCTTCGGAGTAATTGGGTGTTTCTCCACTCTCGCGACCAAGCAAAAGTCTCTTGCCAAGGAACAGCTGTAGATCCAACAGGTAAGGTGCATCTGTATCGCGAACCAAACTGTAACTCCATCCTCTTTGACCGGCTCTTGCTGTACGGCCAACACGATGAACGAAGATTTTTGGTTGCGGCGGAAAGTCATAATTGATGACATTTGCCAAGACAGGAATATCAATACCTCTTGCAGCGACATCGGTAACTACCAATATATTAGTCATTCCAGTCCGGAAGTCTTCCACTTGAATATTTCTCGCTACTTGATCCAGTGAGCCATAAGCGTGAGACACAGAAAATCCAGAGAGACGTAGAAGCGACGCCAAGTAATCGACGTGGTGCTTCGTAGCTGCAAAAATGATCGTTGAATGCTCCGTAGGTTTGTGCTTTGAACCTGGCCCATCAGCCCCTCGTTTCCGCTTCTTATCGTTTCTTTCGGCTATTTTCTTTGCCCCCTCTGGTGGACCAGTAGGCATCTTGATCAAATCGTTGAGGATATGTAGTAATGCGCCTTCTTTCTCGGCACTCTTGACACTAAAAAATGCGCTCTGAAGATCTGGTGACACCTTACTTTCTGCATCGAGCCGAACAAGGCTGGGTTCTTGCAGACCAGCTCTAGCAAACTCGACGAGAGACTTGGGGAGCGTGGCGGAGAATAGTAATGTTTGTCGTGTAATTGGCAAGGCGTGTAGAATCTCAGTCAATTGGGCTGCAAATCCCATCTCGAAAAGTCGATCGGCCTCGTCAAACACCACGTATTTCATGGAAGATAGGTCTAGAGACATCTCCACTTTGAGATGTAGGAATCGACCAGGGGTTGCAATGACAATATCGGGGTTTGCGGCCATGAACCCGAATTGTTCCTCTAGACTATCCCCACCAACCAATAGCACACATTTGAGATCTGTGCCTCTACCAAATTCCTTAACGACTTTCAATGTCTGAAGAGCGAGTTCTCGAGAGGGTGACATTATCAATGCTCTTGCTCCGACCCGTGCGCTGTGGGCCTTCAATTTCTCAATCATTGGTATCACAAACGCTGCAGTCTTTCCGGAACCAGTTCTCGCCATACCAACAACATCTTGATGGTCGAGGACTAGAGGAATCGTTTTTCGCTGAATAGGTGTAGGTACAGAGAAGCCTTTCCGGCTGATGGCCTTGAGCAAATGGGAATTTAAACCTCGGGACAACGTTAGTGAAGTTTCAACCACAACCCACAGCGAACTTCTTACCCATTGCCTGAAATCCTCCACCCTTCTTCACCGTCTTGCCCTTTAGGTTCGAAGCTTTCCGATTCGACGCCGCCTGCTGAGAAGCGATAAAAGCTCCATCGCCCTCTCCATCGCTCTCAACTCCCAGATCAAGTATCCCACCAGCATCCCATGCTCCTATATCTTTGCTGGTGGGAGCAGTAAAATTGTCGTCTTCGGCGTCATCATCTTTGAATAATGACTTTGTAATATCGAACTCATTCTCAGAGAGAGCCGGGGAGGCTGCACGATGAGGCATCGTGGAAATATCCAACTCCTGTGGGATTGTCTTTTGCGGAGTGAGTGGCTGAAGCTTATCGATTCGATGCAAATTTCAAAGGGAACATTTTTTGGCCAAAAGATAAGCGGCCGCTAGTGCGGAGTCTATTTCTGCCGACTCTCACCGACCGACTTTCCAACTTCACTCGGCTCGGGAGTCGGGAAGGATTAAATAAACATTATCAACAAAGGTTTTCCAGTGCAACCTATCAAGCATGTTGCAATTCTTGAAGCATAAGGTAGGCAGACAGGACCGACGGAATCAAGTATTCGACTTTTCTCTTAACTCTTCAAAACGTATTTTCTCTCTCTCAGTCTTCACCGGCGTGTTAGTCACCGCCAAGCGGTGCGGCACAAGACGGAGAGCGTCCTAGTCAAGTGGGCCCCCCGCATTCAAAACCATTCCTTGTCCCGCTCAAGTGAAGTGAAGATCTCCATCCTTTGTATTTTTACATACATTCATTGCTTCCAAAATGATTACAAGAGCCGGTCTCTATACTTTCATCTATGGAGAGAGAGTCGGAGATGCTGCAGCCCCTCCCTTTTTGAAGTTTCGTTCCTCTAATGCTTTGATCATTGCTACTATTGCCATTGCTGTCTTCACTGTTGGTATACTCTTCACTCTTCTTGGATCTTTCTCACAATAAATAGGATATATTTCTCTATTCTTTGGTAGTTCCTGTGTTGCCTTTTGCCTTGACGGTCAGGGCAGGGGTCGAAGAGAAAGATGTTCAGAGATGGACTTCGGTATTTCTAAGTGTCTATGGAGCTGCTTTGGCGATTGGAAGCCGTAAGACCTTGCTACTGTCACTCAATTCAACTTTCTATCTGACAATTTATAGCAATCTTTGGGTGGCTCGCAGATAGATCTAGTTCCCGGAGAATGCCCCTCCTTTTGGGCCTGCTCGCTCTTGGCGGATCTACAGCAATGCTTACAGCTGGGAGTTCTCTTGGCGTTCTAGTAACAGGAAGATTCTTCCAAGGACTCTCGGCAGCCGTAGTATGGACTGTCGGCCTTGCCCTCTTGTCCGATACCATTGCAAAAGAAGAAATTGGTCAAGCAATGGGTTACGTTGCGGCCGCTACAAGTCTCGGATCACTTCTCGGACCTCTTTTGGGTGGTGTCGTCTACGCTCATGCTGGATATTACGTTGTATTTGCTATGGGCTTCATTATTATCGGTATTGATATTGTTTTGCGGCTAAGTATGATTGAGAAATCGGTAGCCCGGCAATGGGATAGCCCAGATGAGGCTTCGACTGATCCCAACTCTGCTCCTAATCAGAACGACGAAATCCAAACTGTACCCGCGACGGATATTGTTCCCGAATCAGAGAAGGCTGTCACGACCCCTAAATGGGTGCAACGCCTTCCCCCATTGATTACATTACTACGGATTCCTCGTCTCCTAGCTGCTCTGTTCGGAACCTTGGCCGCATCCATATTCCTGGCCTCATTCGACACTACACTACCTCTCTACGTCAAAGACACGTTCCATTGGGATTCAACTGGAGCAGGTCTAATTTTCCTTTCCCTCGTTATTCCCGCACTTCTGGGGCCTGTGTTTGGTTTCTTCTCCGATAAATACGGCACCAGAACACCGGTAACGATTGGATATCTTGGAGCAGTGCCCTGTTGGATTCTCCTGCGGTTCGTTACTTACGATTCTGTTGGACAAAAAGTGCTGTTGTGTGCTCTTTTGGCACTTCTTGGTCTATTCCTGACGATGGTCTTCCCAGCGGTCATGGCGGAAATTGACCACACGGTGGCTTTAGAAGAGAAGAGGAGGCCCGAAGGCTTTGGTAAGAGAGGAGCTGCTGCTCAAGGATTCGGATTGTTCAATCTTGCTTATGCAGGCGGTTCATTGGTTGGGCCTTTATGGGCGGGTTTCGTGGTGCAAAACTCTGGCTGGGGAACGATGGGGTGGTCTTTGGGAGTTTTGAGTGCTGTGGCCGCTGTGGTGGCATTCTTTTGGACTGGGGGAAGGATCGTGCTCAAAGGCACAGAGAGAAGGGGTAGTCTAGAAGTGGTGGTGTAAATTGGGGGCAGTGAATCCTAATAAAGTGTATAATATCGATCCCAACTCTTGATAAAACCAAGCCATTCCACTTTAACAAAGTACATAAACATTTGGCATCTTTCAAGACGTCAAGTGGACCGAATTCGACGAAAGAGCCTCGTGCTGGGTACAAAAAAGCGGCACTACAGATCTTAGAGCAAGGCGGGGTGGAGTGGGCATATTCAGGCGCTAGTGGATAATTTTCGGGGGGATTCTGGTGATGTTGAAAAATAATTCTGCCCTCCATAAAAAGTTTACAGAATCAACCTCAGTATTCCACAACATGGCTCCTCCAACAATTGGGCGAAAGTCCAAACCCTCGGGAAGAGGCGGTAAAAATGACGTCCGCTCCCTGAAAAGAAAACGCGACGTCGAAGACCATATCAAGCTTCAAAAAGCAGTCGAAGAGCTGGTCAGTCGATATCCACCACATCATACCACACCCTCTAACAAACACAGGACCCGAAAGCGGAAACAAAATCTTTCTCCGACCTCCCCCTTTCCGAGCCCACATCCAAGGGCCTCGAAGCATCGCATTTTAAAACCCTCACAGACATCCAATCGAAATCTATACCCCTTGCGCTGAAAGGAAAGGACATCCTCGGAGCAGCAAAGACAGGAAGCGGGAAAACACTTGCTTTTCTAGTACCGGTACTGGAAAATCTGTATAGGCAGAAATGGACAGAATTCGACGGGCTAGGAGCTTTGATTATATCACCAACTCGCGAACTCGCAATCCAGATCTTCGAAGTTCTACGCAAAATCGGACGGTATCATACTTTTTCCGCAGGCCTTGTTATAGGCGGGAGGAGTCTACAAGAGGAGCAGGAACGGTTGGGGAGAATGAATATCCTTGTTTGTACACCAGGACGAATGCTGCAGCATATGGACCAGACTGCTGCTTTCGAGATCGATAACTTGCAGATGCTGGTTATGGATGAAGCGGATCGGATTATGGACATGGGCTTCAGCAAAGCAGTCGACGCTATTGTGGAACATTTGCCGAAACAGAGACAAACCATGCTATTTAGTGCTACGCAGACGAAAAAGGTGTCGGATTTGGCGCGGTTAAGTCTGAGGGATCCGGAATATGTTGCTGTTCACGAAGCGGCGGCCAGCGCTACTCCGACGACGTTGCAGCAGTATTATGTGGTCACGCCGCTTGCGGACAAGTTGGATACGCTGTTCAGCTTTATAAGGTCGAATTTGAAGGCGAAGATCATCGTATTTTTGTCGTCGGGGAAGCAGGTGCGGTTTGTCTACGAGAGTTTTCGACATTTACAGCCGGGAATCCCTCTTATGCATCTTCATGGTCGACAGAAGCAAGCAGCGAGATTGGATATCACGGCGAAATTCTCATCTTCGAAGAATTCTTGTATATTTGCTACGGATGTTGTTGCGAGAGGTCTCGATTTTCCCGCTGTTGATTGGGTTATTCAACTAGATTGTCCGGAAGACGCAGATACCTACATTCATCGAGTTGGCCGCACCGCTCGGTATGAGCGAGCTGGGAAAGCAGTCTTATTTTTGGACCCCAGCGAAGAAGAAGGCATGTTGAAGAGATTGGATCAGAAGAAAGTTCCGATCCAAATGACCAAGCCCAGGTCGAAGAAACAACAGAGTATCAAAGACCAGCTGCAAAATATGTGTTTCCAGGATCCCGAATTAAAATACTTGGGCCAGAAAGCATTTGTCAGTTATACACGATCGATCTATGTTCAGAAGGACAAGGAGATATTTACGATCAACAATTACGATTTGGAAGGTTATGCATCAAGTATGGGCCTTCCTGGTGCGCCCAAGATTAAGTTTCAGAAAGGAGATGATTCGAAAAAGATCAAAAATACCCCACGAGCATTATTGTCCAGCGATGAAGATAGCGATGTCGAGGCTGGGAGTAAGAAGCCGAAGAAGGGCGAGGTACGGACGAAATATGATCGAATGTTTGAGCGCCGCAATCAAGATGTGCTTTCGGGTCATTACTCCAAGTTGATTGCCGAGGACGAGCCTGAACGGCCAGATGATGGCTTGGTTGATGCTGATGAGGATAACGATTTCTTGTCGGTGAAAAGAGTTGTGCCTATGGATGAAGATAGCTCCGACGATGAAGAAGTGGCTTCTGGACCTGTGGCAAAGGTTATATCGGGTATTGGTAGGGAGCCAATCGTGGTAGACTCGAAACGACGAGAAAAGTTACTCAAATCTAAGAAGAAGCTACTCAAGCTTAAGGAGAAGGGACAGAAAGTGGTATTTGACGAAGATGGTGTGGCGCATCAAATGTACGAGTTGGAAGATGAGGACGATTTCGCTCGGAGAGGAACAGTCGAGGCTCAGAGAGCCAAGTTCTTACAGGCGGAGACTGCGCGGGTTCAAGAGGCAGACCTTGACGACAAGCAGCTGGCAAAGACAAAGAAAAGAGAGAAGCGTGAGAAGAAGAGATTACGAGAAGCAGACGAGAAGGCCGGTATTGTTGATGGAGAAGCTCTGGAATTGGCGGGTGACGGCGGAGATCCATTGGCTCTACTTGCCTCCTTACCATTGGATGGCGAGGAGGAAGCTCCAACGGTAAAGAGACCGAAGAAGTGGTTTGAGGATGATTCGGACCAAGAAAGAGAGGCACCGAAGAAGAAGAGACGACTTATCGAAGCCGAAGATGAGCCCGAGACGTTGGAGGATCTCGAAGCTCTTGCAGCAGGTCTTCTTCAATAGGCTATCGATTACAAGTAAACATCTATACAAAGTACCACCTATAGTTCCCTTTTACAGAAAACCAATGAATACCATGATACCCCTGAATATTAAGACGTATCATTTCCCTGAAAATTACCCCTCATCGCCGAAGACCCCGACCCCGAACCCGACCCCGCAGCTCGGCAACGCTAAAAAGACCAACACCGGGCGGTCCGCATGCTGACACTTTTGGAGTACCTGTACTCACTCGTATTTTTATGTGCAACACCTTTAATACAACGACTCAATTTTGTTTGACTTGCTTTGCGCATACACATGGACAATCGCTCCCTACGAGATGCCACTGCGGCCCGATGACAAGCTCATGCTCAAGCACAAGCTCGAGCCCGAGCCCGCGGGCTCAGTCCCAAACCCCACTATCCTGCCCATATGCCAGGACATAGCAGGTCGCGTGAATGCCTTTCTAGACAGCGAGCCCGAGACGCCGTTGCTGAGGCAGGTACAGGCGCAGACGCGGGTGGCATTGGGTGTGATTTCTACAGCGCTGGAGCGGTATAGGTTTGTTTCCCCCTCTTTCTCCCATTCTCTCTTTCTCGTACCTTGGTACCTGAGTTTACAAAAGAGGAGAAATTGATATTGAATGGAGATTGATTTTGCTTCTGATACTGACATTGGATTTAAACCCCCTTCAGCCTCGAAGAAATCTCCCTCTCCTACAACGGCGGCAAAGACTGTCTCGTCCTGCTGATCCTCCTGCTCGCCTCCCTCGCGCACCACCCCTCCTCGGCCCTCCCCACCAAACTGCAATCCGTATACATCATCTCGCCCTCCCCCTTCCAAGAAGTCGACGAGTTTGTCGACGCGTCCATCGATACGTATAGTCTGGATCTGGCGCGGTATACGCAGCCGATGAAGGAGGCGTTTCGGGTATATCTACAGGAGCATGAGAAGGTGAAGGCGATTTTAGTAGGCACTAGGAGGACGGATCCGCATGGGGAGCTGTTGACGCATTTCGATCAGACGGATCATGGGTGGCCGGCTTTTATGAGGGTGCATCCCGTTATTGATTGGCACTATGCTGAGATTTGGGCTGTATGTACCCCTCCCTTTCTCTCGCCATTATGTTGAAGCGGAAATGGAAGTGCAGTAAAGAAGTTAACATAGGTTGGTTGGTGGTTGGGATTATGCTGATTGATATATATGTGCTGTAGTTCATACGCCACCTGGAAATCCCATACTGCGTCCTCTATGACCGCGGCTACACTTCCCTCGGCGGCACTACAGATACCCATCCAAATCCTGCGTTAAAGGCTGGAAATGTACAGAGTGAGACGAAAGAGCAGAGCTTTAGACCGGCGTATGAGCTTGTGGAGGATAAGGCAGAGAGGCTGGGACGGGACTGGTGATCCTGGCATCTTTGTGTGGGTATTGTATATAGAAATGATAGAATAGAACGCATTTATGATTCTGCTACGGATTCTAGGGAGTCAAAGAATATGCCCCTATAAAACCTGACCACTTGGCTGTGGATTGAGCATGATTTGTGAATTTTTGTGAATTTTGTTGTTCCATTACAACTCTAGCCATTTCCAATCTCCGAGTAATGCAATCCCGTCAATCTTCTCACCGGGCTTATGCCAAACCCAAAGCTCTTCAGAAACGTGCTTAATAAAAATAACTACACAAAGGGTATCTCGCGCATCGCGCCCCCGCTAGTGAACGCCTCTTTGAAAAAACATCAAACCGAATCCGAAAGTCTCCAAAAACACATCCTTAAAACTCCTTCCTGAATCTCATTCAAAAGCCCGGCGATGCACCAATCTCCCCATGCACCCGTAAGCGGTACAAGCATGTATACTCGACTTTCCCCTCTCCCCAATTATTCTTCGCACGAATTATCAGCTTATTCGTGTGCACCGAGAATGCCTTTAAATCAAGCTGAACCGGGAAGGCCTGAATGTTTTCTGTAGATTCAATATCATATGTCCAAGTCGCAATTCGGACGTATCCAAGTGTTTGCTGTGCCTCGACCGCGCGAGACTCGGGTGGAAACATCTGTGTTGATAGTATCTTCACCGTATCATAAATATCGAAGTCGTGAATGTAGGCCCATAACTCCATTTCTCTTGGAGCTGCTCCTGGTTGAAGAGATGCCGTAGGTGCAATGTGCTCAACGACGACTTGCTCTGGGTAAATGCTAGCGCCTGAAGTAACAGCGATGCTGCCTCCGAGGCCGTCGAGGCCACCAGCATGTGTGCACCAGCAGTCTCCGTGTTCCTCCCACGAAGTGAGTGCTGCTTCTGGTGGATTTGGGATTGGGGGAGGGTTCCTGATGGCGTATCGGTAGGCCCTTCGGAAGATATTTAGTTTTGTGCTCGGGAACTGGTAATTTTTGGACGTGGGGTTGATGTCGATTGTAGCTCCTGTCTTATGGGACCAGTGATTGACCCGAGTATTGCCCCAATTAGCGCTGGCCTTGATGTTGGCCCTGCTTTGAGCCTCCAGCTGGGCAGCTGGAAGGAGTTCTTTCAGATATTTCTGGACCGAAGCCTTAATCTGTTGTTTGTTTTGGCCGCCTTCTTGGAGCAATTTGTTGATCTGGCGTTGCTGCTGGTCCATATTCTTCGTAATGGTGGTGTATTCTGCCTGTATCGCTTTCTGGTTGTCCTTCCAGTTCTCACGAATCATATCAATGATTTCCTCCTTAGCCACGACGATGTTGTCCTTCATAAGACTAGGGAAACGCTTTTCCAGCTCGGCGTTCGTCCAAGTAGTAACCTTGGCCCGGTTAGAGGTCAACCAGTCATCGAACGCCTTTCCAGAGCCCTTGTCAGAATGTTTGGTAGTAACTCCCGTCGATTTCTCCGGCTCTTCGTTGGGATGTAATTCAGGATCTGATATGATCAAGTCTTTCATAGCCTGCCAAAAATCAGACGGAATTTGCAGGTGCCCGTTGCTATCTCTCCTTATGGCAACATAATTGGGAAGGGAATTCCTGAGTTTTGTAATTGTTTGGTGAGCTAGCTTATTTTGCTTCTTAAGAGCGTCAACGTCATTTTGTGTGGTGAGTATTTGGGTGGAGAGTTCTTGGACATCGTCTGGGCTAATCTTAATTTTAGCCGCGTTCCATGGGTGTTTGAGCCAATAAGGCACTTCAACAGTAGGCCGATGGAAGCGTGACAGAATCGAGTCCTCTGTATCTTCAAAGTCGTAACTGATTTCGGGAGCTTCAGAAGCTCGTACGAAAAGTAAAAACAGAAGCGCGGCTAAGAGTCCCAGAGTCCATTTGCTCGAAAGTCTGTGCTGAGGTAAGCTTGAGATTTGGAAATGGCATTTCGAATTACGTACTTGTGCAGTAGAAAGGCTGCAAGATTCAGGAAGGAAGAGAATAACTCTTTAGTCCAATTTATAGAATCTGTGACCCAATACGGGGCTCCTGGAGTTTCAAACTTCCATCTGTTTTGTAAATGCTGAAGGCGCTCCTCTCTCTGGGCGGATTGCTGTTGTTGATGGCGGTGGTGAATATGAGGATCTTCAAAGATCGGGTCTGGCTGCGGTATTTCCACCTGTGGCTCATCATGAATAAAGTCGCTTGGTTGGTCAATTGAAGAAGTATCAAAACCTGCATTTCGAAAAACACTATCTTCAACACCATAGGTCCGATTGGGATCGATTTCAACTAAGTTGTCACCACGGGATGGACCGCTACGGCGACCTCTACCACTGCGACCAGTAGCGGCTGTGAAATCAATCAGTGGTGCTCGGATTCAAGAGCCTTTGAAACGTACTACTTGCTTTATCATCATTCTTGGTTTTGGGGGCAAGCAGAGTGTGAAGAACGTCGTTCACTTGTCTGTTGCCTTCATGGCCACTCCGGCCGGACATTAATGGAGTGGTGTTGGTGCCATAAGCAGTGCTGGCGCGAAGGTTGACTGCTGGTAACTGAACATTTCCTGCTCTTCTAGCAGTACGGCGCTGAGGAGTTGGGGCAGCAGGCGGGGATTCCGCACGACTGCTCGCGGCGCGCGTGCTTCTACGTGTCGACATGTTTGCTCAGAGTGCTCCGAGTCTGAGCTCAAATGCTGAGCTGGGGTGTTGTCAAGCAACTGATTGAGGACGGGACAAAGCAAAACAATGCAATGCCATGCAATGTGGGTATAGGCGTGGGTATGAGTGTGCTCAGTATTTATTGAGTGGGCAACAGCAAGGAATCTGATACGAGTTGTTGTCTGCTTTGAGGTGTTTTCATTCCTTGGACGCATCCAGCAGAGGTAGGTTGAGAGGCTGAATGCGATAGAAAAGTCGCGTACAACAATACTGTCGGTGAACCGTGGATCCCTGCCTGCCGCTAGCAGAGTGGCTGGGCTGGTCGACGCCACATCACAATACCTACCTACCTTATGTAAGCTAAAATCTCTTCTCTCATCTGAGGAATACGCAGAAATTTATTATTTCTGTCCTGTTATGAGTGAGTGAATTGTTCTGGGTAATAGGGTAATAGGTATCAACGTCCGTCCTTTGGTCGCTAAGGTGCTGCTATATCTCGTTGGCTATTGTAAGGTAGTTGACGCAAGCATTACCAGGTAACTCCCGACGGAACGGATCGCTTCCTGGAGCCATGATGGGCTACTTCTCTGTCTATATCTTGTGTTTTAGAGCAAATGACCTTTAACTTTTATATATAACCCTCAATGTGTCAAAAATAGCTTATCACCAGATCAGGACTATTCAACAACTACTGAAGTAGTGGTAGATTTGAGGTGAGCTTTAATAAATAGATATTATACTGTAACAGAGCAAAAGGAAATGCTATCAGATACTAGCAGGTATATATTGCGGCTTCTATTTCCAGGGACTAGACCAGGATCTTCGATTCAAGGAGGTTTTTCCTGGCATTTATATGAAACAGATTGCATTAATCTGTATTTAGAAAGCTTGTACCAAGTAAAACAAGGCTCGTCTGCCTTATTGAATGATTGGATTATTCGTTAAAACAAATACTATGCCCTTTTACACATGTCTTGTTTGATCTACAGATAATCCGCCGATTCACCACCACGTGCAGGTGTCTTCCTTGTCGACGGACCCCTGCATTTGTCCCTTTGATTTCCTCACCCCACCCCGCCAACTACAACTTTACCGCTATTTCCTGAAGGTAATCTATCTTTCAATCCTTTCCATAAACTTCTTCAACCCAATTGACACCTCTCCAGCAAAACAATCATGGCTGTAGGAACCGTTCTAATCACCGGGTGAGTTATTGACATTCAGCCTGTGCTTGAGACATCTCCACTCGTTCGTTCGCATGTGGAGTCTCAGCTCAGAAAAGAGAAATTACCCCGCCATAAGTAAACAGCGACGCAAGCACAGCTGCTAATGTCTGGTCGCATAGAGGAACTGGCTACATTGGATCCTTCACATCTCTCGCGCTCCTCGAGCATGGATACGAGGTCATCGTTGTGGACAGCTTGTACAATTCCTCGGAAGTCTCCCTCGATCGCATTGAGCTTCTGTGCGGCAAGCGACCATCTTTCTACAAGGTCGACATCACCGACGAGGAAGCCTTAGATAAGGTCTTTGCTGCCAATCCCAATATTGACAGTGTCATTCATTTCGCCGCTCTCAAGGTACGCACCCTTCACCCATTTCTGACGGCGCATCGCTGACTCGAGATACAGGCTGTCGGCGAATCTGGTGAAATTCCCCTCGAATACTACCGCGTCAACGTCGGCGGGACAATCACTCTCCTCCGCTGCATGGCCAAGCACGATGTCCCCAACATTGTATTCTCCTCATCCGCGACTGTCTATGGCGACGCCACTCGAGTTCCCAACATGATCCCCATCCCCGAACACTGCCCCATCGGCCCCACGAACCCTTACGGACGCACCAAGAGCACAATTGAGCTGGTTATTACCGATCATATTGATGCTCAGCGTAACAATGCGAAGAAGGCGGGTAAGCCGTACGAGAAGTGGAATGGTGCGCTGTTGAGATACTTTAATCCTGCTGGTTCGCACCCGAGTGGGATTATGGGAGAGGATCCATTGGGTGTACCATTCAACTTGCTGCCATTGCTGGGCAAGGTTGCAACTGGCCAGCGAGACAAGCTTTTGGTTTTTGGTGATGGTAGGATATCCATTATCCAATAAATTATCTCAAAAGCTAACAGAACATAGACTACCCCTCCAGAGACGGCACCGCAATCCGCGACTACATCCACGTCGTAGACCTTGCCAAAGGCCATCTAGCCGCTCTAAACCACCTCCGCGAAGCCAACCCCGGCGTCCGAGCCTGGAACTTAGGCTCTGGTCGCGGCTGTACCGTATTCGAGATGATCAAGGCGTTCAGCAATGTGGTAGGCCGAGATCTCGCATACGAGGTTGTGCCACGCCGTGCAGGAGACGTCTTGGATCTTACTGCTAACCCCAGTCGCGCAAATGAGGAGTTGAAGTGGAAGACTGAGCTTACGCTTGAGGATGCTTGTGAGGATTTGTGGCGGTGGGTTAGCAATAACCCCCAGGGGTATCGTCAGGACCCTCCGGAGGAGTTGGTCAAGGCTATTAAGGAAGGGAAGAAATGATTTTTCTTTATCCAAGGGTTTATAAGCATGATTAGAAGGGCTATGCATGATAGGTTCATAAATATTCTTTGTTTGCTTTCCACACATCACAATACCAAAATTGCGAATAGATTGTTATGTCAGTATAACATCGTCATACTACTATTAATTCATTCATTTCTTACGGACTACAGCAGCTGGAGGTTTTAATAACTCTAAAATCGTAGAATTACGAATATTACAGGACTTATATTGATATAAAAACTCCTATCCTTGAGATTCTCCTGTCTCATCTGAATCTAAAGAATCCCTAAAGATCAAGTAGTCCTTTTAAATCAGCGCTGAGAGCAAGAGAGCAAGAGTACCTAAAGTCGAGAAGAAAAACGCTAATCAATTTTCTCCGGCTTACACTTACATCCCTCACTTCAATCCTCGACTACACAGATCGCTCACAATAGCTAGCCTGGTCTCGTTCCGCACAATGTCGCTCGCAAGCCCGATCTGGAAGAAGCTACCTTCCGCTGACCCGTCGACAGGATCTGGGCGGCGGAGTCAAGTCCTACACACGAGCTCGGAACCAGGCGAGTAGTCGAGCAAATGGAATTCCGCAGAGTTGACTCCGACGCCCTTGGTATTCTCCTCGGGATTGCCCACTTGAGGTTCCGGATATTGCACTCAGCTTACCGTACTCTGCAGACACTGCTGCGGATAGCGACGCTGTGCGATTATCACGACTGCGTGGATCTGGTCACGTTGTTCTTGTCCCCATGGCTGGCTTGCGGGTGCGGGTCCGAGACAACACGATCGAAGCGCTGCTGGGCATCTGCTACGAGCAAGAAGACCTACTACACAAGACGCGAAAACGTACGCTGTGAAGTCGACTCCAAGGCTTGCGATTCTACCATCTATGGATTCCTTGTCCTCGGATACACGAAACCAGTCTGTGGCTAGCGAAGTCATCAGGCGATATCACATGGGCCATCACCGATTTTATGTCGAGTATCCGTGAAGTTCAGGTTTACGCGTTGGGGGACGGATTTTGCCAGGGCAGGCTCGAGAGTCATAGTGACTGTAATACAACAAGCATCAGAGGGGAAGTCAGCGACACGTTGAGTCGGATGCAGAAAGTAGTTCTTGAGGAAGAGCATAATCATATGGACAGGCTGAGACCCGGTCGCGATGGATGTTTTCATTGTGCGGAAGGATCAGACCTAGATTCCAACTACTCGTCTGTAGATGGGTCCAATGAGTAGACCATTGCCGCAAATATTGGTGTCGGATTATCAGGTGATTGGTAACATGTGATGGAACAAGGTTGATAAAGTCTACAAGCAAGCAAGCATGAACGGCAGCGATGAGGCAACTTTGTACGCAGAAACACAAGGACTCGAAGGATATCAAGTCCAATACATCTGACAAATTCTCATTGCAATGTGCTGGGAAAAAATCGCTTGCAGAGGGGTGACATGATGATTTCAGGGACTCTGCCAATATGAACCTCTCCCCTCTATTCGTCAGATGAAGATGGTATGTTCCAAATCCAAACGTGCACTTGCGGAAGTCCATCATGCCATAGGCTGGGCTGCACCCACTGCCTCCTCACCGGGGCGGCTTTCTATGGGCCGCTACTTCTCGAAAACCTGTACCTTCACTCCCTGTTCATTCCAGAGCGTCCGACCATTAAAGCCATACGCCACAAGAGCGGCCTATTATGATAGGTATATCGTACAGAACATCACGCACAGCTCTGGACGTCCCAAGGTATCTCATTATATCATGATTCGCCGTAAGCCTTCCGTCCCACCGAGGACTCTCCTGCCAGTGACAGCACATCGTCCCTTACCATTCTCCCACTTCCCTTCTTTCCCTTTCATAAACTCTTCTTGTTTGTCGTGGTTGCCTTCCACCCATCTATGTATACACGTGTAGCAAAACACAAATCCGGTCTGGCATGCAGTTGCCGTTGTGACTTCCGTCTCGCAGATGGGACATAATTCTGAATCTTCTGGGGTGGGCACCGTGTATATGGGAAGTAAAGAAGCTGCCGCTATGGGCGGGTTCCTGAGCTCCCGTACTTCGTCTTCCTTTTTTGGGCCTTCAGCCACTGCTGCTTTCTTTTGCCCCGCCGGTCCGAACCTCGTTGAGAGCGTCGACAATCCAGATATCACAGGAGGTGGTAATTCGATACCCTCCGCTGCCTTTCTCGATAACTGTCTCGCAAAATCTGAAGCGTGCCACCACTCCAGAAACTTCAGTGCAAAGATGCTCGTCGGTAGTAAAAACTTCAAGCTTCCCAACACCCTATCCCCCATAATCCTCGGACTGAAAATACTATTAATTCCCAAATTCCCTCCCTTGGCCCCAGGTTTCGGCGCACTCAACGCAGCAATAGCCTTATAATCCTCCTGACCCAACCTCCTCATCCGCGTCCCAATCATCCACAAGAACGGGCTATGGAATCTGCTATTATCAAACAGATACGCCACATTAAACATCAGCACCGCAAAATAATACGCCGCGTTCACACTCGGATACACATTCCGCAGAAACCATCTATAGTAATGCAGGATCCTCTGGCGTATGGTCGGACTTGTAGGCATGCGGTTGTAATTGCCGCCTAGCAGCGCCCGCGGCGCATTAATCTCATAACTCTCATCCAACTTCCGCTTTAAATACGGCACCCCCACCATGACCGCAAGGTTCTTCCATATATCCCCATGACTCAACTTCAGCGCCTCCCTTACATGTGCCGGCGCGCCTATATTCGCGCGCGTGATTTCGCCCACCGATAGAGCCTTCTCGCGTTTCAGGCCGTAGAAATTCTCTGTAAAGCCCCCGCCGTGCGTCTTTAGGTAATGCCGCTCGACAAGGAGCATGAACAGGGCGTATATTTCATCAAAGGAGTTTAGGATGCGGAGGAGGTAGCGGGGATGGCGGTGTGTGGCTATTGTGAGGAGGTAGCGGAGGGACGGGGGGATGAGGGCGCTGAGTTGGGCTTCGGAGAGGAGTTCGAAAAGGGAGGGTTTGTGGTCGTCGAGATGGGAGTTGAGGGCTGCTAGGAACTCCATTTTGGGGTTTTGGAGGAGTTCATGGGATGTTGTTTGGGGATGTGTGGTGGACGTTGTTTTGATGAAGTTGCGATTCTACAAGGCTGAAGTTGGCCGGAGCCGAGGTATTGTATATCGTGTCACGTGTTAACCCCCTTGATCAATGTCGAATCTTCCTTTCCGTTTTAATTATTTCATTGATATGGTTGCTTGGAATTTACAATGAGCTTTTCATTATTATAGGTCCTTAGTTGAGGGACTTTTGTGTCTTATTGGGGTTTTATGTTCGTTTTATAAAGTGATTAAGCTGCTGTTAACCTCAAGTTTGCTGGATATAAAAAGCGGCACTTATTCTCATTAGCTTTTAGTGTACTACACCACATGGCACATTATAAATTGGTACCGCTTTTCATGTCTAGTGGCTAACAACTATTAATTCTTTTATAGGCTATAGGCAAGGTCGTGAAATACTATAGGAGCCAAGAGCTTGTTCAACTTATAAGTCATTCTGGATTAGTAAGGTCTAATATTCTTTCTATAGTTATTAATATTGTCGGAAAGTGTATGCACGTGGATGGTCACATCCTTGTCATCACACTTAGACTTAGACACCTAGAAACTGAACCACTAAACCAGAGATTAGACAATAAATGTAGAGTAGGAAGCAGACATAGCATCGAGGACTACTACGACCCTCATCATAGGAATATAACTAAAAGTATGTATATATTATACAACAGAGAAATCCATCCAAACCAAACATTCATAACCCCCTCCCCTATTTACCATCCTTCTCATACCCAAGCTTCTTTTCAAACTCCCCTCTCAGACCCCCAAGATCCTTAGCCCACATCGGCGCAAACAGATCCTTGAACCAGCCTTTACGGTGACTGCTGAGGCCCATATCCTGCAACAGCATGTCCATGTAGCCAATAAGCTCAAACGTCATATTATTGCCCTCCTCCCCATTGCTCAGGTACCGGCGTCGACACCAAGCTGTAAACAGCGCTACGCCCTTCTCTTGCTCCTCCTTGCTCGGCAAAGTTAGTTTCCCATCTAGATATGCCATCGCCCATAGCGACTGGCACTCTACGGTCGGAAAGTAGTTCCCCACACTCACTTGGCCGAGGAAGACGATGGAGCGGTCTTCCGCCGCGGCGCTTGATTCGGACAGAGGCGCTATGTGTCGATACAGCCGATACGGGGTATGAATAGGAGTCTTGTGGTAATGCTCAGGGGGACTCTTGAGTTGCGGAAAGGTGGCGAGGGTTTTGCGGTCAGCCTCAGCCTCGCGTTCCCCCCAATGAGCTTTTTCACTCTCTGGTTCCTCAGCTACAAGATGTGGCAGTCCAAATTCCCGGCATTGCTCTTCAGTAAAAAACTGCAGCGATGGTACCCAGCCTGTACCGCATAAGATGGCGTCTGAGGGTATCTTCTCGCCGGATTTCAGGCGCAGGAGTCCGTCTTCCAGACCTTGGACATCTCCAGAGTAGATCTGAACATTTTCTGAAATCGTGTCGAAGAAGTCTTTGTGATTGAGAAGTCCACCCGTGCAGTTTTGCCAAAATATTCTATTTCGGTCAGGTATCATCATTGAAAACCAAAAACATGCTGCATTTCTAGGACTTACGGTGAGTGTGGGGACAACTTTTCAAAACCGTGTTGGTTTTCCCTTCCAAAATTGGCGTCCTTTCGAGCGTCTGCGTCGACAGTGCCCCAAAAAGAACTCATCAACTTCACGCCGTATCTCGTCGAATGAAGGAGTTTGGTCCACCAGTTGATGCCATTCATGAAAGAAGGTGTAAAAGTCGCAGCTACCCGAGTCATTCCTATCTCAAACGCATTCTTATACGGGCCCGCGCCTTTCGGCGACAGGAAGAATCCTGGCCCGGTTGTGTCTGTGGCTTTTAGAATCCAGTTTACTTTCTTGCCGGCCTTGACTGCTTCGTAAGCCATGTCAGCTGATGATTTGCCGGCCCCTAGGATGGTGATCGTCTGGATATCCGGGGAGATCAAAACATTGGATGACCCGAAATCGTTATGATGGAGCACTTGACCCTGGAAATTATCTCTCCCAGGCAGCGAAGGCATATTAGGGATCGAAGTCAAGCCGCTCGCAACAATCAGCTTGGGCGTCTTGAACGTGTGTTGCACCCCACTGGTTCTTTCTTTGGCAGAAACCGTCCATTCATGACCGCTCTTAAGAACGGACTGAACCTCAATCGAGAATTGGATCCTGTCACGTAGGGTACGGCCATTATAGCTATGAGTATCCACATAGCTCTCGATATACTTCGTCGTATGCTTGGCCTTGAAGAACTCGAGGTAAACATCCTCATCTGGCGGCCGTGGCATAGCCTGATCCGAAAACTCTGCTGTTCCCACAGTCCATTGCGTCCAGAAAGAATCGTAACCCCTTCCTATAATTTCGCAAAAAAAGGTCAATTCGAATTCCGGTACTATAAATAGAAGTTGAGACTCACGTGAGTTCCAAGTACCCCCAACACAGCTGTCCCTGTCAAGAATAACCAACCGAGACTCAGGGTGCAAATCCAGGTAGCACTTTGCTGCAAAAACGCCCGAGATACCTGGATTGAAGTGCGCGTTAGAGACTGGGTTCAAGAGAACGAAGAGCTTCCTTACCTGCGCCAATTATGAGAACATCCACTTCATTTGCATCTGTCATGGTGCTTTGCGTCCTTTTGAGTGAGCTCCAGTTGTTGCAATCGCGTCCACGGGAAGATGTTGGTCTAAGAAGAAAGAGCCTACTTTCCAGCAAATGAACAACCAACACAACCAACAGGGATTTCAAATAACAAATGTTAATTATCATCAGGTTATCCCTAAAACCACGAGCTTTAGAGCTCGACCCACGCACAGCTTGTTTGAGGATAAGAAGTAAACCTTGCTACATACTGTGCCACATACTATGCCACATACGAAGTACATCGTGATAGGATAGGCAAGACTGGTCCTTGTAATCATAGCGCTACTGTACAGCCGCATCCCGCATCCACTAGATACGCGTATCAGTGCTCTACCGCACTAAAAGTTGTGCTTACTCCGTAAAATGATTAGTGATATGTAGAAGTATTACAGTAGAAAGCCCCGCTTATTACATTGCGCGATCCCCTCTGCTATATCCGGGTAATCTTGAGCTCAGGAGATTAAAAACTGCCGATTCTAATGCCAAGATCTCCAGACCCCATCCGAGCTACCACCCCACAATCTGTACGGAGCACGTACTCAGTACGGGCTCTAAACAAGTGTCCCGCAAACTACGAGTTCCAAACCAAGTCTACGTCCTGCGCGCGGTTCCTTCGTTTGTTCCTTTCAAGCTGCATTTTTGACCCAACAAGAGAATATGTCTTCCAACGATCAGATTCATGCAGGTTCTATTCGTGCAGATGAATCTAAAGAAAGTGGAGCTGGTGATATACGCGCAGCGGAGCAAGGCGAGACCGCGACGGCTGAGGTGGAGTTCTTAACAGGATGGCGGTATGCTGCCATTGGAGTGTCGATTGTTCTGAGCATGTTCTTGGTATGTACCCGAAGAAATATAAGATTGTAGACAGTTGCTGATAGAATATACAGGCGTCTCTAGATCTTGTGAGAAGTACCTATCCCATCCCTCGAAACTCGACACTTACGATTACTACTATAGACGATTATAGCCACGGCAATACCCCATATCACCGACCAATTTCATAGTCTGAATGATGTTGGATGGTATGCTTCTGCTTTATTCTTAACTGTTGCCGCCGCACAGTCAGTATGGGGTAAAGCGTTCAAGTATTTCCCAGTCAAAACAGTATACTTGACCAGCATAGCAATATTTGAAGTAGGAAGTTTGATATGCGGTAAGTATTGTCTACCCTTCCTATATCACCTACTAAAATAGCCTAGGGGTTGCACAGAACAGCACAACACTCATAGTAGGACGAGCCATCACAGGTTTTGGCGTTGCGGGGACTTTTGGTGGTTCTTATATAATCATTGGAATTTCCGTAGCGCCTAAGCAAAGACCTGCCATGACGGGTTATATGGGGTCTGCCTACGCTATTGCTTCGGTAATTGGACCACGTAAGATATTTCTCTTTGAATCCATCCAGCTTTGGTCACTCCGATGAGACGTATTTTGCTTCATTAAAACTATTTGATCTTCAAAAATACCGAGGCTAAGTTTATAATTATAAAGTGATTGGGGGCGCTCTTACAGACAAAGTAACCTGGCGTTGGTGGTAAGTTATACGTACATCTGATGCTCATGTTTACTCACACATCGTAGCTTTTTCATCAATCTCCCATGTGGCGCACTTGCTGCGGCTGCCTTCATTCTTCTCTTCAAAGTTCCTACAAGCGTCAAGCCTCCCAAGGTTCCTTTAAAAGAGAAGCTCATACAAATGGATATCCCGGGTTTCTTCCTGGTAACAGCGGCGGTCGTATGTTACTTGCTGGCTATGCAATGGGGAGGTGTTATTGAGAAGTGGAGCTCTTCTAATGTAATTGGGACACTGGTCGGGTGTATTGTTATATTTATTGCTTTCCTTGCTTGGGAGTGGTATCAAGGCGAAAGAGCTCTCTTACTCCCCAGTATCATGAAGCAAAGGACCATTATACATGGGTGTGCTTTTAGTTTTCTGTATGTAGCTCTCCGCTCTTGTCACATCTTCACCCATCTCCATTACCCCGCAATCGTATACTAACATTCACATCTGTCTAGTATTGCGGGAACATTTTACATTTTGTTATATTACATTCCCATTTATTTTCAGGCTGTTAAAGGCACAAGCGCGACTGAGTCGGGAATACGGACCATCCCGTTAATTCTTTCCTTGAGTGAGTCTCCAAGTTACCTTCCCTGGACCAGGGTATCTGCGACTACTTGCATGCCTTTCAACTAACAGCTCTTCTAGCTTTGGTACAAATCTGCACAGGAGTATCAATCGGCGCCTTAAAGATCTTCAACCCGTTCCTTATACTTGGTGGCATATTTACCACCGTCTCTACTGGCCTGTTAATGACCCTAGAACCAGAGTCGGACCATAGTTACTGGATTGGCTATCAGGTTCTTGCAGGAGTTGGTCTTGGTCTCTGCTTCAACGTGTACATTATAATTATCCAGAATATCGTGAAGCCAGAAGAGGTCGCAACCGCAACCGCAATCCTTCTATGTAAAAAACCAGTTCCTACGCCTACGAAACACGAATTTTCGCTAATCAAATTTCATAGTCTTCCAGTCTTTAGGCGGCGCCTTGGTTGTCTCAGCCGCCCAATCCCTTTTCCAAAACGAACTTCTCAATACCCTAGCCGTCAAAAGTCCCCACCTCAATTCGACCGCTGTCTTTGCCACTGGGGCGACTGACATTCAGAAGACATTCTCTAAGAGTGATTTACCTGGCATAAACGCCAGTTATATGAAGGGTTTGCACATGGCATTCGCGTTAGCCATTCCAATGGCGGGCACCGCAACACTGGTTGCTGTAGGACAGAATTGGTTTCGGTTAAAGACTCCTGGGAAAGAGGATTCGAGGGAAGTAACAACTGAGACCGAGAAAGTGAATAATGGGACAGTTAGTTAGGGGGATGAAGTGATTGGAGCTCAGGAAAGCCTTGTTATAAGAGATAAAATGTTAAAGGAAGAGCAGGTAAGTTTCATTTTCACTAATTACAAATACTATCATATAAATCGATTTCTGCCCAATGTTGAGGATTGATCAGGTAAGTTGGGAGAAAAGACGCTTGTAGTTTAAGCATAAATCGAAAATATACTACAAATTAGCAACTGTTATAACTACAGGCTAAATACGCTGGAATAAATCAATTACAAGCCATTTCTGGTATATAAAACCCTTTAAACGATTATCAATTTTCCAAGTTCACCGCATGCTCTGTTTGATGATGATCGGCAGTCGCTAGTACTTCGTTATCCAATACCCTTTCCCCAGCTACTGCTCCATAAAAGATAGGCGTTTCTGCAATCAAGTTCTACTAAGATTATAGTATTACCGATCTATGTTTAGAGCCTATACGGAGTGTCATACGGAGCTGAACATATCCAGATCACCTCATCTTGCAAGGATATACGGAGCAGCTTAAGCATTATAAGGTCCCACCTCCGTCATACTGTATATGTGAACTAGACCTACCGGGATTTCCCTTCCCGTCCCTTGGCCCCTAGTCTAAAGGTTGATTCTTTTGTTTCTAATTTTACGTACTGTAAAGAGGGGAACATCCATATCGGCTAATGGCGATCCGTTTAGTGTCCAATGAGAGGATGTCCATGGAACACACATCGACCAGCTTCCCCTTTTAAGTCGGCGGGAAAGTAAGCCTAATGCGGGAAGAGGGGCTTAGATATGTTTCCACCGGGCTTATTCAAGTCAAGCTGTCAGACTTGGAAGCAACGTCCCGCGAAAGTACCAGTATAGTATGGAAACAATTTATATCACCGGCACTACTGTAACATATATCATGTCCACAGAAAGCAAGCTCGGTCATCCTTTCAGACGACCAAAAGCTTCTTCGCAAAGAGACTGGGAGTACCACGTTTGTCCCTGCGTTTTATTAGTCATACTATTAGACTTGCGCAAGGAACCCTACGACCGCGTGGACACTGCAGCAGCCTTACCAATTGTCTCAGCGTAACACTTTCCCTCATTAAGGACATCTAATTAGAGCGATGGGTCATAGTTAATATAGAATCATTAAAAGTAAAAGGATATTAATCATTCTACGAATGTACAGTCCTATTTTCATGAGAAGTTTTATCTACATCTTCTAAGAGCATCCTTTTTTTAATGTATTTCTAAAAACACTCTTCAAGTATTCGCAAAGATCTAGACTCTGCCCAGGATTTATGGGCTTTTTACTGCGCCGTACTAGTAGGGCTGCTACGTTTCGTGTGGGATCATGGTTCTGCTCCAACGACCACGAAATAGTTTCATACTTGTAGCGGGACCGCGTGAGTGGCACCCTTAGTATTGACTTGCTTGCAATGCTTCACCTACGATACCGCCGTATGCGACTTAGGACGAGATGCGTGAACGCAGGCGTCCCATTTACCGATTATTTATGACACCGATCCGGAGCGCGTATGAAGAAAGTAAAGCGCCTCAGATCTTACTCTAGTCTGGGAATAGAAGCATCTCTTTGACCAATACTACTGTAGGTCTCTGCATGTCGGCTATGTGCCCAGGGGGCGGCCTAACCCAGAGCATATAATGCCGATATACTAAGCTCCTCCGAATTTTAGTCAATGTCGTTCAGCGGCCCCCATACACACCCTGCTGCGCCGCTCAGCCTACTTGTTGTGGGTAATCTAATCTGAGACAGATAAGGGTATCATGGGGTAAGAATAGTGGCTCTTTGCAATTGCCCCTCATGCTACAATAAGTATCTATACGGTACTAATCTTACGTGTTCCGAACCATCTCATCTTTGCCTTGCCAAGAACCTTACTTGAGCTTTGTTCCAACTTTAACGCGACAAAGAGCCTCTTAATCTGTAACAAATTATATTCGCTCTCAACCTTTTCATCCCGCTTGATTATCAGCTCGAATTATCATGTCACTCCTTCCGCCAGGCGTTGTACCAAACTATGTCGACCCGCCAGACCACAAAAGTCAAGATAGGGCTCTGCATACCGTAATGGTGATACTAGTCACTATTGCGACAGTAATGCGGGTTTGGACTCGCGCTTTTGTTACGAAGAGTTTTGGATGGGACGATTGTATGCGATAATACCTTTCCTGAGATTTCATAATTTCTTCAAGAAGTACACTTGACTAACTTTTTGGACTCCTTAGATATTACGGTCTTTGCTTGGGTAAGAGGACACTGCTGCAGGAAATGAAAGTTGGCGTGATCTATTGCTAACTGATTAAACAGGCAGGGACTGTGTCTTGGTCTGGTGTATTACTAGCTTGTACGTACCACCATCTAATGCGAGCTCGGTTTTTGTTCTTGTAGATCATATATAGTATATGTGCTAATTAATCTGTAATGAACAGCAGAAAATTATGGCATCGGCCGACATCTATGGGACATTCCCCCGGAATGGATGATAACCGGACTAAAGGTATACCTTGCTCACTTGTTCCTTTCTTGCTTTGTCTGTACCCAAGCTAAATTGTACCATAGTTTTTGTTCGTCACAGAAGTCATGTACATAATAATTGCGCTTGCGGTGAAGCTCTCCTTCCTCTTCTGCTTTGATCGCATATTCAGTACGAGCCGCGTTACACGATACTTCATCTGGTTCGGGATATTTGCCAGCACCGTCTTTTACATTGTTGTATTCTTCGACACCGTCTTCCTATGCAAGCCTATAGCTCTAGCTTGGAACCCTCTGTTGAAGGGGAAGTGCGGCAGTCAGAAAATTCTGCCCTATGCTACAGGCGTGTTTGGGTTTCTGAGTGATTTTTATATCTTTATTCTGCCTATGCCTTGTGTATGGAAGTTGCAAATGAAGACGACAAGGAAGTTCAAGTTGATGGCTGCTTTTAGTGTTGGATTATTGTATGTCTTTTGTGTCCCTGTCCCCATCCTTCAATTCAGTCCCTCGAGCGCTCAATAGTAGGCCATAAGACTAACACACACCTAGCGCATGTATCGCGAGTATTATCCGTTTTGTTTTCACAATTCGGCTGGTAAATAACGTCGACGCGACATGGAACTATATCACTTTAAGTGTTTGGGCGTATGTCTCCATACCTTCCCCCTCCTCAACTTCCTCTTAAATGGAAATCCCGACTAACTCCAAGTTCCATCTCTTAGTGTTCTCGAAGTTGATATTGGTCTTATCTGCTCGTGTCTTCTCTCTTTCCCAGCATTCTACGAGCGCTACAAGCCTGCCAAATTCGACTCACTTGTGAAGCGCTTTACAAGCTATATCACAACCTCGAGCGGCACTCGCAGTAGCTCAAATGCTACCTCGCGTGCACCTGTCAAAGAAGCCAATCGTTATGCCGAGATAAATGATTCGGGTGCCGTGCCCCTTCATCTAAGAGGCGATGTAAATGGGACGAAAGGGGAATATTACCGCGCGAAGGTAGAGAGAAGTAACAGTGTGGACGACGAGGATGATTATGAGGAGCTCACTGCCCTTCCACAGAGAGTATATAGAGAGGAGGGAGTTAATGTGAAAAGAACTGTGGACTTGGAACATGGGCCGAGGAACGACCAATGGTGATAGGGAGGAAATGTATTTTATGTCGTGTATCGAATTATGCTTGATTTATTCTCATTGGTTATACATATTTGCAATCATGTAAATTTCTTATTCTTTGTAGATACCAGCAAAATCGAACCATATCATGTTATTCTTAATCGTTTTAAAGTCCTCCGAGGTTTACAGGTCCAGAAGAAAGACCCTCCAAGAACGCGCATTAGCCGTATAGAAGGATCAAAATTTTAAGCTTCATACCCCTTAGAGCTTAGGGTTGGAGTTGTGAAGCTTAACTAAGTTCTGTAAAATATCATCACATTCAAGACCTGTTGTTGCTACTGTCACACGTACTACGTTACAGGTTACACTGCATATGAATAACCCACTTGACACGACATTAGCAGGGAGTATGAATAAATAAATATAGTCTATTCTAACGACGCATAATACTCAAATTCATTCTAAATTCGACGAAATAGCAATTTATACCCCCAAGCGTAGACCCCAGTGAACATGCCATAGAGCGATTTGCTTAGCGCAAATATCATAGACATCGGCTTTTCTGCCGTCGCATCATCTGCTTGCTCTTTCACTTCAACGTTCTTTTCCTTTTTCTCCCCCCAATCCATCAAAGCTAATTGAGATTCGTTATAAACCTCGCCTGGATTGTATCTGGGACATGTGATACTCCAAACAGCATTGCCACTCAAGCTCCATAAGACGGCTTCCAAATATCTCCTGAGATCGACAGAAAGCTCTTCATTTCCTAGCTCTCTGTTTGTGATCTCCACGTAGTCAGCTACATAGCCCTTGGTAATATCCCTCAATTTTGACATGGCCTCCTCCTCGCTAATGGAATGCTCGCCCATCAGGACCCATACCGCATTGACAATCTCCTTGTGGCCGTACTTTTTAGCAGCGTCACGTTCCTTCTCCCATGAGAAGATGTCGTTCTGCAATGCAGCAGCCGCCCATGCCGGCATCATCAGTTCTTCACATTTTTCCATTTCGTGGTCTGGAATTGTGATGGCCATGCCAAATGTGACCACTCCGAACCAGAACCTGTTTCATGCACCATCAGAAAGTGACAAATATGTAGAAACGTTTGGTTGATCGTCACTTACCATTTACCGACATCAATACTTCGGTAGGGGATATATTCCTCCATTGTTGCAAAGTGATTTGTATGTTGCCTCCCACCTGCGAGCCGCAAGAACTCGGCCCAACCTTTCATTGTCGTCAATGCCCTCTCTTTGTCAATGGCCATCATCTCTTGTAGAATTTGAGCCTGCATCTGTTTTTTCCCTCCGTTCTTTGCGGCTGCTATTGTCCCTTTACTCGCGCCCTCTAGAAAAGCATCTTGCAAAGTATCATTGGCTTTATTGAGCTAATTTTCAGTCAGCCAATTCATATGAGCTTTATCGAGGGATCATATATTACCTGCTCCTCATCACAATCTTCTGTCTTATCTGCAATTCGGTTAGCACATCGTTTATTTTTTCGTCCTGTTAGTTCGTACCATCATATAAAAATGCGAACTCATTTGCGTAGCTAATGATTTCCATTCTTTCGGGCAGACATTCGGGAATTGAGCAAGACATGAAATTCCATCTTTTGTCCAAACCTCCTTTGTAAAATTCTAAAGGTTCTACAAAGCGGTTCCAATCCCGTTGGCAGCGAATTGTCCCGACATCCTCATTGCTGGGAAAATTGTGCATACGTAGGGGGATTCCATCGCATAGACCTTGGGTCTCATATTCCGATGGATCAACCAGTCGAGAGTATTGCGGTTCTTGCATTGTGAAAGTTCAAAATCAAATAAAGATAAGATTTTCTGGAGGAAACTATTCGGGAGACTTAGCATTAAGGAGCTTGATTGCAAAGATATATAAATTATAACTTCATCTCGTTATCGGCGTCTCGACCGTACACGTATTAACATTACTGCGTTGAAAGACCACTAGTATTAGATGCATGCCGGTTACCTGGTTTGCTCAGAGCAGGCACATCCCCGGGCATGTCCAGGGGGCTAACCGGGTTTCCAGGTTTGCCACGCAGGCTCGGTATATTTGACACTAGTAATATAAATTAGCATAATCGACTCGATATTCTACTATAGCTACTTTGTAGTCTACTTACTAGTTGTAATATGCGAGCCATCCAGTAGACGTTTCGCTGGCCCACTTATCTCCGTCCGTACATGTGGCCCTCTTTCCTGCAGCACTTACTGTACCAGCTTGTGATAAGACAAAATAAGAGGGGCGGGGCAGGGTAGTGGGGTGAATTCTAGCCCCACGCCGTATTCTCTTTCAAGCTCATCAACGTGATTATTGCCATCAAAGAGATTCTAGTATCCTGCACTTTTCTCTCTTTTCTCAAATGAATATTTTCAGGATCTGACATCAATTCCACGTCCTACTACAACATGGCCGCTATTATAGTGTCAGCCATCGCTGATCTCAATAAGTACGTTATTGCTGGACTTGCGCTCTTAGCATCTATTACAGTATACTCGGTGTATCATGTCATCTATAATCTCTTCTTCTCCCCAATCGCAGGGTTTCCTGGCTCAAAATTAGCAGCCACCACTGGCTGGGTAGAATTCTACTATGACTACTTCAAGCAAGGCGCCTATATCTATGAGATTGAAAAGATGCATCAGAAATACGGTAGGTCCTCACTCTAATGTCTCCAGTGCAAGATGAATGCTGATATATACATATCATAGGGCCAATCGTCCGAATAAACCCTGAGGAGCTTTCAATTCATGATCCAACCTTTTATAATGAGATATATTGCATAGAAAGCAAGCGTCGAACGGACAATTACAATCATTTTGGAAAGGGGATTGATTTTGATGGTGTGGACAAGCTTCTTCTTAAAAGCTCATAATTACAATACGTGCTAATCAGTAGAATAGGCTCTCATTTTCTCACCACAGACCACGATGCTCATAGACGCCGGCGGAAGCCGCTTGAACCTTATTTTTCCCGCAAAGGAGTCATGGAATTAGAGAAAACAACACTACACCCGACAGTCAGAAAATTAGAGAAGCGTTTTCAAGCATTGAAAGGGACAGGCACTGTTGTGCGCCTGGATTATGCCTTCACTGCCTATACTGGAGATGTCATTGGACAAGTATGCTGTGAAGATCGGGAAGAATTTCTAGAGGACCCTGAATTCGCTCCATACTGGTATGTGCCTATGGAAATGGTTTTGCAATACTTCTGACAGGATATAGGTATGAGCTTTTGCACTCCATCATTAAGTCGATACCGCTTTTTATGGGACTTCCATGGATTATCAAGTAAGTCCTTCAAGAGACATATACTTAATGCGCGGCTTTTGATGGAATGCAGTATCGTAAATTTGATTCCTGAATCCGTGATAACATGGGCGGATCCCCGGAGCAAGAAAATGATCGAATACAAACAGGTGGGTAGAGTTCCACTAGCTCATCACTCTCCCTAGACAAACACTAACTTTCATAGTTGACGAACCGACATATCGAGATTGCGAAAAGTCAGAAACTGCAGGGTACTGAGAGCAAGAATCAAAGACCATCACTTCTCCGCTATCTTGTCAACAGCGACTTACCCGAGTCAGAACTTTCCGTAGAGCGTCTAACCAAGGAGGCTCAAGTTCTGCTCGGAGCCGGTACTGTGAGCACCGCTCGCACACTTGATTTCGTTTGCTACTATATCCTCGCAAATAAAGACATCCAGGCCAAGCTTCAAAATGAGCTCCGAGATATTATGTCAAATTATCCAGAGCAGATCCCATCTTTCGTTCAGCTTGAAAAGTTGCCCTATCTTACTTCACTCATCAAAGAAGGTCTTCGGTAAGTTACTCTTACACGCCTCCCTTTTCCCCTTTCTAACGGTTCAATACGGCTAGATTGAGCTTTGGCAACATGCATAGACTTCCACGAGTCTTTCCAGATGCCGCGATTCAGTACAAGCAATGGACGATCCCACCTGGAGTAACTATATCCAAGTTCAAACAGAAATCAAAACCCCGATTTCTGACTTGCATTCTAGGTTCCAATGGGCATGTCTGCATATCTCATGCATATAGACCCTACGGCATATGAGAATCCGTTTACATTTGATCCAGATCGCTGGATGGGCGAGCCAAGTCCTCTTCTAGCTAGGAACTATGTCCCATTCACGCGGGGTTCGCGAAATTGCCTTGGAATGAAGTAAGTCTTTCTCTACTTTGCTCATAAGAAGCGAGTTCTGCATTCCATTCCCCGCCTCCTAGATTAATGAGAAGACAATACATGGATACTGACGGGAATGCTTTTCTCAGCTTAGCGTATGCAGAAATGTACTTGGCTCTTGCGGTCTTGTTTAGGCCAGGTGGGCCAAAGTTTCAGCTGTTCGAAACGGATGAAAGTGATATCATCCAGGTGCACGATTTTTTGCTTCCGCTCCCGAGACTAGATTCTAAAGGTATGCGAGTAACCATTGAGAGCTGATTCAAGGGAGCGGAGTGCGAGAGATGAAATATATGTTTCTGTTGAGGCCGAGGTTTTGCCCGCTATAGTTCGTAGAAAATGATTTATTGAATGAACATGTATCAGCGTCAGACTCGTAGCTATTACTGTAGTTTTGACAGCCAAGAATAATACCGTAGTCAAGAGAAGCTGGATGCTGTAAACCTTCCAAATGCGCAAATTTCGATATTATAATGTATAAGGGTTGTGCAACTCATCAGATCTAATTAATGCATAGAATTACTCCCACTTTCTTTCTGGCAAAAGCAGTGCAAGTTCCAGAGATTCCGACCCGCATATGTACCTTGTCTTGTCTCGGTAAAGACTAGGGTATGCACGTCAAATGTTTCTTATAAAAGGCCGGGTCCGCAGAAAGGTCAATCCTTCAGCACACTCTACTCTGACGACTGCAAATATGGCATCAGCTCAACTTAACTCTGCTTTTGAAACCCTCTTAGCCGGGAGTAAATCTGTATCTTCGATTATCTCTGACCACTCCTCATTACTTTCCTATAGTTTCATTGGATTTGTAAGTAAAATCGCAGTCTTGTTCAACTTGACTGAATAAAAATAGAATTCTGACGCACTGGATAGATTGTCATATACCAACTTTCAAGATGGACATACAATCTATGTTTCCATCCTCTTGCCAGTCTTCCGGGCCCAACCACGTGGGCAATGTCAAGGGGACCCTGTGAGATATCCAATGTCCGCGGAAGAATTCTCAAGGATATCGCTCGTTTGCACGAAAAATACGGCGAGGTGGTTAGAGTAGGACCAGATGCTGTCATCTTCAACAACCCTGATGCTTGGGGAGAAATTTACGCACATAAGCCAGGAAAAGGTGTGTTTCCTAAGGACCCATTGAGACATACCCGAGAGCTCTGGATTCATGGCGCGCCCGACGTTTTCACAGCGGAAGACACCGATCACCCCCGCTTGCGCCGTTTGATCAACCCGGCTTTCTCTAGCAAAGCTCTTCGTGAGCAAGAACCGCTGATACAGGCAAATGTCAATCTTTTAATCACGCGACTACAAGAGCAGATGGGTTCGGACTCAACGGGGGTTGTCGATATGAATGAATGGATCAATTGGACAACCTTCGATCTCATCGGTGACCTTGCGTTTGGTGAGACGTTCGATTGCCTAAAGACCGGTGGCTATCATCCTTGGGTTGCCTTGATCTGTAGCTCAATAAAGACAGTATCAATCCTGGGTTCTATCAAACAGTGGCCTTGGATTGAGGCAGTCTGGCAATTTCTTATCGGCGGCATCATGATCCGGGCTATGAGGCAATTCCACCAACTGGTGATTGAAAAGGTTGACCGTAGACTTTCAAGAGCCAAAGGCCGCAATGATTTCCTGCAGTCTATCTTGGATCACAAAGACACAGAAAAATCGATGACACAAGATGAGCTTTATTCTAATGCGGCGCTCCTGGTCATGGCAGGTACTGAGACCTCGGCGACAACACTCGCAGGAACAATATATCATCTTGCGCGAAACCAACAAGTACTCCTCCCACTGCAAGATGAACTCCGCGCGACTTTCAAGTCTGAGGATGAAATGACGTTCAAAACGGTTTCGGACATACCTAACCTTCTCGCGGCTCTGCACGAAAGTATGCGTATGTACCCTTCCGTCGCTGTGACAAACCCTCGCAGGGTTCCAAAAGGTGGGGCTTCAGTGATCGGAAAGTGGCTCCCAGAGAATGTAAGTCCTCATTAAGAAGTCGGGAACATTCAGCCTGTAGCTGATGCGATATCTTGTACATTTAGACTACCGTTGGCACGTACCAATGGGTTGTCTATAATTCTTCCACAAACTTCCGTGATCCAGGAACATTTGACCCGTCTCGCTGGCAGGGAAACCCTTACTATGAGAATGATCGGAGAGAGATCTTCAAACCCTTTTCAGTTGGTCCAAAGAGTTGTGTAGGCAAACAGTCAGTAGCCCCAACTACTTGTGATGCATGGATGGATGGACTTTGCTGATTATAGCTTGAACAGACTTGCGTATGCTGAGATGCAGCTGATATTGGTAAAGCTGATTTGGAAGTTTGACATTTTGCTGGCCGATGAGAAAAACGTATGGACAGATCAGAAAGTTCACTGGTCATGGATGAGAGTCCCCTTAATGATTAAATTAAAGGAGAGAAAGGGAAGTTTATCGAAGTAGAGATATAAGCACTCAGTAGAAGGGTTCACACGACCTGAGCCCAATGAACTGCAATGGATCAGAATGGAACAGCAATGAATGTCCACTGCAAGTACGCAGATAACTATTTAGTTTCCTAAAGCTCAAAACTATCCCAAGTCATTACCTCAACGCGCTCAAACTTGTTCCCCGTGGCCTTCTTGATCGCCTCCACCACGCCACCATCTAACTTATAGAGAACAACACCCCAAACACATTCATGAGCAACATCACTAGCATCCTGCTCCAACCTCCCCTTCCGGAACTGCTCTGACTTCTCGAAGCTCTCCCCCTGGGTGGAGTTCAAGCCTAAGACCGCATCCTCCTTCCCACCAAGCACGCCCTTTATCACTCTTTCGAACCCTGCATTGTCCTTGCCGCTGACATGGAAAAACGCCGTCACCAAGTCGCCTCCAAGAACTTTATCTTGGGGACTACCACTCTTCGGCTCGGGAATGCGAAGATAGATGACCTCGCGCATGGAGATGAGGTCCGCCAGACTGGCCATCAGAGGCATGAGGACTCCGGACTCAATGAACGCCGAGTGCAGTGCCACAGTTGGCCAGATCCCAATCATGGCTACGATGGGCTTTTTCAAGCCCTTGTTGTCTGGAGAGCTCGTTAGGAAGCGGAAGTATTTTCCGCCGCCTTTGTTGAGTTCATCGAGACAAGTGCTGAAAACTTGAACGATTCTTGGATCGGAGGGTGTAATGTCATTTTTGAGGTTCACGGTGCAGATTTCGAGGATTTGAGTGGTCATTTTGAAAATATGTCAAGACTTTGAAGATATTGTAGTTACTAATTATTTATTTTCCATTTGTTATATATCTAGAACAAGCCCAATTTTGCCCTTCCAGACACAGTCTTCGGCAGTTCTTGGAAGCCTGCTTTGCCACCGATTATGGCGTGTTATCAACTCTGCGTTCTTCAATATGATACAGGATGTTCCGGTGTTGTCACCAAATCTGCATATCAAGGATTATATGACTTTACGAGGTTTATATGGACTCCGGCTCTCCGAAACATTATTATTCTAGTTTAAAAAATCTTTTTTGGCGGTTTAATCTCTAACCAATACATAAATAATCATATTTGAGGATCTATCTAGCTAATCAAGACCTTATTTTGGCTATGTTATAATCCTTGAAATGCAGACTTGGTGACAACACCCTGTATGTCTTCACTAGGTTTATATGGACTCCGACTATCCAAACCGCTCCTATTCTAGTTTCAAAAGTGATTTTGATAGTTTGATTTACCATTTACCAATCAAGGATAAACGTTTAAAAAGGAATGTAGATAGGTGACGATGATACCCTGTACTGGTAATACAACGTACTAATAGATAGTCCAACTGATACCAGCCAGTATTTCATTGCTTATTGATGCTTCAATCGATAGCTAGGCAACACTTTGCACACCATTGTCTCCATTTGGGATTTGTCCCGAGAGCTGCACAGTGAAGTGATGCACGAAAGCCCCCAAAAGCTTGTGTTTACAAGCGTCGGGCACGCGGCGCCTCGTGCGTCATGCAGGGCATGAATAACTGCATATGGCACAGTAGTAATACGTAGTAAGACTTCTGGGAAACTGGGAAGATGATTCCAAGGTGCAATATAAAGCATTGAATTTACGGTGCATTTAGAGTTCTTTACAACCTTTGCGGACTATAAATAAGTTGGACTCGGAGTTATTGCCGTATAAAATCTACTGGCTAGTATTTATCTAGTAGAATATATGAGATAACGAGACAGATAAGCTTGATAGGAAACTAAACATTTAAGCATGAAGATCAGCTATAGACTAGTAGTTATTGAACAAGGCAGCCCCGTACCGAACGCGAGGAGCGAGCCGTGTCTTGGCAGCGGAGCTTACTTTCAACTACGGAGTATGCAAGGAATTGTTATTTGCTGTACTGGTATTCGCTGGCTCGGTCATCGGTGACCGTTTTTGTTTTGCCGTGCTGGGTCTCCAAGCCGTGTTTATCGGGCAACCTCTTGCTTTATCAAGGGAGGTCATTTTATGACGCCTTGCCCCTCGATTTCCCCGCCCGAGGCGCCCAAAACTAGTAAACCTCTGCGAGTGCCGATCCGGACGTCGGCTCCTTCTTCTTTAAGGGGCCGTTGCAATATTATGGATACTGCTAGTATCGTTATACTGATGTCCATTTTCGAACGTGGTTGCCATGAGAGAACCAGGGTGCCTCCTAGTTGTCGCTCTTACCTGCAACGTGCCCTCGGCGATCATCACAGCCTTGAAGGGCGATAACAGATGAACATTTTGCCCAATCATGGTAGCTTCATAACTTGCCTTAATGCAGTTGCATTGCGCGGCGTTCATAATTGGCGGAAAGCTTACGTGGACTCGCGGAGATGCATGCCATAGTGGATTCCTTAGCCTGCTTGTTTCTCTACATGGTATTGTCACTACAAATGGCCCCCAAAGAATTATCCTACTTCTAACAGCCTTGAGAAGATAGAGGGGGTGGAAATATCTCAGGCACGTCCAGGGTACTACACGAGGTGTGCAATTAGAAGCTCGAAATCTCCACTCTATGTCCTTTTTTTACTAATCCAAATAATATAACGAATCAACAATGCATGCCCGTAGGCCTGTGCATGGGGTCCTCTATCATATAAATAACGCGTACATTCGGTCCTGACCGGTAAGTATGTGTTTTTTTTAGCTAATCCCCACGGGTAAAGAAGCTGTCCCGATTTGGCAAACAGCTTGAAACTTTATAGGGAAACAGCTAAAGAATGCCCTCTTATCCTGAAAAACACTTCTTGACACATAGTCGCGGCATCTTTGATCTCCCTAAATCAAAAGACGATGAAGAAGTGAGGAGAATGAGAAACCGGGAATCTTCAAGTGGCCCCTTCGGAGGCGAGAGGTGACTTTCGTTTGCACAGGAATTCCTTGAGCGTCAAGCCGCAACATCATGCTTGGCTTTGATTGTCTCAAGTTACTTGAAGGTCTCATGAGATTTCTATAATCAAGTGAAGCTTTCACTCTGCTGTATTTCGATGAGAAGTAGAAATAGAATTCGGCACGAGCTTGACGGCAGGTAGATCGTGGAAGGCTCGAATCGACTACTAGGTTGGATTGTGGAAAGAGGAAGTTGCGGCAAATATAAAGATGAAGTGAGTAAACAAAGCAAAATCGGAATTCATGAAATGAACGCAAGAAAAAGGAGACACTCGCTTGAGTAACCCTCACGTGGCAAGTGCGAAAAAGGGGCCGGCTCGGCTGCTAAAAATAGGAGAAACCTCCAGCCACAATTGAGGCGCAATTGTGGAATGCGAATCACCTCAGTATACGCGTCCGCGTCGCACAAGGGAGGGGGGAGATATATCAACCATGAACAACCTCCAGTCCTCCACCAACACCTATAATCTTTCGACATAATACTCACGACCTTGAAAATGGCACCCACACTCGTTCCCAGTCCTCGAAATATCGATATCCTCCGCTCGCTCATCACAGAAGAACCTATCAAGAAACAAATACTGCGGAATGCGAGGAGAGCGGCAGTCGCAGCAGGACCTGGTGCCGCGCACCACCTGCTTCGACGGAGTCTGAGCGTAAACGATGCCCAGAAGGTGACACTGGGCGTTATCGCCGTCTATATTGTTGTTATTGCGTTGCTCTGGAATTTACCGTAAGCAATCCTTTGTTCTGTTGTGTTGCGCTTGTTATTATTGTTTCTATACGCAGAAAACATCATAACTAATTCCCTCGATAGGTATATACGCTGGTCGTTATGGCCCTTCAAAGTGAGTTATATGCCCCGCTTCACAAAAAAGTAAAGAATTGAACTCCCGAACAGCGGCTGATGTATTTATCACAATAGATGCTCGTTATAGCCTTCCACGAATTCGGACACGCTATCACGGCTTGTTGCACAGGCGGAAAAGTCGAATCCATATCGCTTGATCCAAGAGAGGGGGGTGTTACCCACATGCGGGGAGGGATCAGTGCTGTTACACTGCCGGCCGGGTACCTTGGCTCCTCACTCATCGGCGCCCTTTTGATATTCTGCGGCTTTGATATTGTAGCAAGCAAGGTTGCGAGCATAGTTCTGGGGGTCTGCTTCTTGCTCACACTGTGGTGGGCAAGGAGAGACTGGCTTACGATCGTCACTGTCCTACTGGCGGTTGGGTTGCTGATTGCATGTTGGTTCATCGCTCATGCGGAGGCGCTGAAATATGTGGTGCTTTTCATAGGCGTCATGTCTGCCCTCTACAGTGTTTGGGACATTGTTAGTGCCCATATCAAATACTTCAAGAACTTCCGTTCACTGACCACTGTTTTAGTGCGACGACCTCATCCTGCGAAAAGTCAATACCTCCGATGCCTACGTCTTCGCCGAAAGATATGGGGGCTCCTCACAATGCTGGGGTGTAATCTGGTCCATTGTATCCCTCCTTTTCATGGTTGGGGGCATTCTCGCTGGAATTGCCGCGTTCCCGGAATCTGCTACTCAGCAAAAAGATGACTCGAAAAAGTTCATTCCAACTTAGACCTGCGTGCGCTTCTGAAGATGGGACAGCGAAAATCTTTCTGCGGGTTAGATTGATACCAAATCATTATCGTACCGCGCAAAAACCAACAACAGTCCCTACCCAGGTGCCCATGAGGTTTCAAGGACCAAACGATTCCTTGATCAGTTATTGTGAAGGCGTTGGGGCATGGCGTGTTTGGACAAACAACCAAGGACACAGGAAAGCGCGTACCTGCTTCACACCGCAGGGACTTTAGGCTTACTATGGTCGACAGCTGTGGCGGCATTTAAGATCTAGATCTAGGATTGGTTGCATTGAACTCCAAATGTTGAGGTGGTGCCTCTAAATGACGAGTAATGAAATTCAATGATACCCCCGAAGTTGTCTAGCAAATTAGGAATTAATCAAAGTATATTAGCATTTGGATAGTCCATTAAAATGACACTTTCTCGCCTCTATTGAAGTTTCCACATCTCAAATTATTTTACTCAATCTTGTTTCCAGCTTTTCCCCCCTCTTCATCCTACAATGTCACTATCTGAAAATCGGTTATGAATTGCAAGGTTTACTCTTTCACCAAATATTCGTCTTCTTCTACATTGCGTTTCATTATAGCACCCTCCAGTCGAGGAACTCTTCTCAAGATCATAGTAACCCCAAAAGAGACTTTCACCGTACGTTCGCCATAACCTTCCATGATCGATGAGCCCAGCCCACTGTGCAAAAACTCTATTGATGTTTTATGTTCCAGAAACGGGGCATTGAAATACCTCAACTATACCAAATAAGAAACGAGTGTCCACCGATAACCGTGTCATTTCCAAGCAAGTTATTTCGAGCCAGTGCTTAAATCCCAGATGCTAAACGCGCTTGTTAGATGAAGGGAACTTCGGCATAAACAGCACAGCACCGCCCAATCTCAAACCTAATTCATAACCAAAAGAGAGTTTCCATGAGCGGACGGACGATTGCCATCCATGCCGAGTTCCGCCTGGTGAAGCAAGCTCGCCTCCGATATTAGACTTTATCTGGAGGTATCCGGATCAGAAATATGCTTTGCAACAGAAGTGTCCCAAGTCTGGAGGTAGGAGATAAGGTGTACTTAGGAAACGAGGGTGAGAGGAGGCAATAACCAAGCGCGCATGCACTTGATATAGAGTACTTGAAGATGTATGTATAAATGCAAAGTGTAGAATGTATGAAAATATAATTATTAGATTTAGATACGACTATATGCTTATTACAAGTCTAGCCAGAATCTGTCACCATCCATACGGAGGCTCTATGTAATCTTACCAAAGGTATTCTCCTTCTAGATAAACCCCAAACGCCATCGCTAAATCGCAAATCCTCCTTTGCATAACCTATCTATCCACCAATCCATCCCCGAGGGTATCTACCTAGTTCCCCCCTCCTCCCCCAACCGATCCTGCTCCCAACTAAACCGACTCTCCGCCAGCACAGGCACATGCACAAGATCCTCACCTGGAGTTCCAATATGCTGCTTCCTTTTATACGGATCCACGACCTCCCTCGTCTGCATATCAGCACGCAGCGCAAGCATGTCCTCGCGCAGGAACTTTGACTCGTCCTCCTCTCTCGCCATCACGCGCCCGGAACCATTGAGCGGTTGTTGGCTGCTCGATGTGCTCAGGCCACTCACGCCGCTTTGCCCGCCGTCCGAAGCTGGGCCGGATGCAGAGGGGGTGCTGACGTTGTAATGGGAAGTGCTGTATGCGGTTACGCTGCGCGGACTGGGCTCGTCGTCGTATATGTCGGAGGTGGTTTGATTGGCCGTGTACTGGCTTCCTAGCGTGCTTGTTCCGCCCGTGGAGTCGGGGTCTGTGAGGAGTGTTTGCTCTTGGGCGTAGTTTTCCCCAGCGCGGTCTATCATTCGCGGAACTACATCTGGTAATTGTACGTTGTCTGGTAGGAGTCCTGCGAATATTCCGTTACTAGGACCGATTTTGCGGTATGTGGGCGGAGGACTCATAGGGCTTGTTGGACTGGTCGGACTGGTTGGTCCGGATACGAATATTGGAGAGGTGGGAGATGGAGATGGAGATGGCTGTCCGCTTGTTTGGGAACGGCGGGAACTGTAGGAACCGCCAGTTACAGGAGAAACGGGGCGAGTCCCAGAATTACTTTGGGAGCCCGGTGGTGACAGGAACTGCATTCCGGAATGACCGTCGTTTTCGATCTTTTCTGTCGGGTATGGTTCTCGTCTAGACTGAGCTAGATCGGCTGCTGCTTGTTGGCGTTCTAACTTTCTTCTTGCCTGCTCGTACGCGGACATATTGTATGAATCTGTTGTTGACGACTCATTATCAGTGGTCCCGCTCAATGTTCCTGCTTCACTGTCTAGTTCTGCTGGGCCCAGAGGTGCGGGAAGCTCAAATCGCTCATGTGAGGCGTCAGCGCTTACTTCAGCGGCATATGTGGTGCTGCCAAAAGCTTCGTTTGCTTGAAGCTCTTCTGGCTGTCGACGGAAACGTCCTAGGAAACCACGTGAAGCTGTAATTTCGACGGGCTTTTCATCATCCGTGGTCTTTGTTACATTCCGACGACGCCAGAAATAAAACCCGGACGATGCCAGTGCTAGAATTGCACCCACACCAACGACAATACCAACTATGGCCCCAGTTGAGATTTTGGCCTTGGATTTGTTCGAGGGGAGAGGACTGAAATTACTGTCCTTTGATTGAGAAATGTTGATTATGCTAGTATTCCCGAGAGGATCTAATGTGTGAACGGCTTGGTGGATAGAGTAGGTGTTTCGTTCATAGTCCGTGATTAAATACGCTTCTTGTAGGAAGGATCGACCAATGGTGTACTGGGCTTGATTGCTTGCCCTCTTGATGGGGAAGTAATACTTTTCAGAGTTGGAAGAACCGTAAGTCGTATTGGGAATAGCCGGGAAGGTCAGCTGCAAGTCGAAGGCCGCATATGGCAGTGTTATATTGACAAGTTCCGTTGACGAACCGGTGTCTGATAGAGTGACTGTGAACTCTAGTTGAGAATTTTTGAGGACATCGTGCTGTGAAGCATTTCCATCGAACCCATACAAATCCAAAGTGTTGTTGTAAGTCAAACCCAGTGTCTGGGCAAATTCGTCACAAACCGATTGAGGTAGCCAAAGGTAAGGAGTGGAGCTGTCGATTATGGCAGTAACACGGTCCGTCGTGGAAATCAATTGGACGGGGGTAGTCCAATTGTTTGAGGTTCCGGTTGAATATACCGACATGTAGTTAATATATGCTGCCGGGTTTTTGCTCGGATTTAGATTAAAGGAAGTATTGTGAGCAATTAATCGATTGGCATCATAGCCTCCAAGAGTCAAGGAAGCCGGCACGCCTTTCTGTTCTTGGAATTGTTAGTGGGTATCTGAGTTAAGAGAGAGGAAGCTTACGATATGTTGCACCAGCTGTGTAGCCATAACTGTGACTTGGAATAGCTCCGTTCGTCTCTACTAGACCACTAATGGCCGCAAGCGATGAGACATTGTTGAAGTTTCCTGGCACAACTCCTAGGCCAAACTCCCCAAGAAAGTATTCTGTGGCGTTTATCGACCCAATGATTGTTGAGTTAAGAGTTACCCCGGTGGAACCAAATGTCAATTGATCGAAGCCATAGTCCGCATAGCCCTGGCCACCAAGTCGAGTATCAACCCCCAAGTTGAAGAGCCCTTGGTCCCTATACGTAGAAGATGTGCTGAGGTTATAAGTCCCTCCCCTGGCTTGTATGCATATGGAATCTAGGAATCTCTGTTAGCTGAAGCACATGGCAGAATCCCCTGAAGCCGCAAATGTCTTCTAAATGAATATATGTCACGCCATTGGCAAACAACAGTGTCACTACTCCAACCTCCTTGTATTCTCGCCGTATCGCGCCGTATCGCCTCAATCGAAGAAGTCCAACTCACTATTATCTGAACATCCCGCAGGCCCGACAACCCAAGTCTCCGAACTGACAGTATTGACCATAACATCGACCCATTGCGGTGGAGTTCCAACTCGAATCGATATCGCGGACCAAGTACCATCATCCCCATACCTATGTTCAGTCAGCAACTGCGTCGAAATGAAGTTAGGGAACTTCAGGCAGCAAAATTCGAACTGACCATTGCGTAGAGGGCGTAGCACTCAATGCCTCTATCGTGTCCGCGGCACTGATGCACCCCACCAGAAGAAAGATCGTAAGCGCCCATTGCCCCGTCGGCACCAGATACATGATCAGATCACGGATAGCAGCGCATGTTATTCACGATTTTCAAGGAATTATTGATTAATCTCACACACTCGGAATCGCGAACAAGGAGCTCGAGCGTGAGGAAACGAGTGTGATGTCTTTCTCACGTAGAAGGCCAGTCCTGGTGGTCCAGCGGAGCAGCACCTTCTGGACCCTGCACGCCAAGAAAATTAAGTTCTGCGCCCCAACGCCCCTTAAGGAGTAGATTACAGCGATCTAAACGCTACTGGGACGGGAGAAGATGGCCTGTTTCAGGCTTTTCGTGAGCAGATTCAGGCGCTGCAGGCCTTCTCCAGCACAGCGAGAACGCCACTGGAGAGCTTGGTAGAGAAATACGGTGCTATTTCTAAACGCTAGACGACGCCTCCTCGATAAGAACCGCCGAAATGTGAAAATATTTATGGAAGTTCAAGGCGTTGGATTGGACATGAGAGGAAGGAAGGAACGGAGCACATGACGGACTGTCAGCAATGCTTGGCTTGGATGGATTGGCTTGGGTGGATTGCCTTCTATCCAAATCCTTGGGGGCTCAGAGATCGTGATGATGGCGACAGTCAGCGCTGACATTTAAGATTATATTTCTTTGCTTGCTTTTGTATATTCCGCCCATGGTTGCAACATGGCCATTTCAAGTAAAAGATCATGAACCGTTTATAACCATTCTCCTACCGTTTGGCCATCTCTATAGGGGTTGAGAAGATTGGAGGTACGTAGGGAAAAGCTTGTACGAAGTAAAAACATCTGCCGGAGGCCCCGCTAAAAATACATTCTACACCCTGTTGATTGGTTGTGTAAAGGGAGTACGAATATAGATCGACAGCCTTCTAGCTTTTGGTGCTGCATCCCATTTTATTGTACTTCCGTACAGCCACAGCCACGGACGGCTTACGGAGTATTTTGCTGCATCTCTTTACTGCTGTAGGGCCAGATTATGATTTTTTTTTTTTTTTTTACCAGGCTGTTGCAGTTGTTGCAGTAACATTGGACCAAGTACGAAGCATTATGAATGTTGGCATACTTAACTAGCTAATGGGATTCGCTTTGCAGTAAAGCTACATCCGTTCGTACCGTTTAAGATCGAATCAAACCGACATTCGAGTATGTCAGCAATTCAGCCCTGGCCTGACCACAGATTCTGTGGCACAGAATCACAGGCGTTGGCGTTGGGTTGGATGGGCTCGATGGGGTACCCGGTACTCCGTAACATGGGCCCACCGGCTTCGAATACAGTAGACTTCATGCAAAAGCCTTCCTAGAGGCTTGGGTTAAACTCCTCGTGGCCTAGGGCTGACCCCACCCACGACGTTTAATTTATGTAAAATCCACCTGGGTAATTGACCTGCCATGATGGCAATGCCGTATTACTTCTTTCCCATCTTCACTCCTTGCCTTTTGCTATGTTTGAATTTCGGTGCATCCTCAACACCTGTGCCAGAGTCTCCATCTTAGACTAGAAACCCTCGCTTCACTGTACGAGTAATTGTCATGAGTTCATGAACTGCGGTATCTTATCTTTTGTGTTTATATCCACCACATTCGTTCGTCGCGCTGTCCCTCGTTTTTCGGCGGATGAAAGTTGTTGAAGATATCTCTTGATTCTCCGATCCTTGTTGCTATCTCGTGTCAAAAGCTTATTAGAAATCAACCCTTCGTTATATCAGTTCCTCGATTCATAGAGTAATCGACGCTCTGCGGAAATTAATACGAGCTTTGGTTGAGTTGTGCACCTCAGTTATGATATTCTCTCGTGAAGCCCTTTTATGGGCATTCATCTACTACGGCTCTTTTGGAGCTTGTAGTGAGAACGTTCTCGTACAAGGTATTTCTGAATATCCCCATTTCAATGATTTAAAATGCTAATGGATTGATCCAAGAAGGTGTAAGCCCTGACGATTCAAAATCGCCTACACGTTCACAACCTCGATATAACGATCCATTGGCGCAAACATTTAAGAGACGAGATGGAGATTCATTTACTCTATCGGTTCCGGACACACCACAAGTCCCTCCAAGTCCTGCCACAGGTACTCCTACATTCTCGTATGAAAGGCCGTGGTTGAACACAACAAGTTCGACATGGTCAGGGCAAAGTCACAATCAAAGCAGATCTAGCACGACTTTGGGCAATTCGTCCACAAGCTCGAGTACGCCATGTATAACACTTGGACCGACCGATGCGGTGACAATCTGGGATATCCTCCCAAACACAGAAACGATCACCATCACCACCCTCGCAAACTTGACATTGGCCATCACAGCAGTACCAGATTTCACACCTCCAAACTACTGCCCCACTGAATCAACCTCAGATTCAGTAGCAAAGACTACCTACGAATCAACTACCGGAACTTCCATAACAGTAGCTGAATCTTCAGTACCAACTGTGAGACCTACAACCACTATCACGACAAACAAAAACCCCGCTACTTCGCTGGTTGCTGCTCCTACTGATGGCTACCCAGGAGTCAACCCCACCAAGTCCGCGGTTGTGAATCCCGGCGCGACCACGACTCCTGTGAATTGGGGACCGCTTGTTGCTACCCCTGGTTCGGGCGGAGGGAACCTGATTCAGATCTCGACTTCGGACTCGAATCCGCCGGGGCCCACTACGACTAACCAGCCAAAAGTCAACCCGCCATCACCATCTGATGCAGGAGGTTCAGGGACAAGCATTTCAGGTGGTGCAGGAGCCAGTAACCCGGCTGCGAAAAACCCCGTGGGGCCTACTACAACTAGTCCGCCATCTGCTGGGAGCGGCTACGGGGATGGTAGTGGAGGAACTAGTAGTTTACCGTCTAACAACCTACCAGCGAATGGAGGAACTAGCTTGGGAGGTGAAGGGGAAGGATCGGGATCTGGCGTCATTACCACCATAGGCACTGTTCCTGTTAGTGTCGGACCTACTCAAGTTATTATTGGGGGTCCTGGCGGTCAGACAGTAGCTGTGCCTCAAGCCATAAGTGGAGGGTCAAGTCTAGGATCAGGAGGCTCATCAACACCAACGGGCAATTCAATCTCAGGGGGTGCTTCAGGTGGAACTCCCGTGGTAGTCACCCAAGATGGCCAAGTCTTCACGGTAAACCCATCCCAGGTTCTTGCAGGAAGCACGACTCTGGAAATCCCGGCTATCAACACGGGTGGCATTCTTGCCTCATCTGCTAGTCCCTTGTCTGCTACGCCAAGTACTATCAACGGCGTACCAGTCCAGCTTTCGCCATCTTGTGCTATTGTTGATGGGGAGACTTATTCCATTGGTGCTGGAGCACCAGAAACAACGGTTGTTGCTAATAAGCAGACTATCTCTATTGGACCCGGGGGACTCGGCTTTGCTTCGACAACTGTAGCCCCACCTCCTGCTCTAGCATCAAATTTTGTTATCATGAATCCTACAATATTTTCGGTGGTTGGGTCAAGTATAGCTGTTATCAAAGGGACAACCTTTACGTATGGCCCAGGAATTGCAGCCGAGACTGATGTTCTCGATGGAGAGACTATCACCATTGGACCAAATGGAGTTTTCTATGATAGCACCACACTTGGAGGGACAGCACATGCCACTGGAACACAACTTGGAGTTGCTGGTGGTGTTTCCATTACCGAAGTCGGCTCAACACTTGCAGTCATCAGCAGCATAACCTTCACAGTTGGTCCAGGAGCCACTCCATCAACAACCGCAATCAATGATCACACCATCATAGTAGGATCTAATGGTCTCGGAGTCGACGGTACAACAATATCGAGCCCATTCAATCCTACCACACAAACCGTCACAGCAGGAGGAATCACATTCTCTGAGATCGGCTCCTCGATAGCAGTAATCGGAGGAACATCCTACACGGTTGGGCCCGGCGCAGAACCTGAAACGAAGACTTACAACGGCCGAACAATTAGTATTGGGGCCAGCGGACTTGGATTTGCCACAACCACTGTTCCACCCCTCAGTTCTACACCTGAAGCTACAGCCACGACGTCGGCGCACACGACGGGCAAAAAGAAGAATGGTGCGGGGACTTTGAAACGCGTGTATGGTATTGTAGGTGCATGCATAGCGATTTGTATTGGATTTGCGATTTGATAAATGATTGGGAATAATGGTGTTTAGGTGGTGCAGCGAGCAGATACCCGCAAATTCCGAGCATAGATAGATCGGGAGATGTAATCCGTAATTGATACTGTATAATGTTAGACGGTAGAGCTTAGACAATTGGAATGCCTAGATATACCTCTTTACATATTGACTATAATGTGATTTGTTATTCGCAAATACTCGAGTAAGTCAGGGGCTATAGAGAAGCCAATCCAATATGCCCTTTTCGGCTGTCTCACTCACGCTAGTGCATCCCAATCTCTCGGAATTACAAAACGTCACAGAATCTTCACTTCTTCCACAAAATCATCAAACCACACAGACTTCCCCTCCACGCACACGACGATAACAACTCGCAGACTGACCCAGAAGAAACTGGCTCAGTCGATAAATCCATTCCCACTTTTCTCCCGACAATTTTATGCAACCCGAGCCCACCGAATCCACACCACATCAATCCCACTCTATCAACGCAGCAGACCCCCAACCCGAAGCCCAACATGGCATTCTTTCCCCAGCAGTCTCTGCAGATGCAGACCCAGGTCCATGCCTCAAGCATGACGCCATGGGGATACAGAAGCAGTTGGCAGGATTGAACCCCGAAGATGAACGTAGGAAACGCATCTCTGAATATGAAAACGCGCTTTCGCCTTCGCCACCGAGGAAGCAGAGCGAGGGTCCTGGCTTTAAGGTTGTAAAGAAAAAAGGTGCTACAAGAGGTGATGGTCCGCAGTTGGATAATTTTCCTAATGGTATGCCCTCTTATTGAGCACGGAGATATGTTGAGCAAGTCTAATAATACACAGAGGTCCTCACGCACATCTTGTCCCATCTTCCTGCTGCTTCTCTTTCCGCCATTTCCTCAGTCTCGAAACGCTTCTATAGTCTAGTTACTACACCCCATGCCTGGCGGATCGCCTTTTCGCGCTTCTTCCCCGGCCAAGATGCCCTTGTCAATACCAACTATGCTGAAGAAGGACGCGAGCAGCTCCGCTCCGAACAACGTGTTTTTACCCGTCTCACAGGCCTCGCATCTTGGCGCAGCGAATACATCCTCCGAACACGCCTACTTCGAAGTCTCGGCCGAGGAAAACCAGCTCAAATTGCTCCCGGCCATGGTGCATCGTCTCGCTCCAACAGCGCGGCCAATAACGCGAATGCAGTCATCACGTACAACTCTCAGCTCTTTGCGACAATCAATCATATCCATGGCATCTTCGGCAGCGGGAAGAAGGCGACGAGATTTGTTCATGGCACGGATGAGTCTGGCTCGGCGTGTACCAGTGATCCTAATATTGGAAAGATTGACAATTGGGGCCTCTCAGACCCGCAAGCACTGCCGCAGTTCGCGGACCTGTTTGTGGGCGATGAACCGTATGGAGCTGGTGATGGACCTGTGGGGCTACCAAATTCTATGGATGTGAGCCAGCCATTTGGGATGGTGTATGGCGAAGGCTTCCCTGGCGGGCAGACCTACTTTCGCTCTTCTGAGGAGATGCGAGGGCGTTTTATCAGTCAGCCGAACGATGTCCCTGATGCACAGGCTGGGATCCCTACGATTCCCGGGCTTACGGAAGCTATTTCTGCTGTTTGGGTTGCGAAATCCGCGGCTGTTCCAAGTGCTACGGATGGGCTGGTGGGTATTCTGACGGGGTCGACATTAGGTATGGTGACGTCTTACTCACTAGGAGCTGAAACTCCACATGGTCGTCGCATTCAAAGGGGTCAGGTTACTGCCAAGTGGGTTCTCAGTCCCGGTGTCCCGATCATTGCCCTGAAAGTCGATGAATCATACTCGTTGAAACGCAGAGGTTCTGGTCGTATCTGGGCTGTGGCACTAAATTCTCTCGGCGAAGTCTTCTGCCTAAGCGAATCTCTAAAATCAGCTCTTGTTGACAGCAAGGTCGATGATGGTGATGTTGGACGTCAAGCTTGGAATGCCGGCCGCACTGCATACTGGACTCTCGTCGAGCCATCCCGCCGCACTGCCAGAGATGATCCTTATCAAGAAGCAGAGATTCACGGGAGCTACTCTCCAAGATCTTCGGCAAAGTCATTGCGTCTTTCCAAAGCTCAAATCATTGCCGAGACACATGAGATTGAGAAGTTTCTTGCTTTCCCTCCTGTTCATTTCCGCAAGGCTTGTGAAGGTTGGGATATGCGTCGGCAACTGGAGGTTGATTTCGCTGGCGATGATGGAAATGGGGCGGGCGAGGCAATTTTTGTTATCAATTGCGGACTCGAGGAAGGGCAACAAGCGGTGATAAAAAGATTCACGAGATGGAAGTCTGAACAAGCTTCTCGCGATGAGTATCCAGAACCAAAAACACCTCCCATGGCACCCAAGACTGTCACAATGGCTTCATTGTTCGGTGGTGGCATGGTCATCACTCCTCCCAGAAATTCTTCACCCGAGAGGTCTCAAATGACCTCGTTGATTGGAAGCCCTAGAAAAATCTCGCCAGACCGATCTCCATCAATGCCGAGCAGTCCAGCCTCCAGGATTGTGTCTACAACTCTGATTGAAGAATGGCGCACGACGATCCTTTCTTTGAAGGATCATCCAAATGTTGAAATCACTACCAGTGGGATTGATATGTCCACCTTTGCTACTCTGATAGTCGACGAAGATCCGTTGCGAACCGTCAACGGCAATTCTGAGGCATCATCACCATTTGGTACACCTTCTGACTTTGAAACTGGTGCATCTCAACTCCCCGGCTTCCGAGCACGTTTCCTTGCCGTTGGAACCAAACGCGGCTCTGTGATCGTCTGGAACATGCGCGGTCCTCAATCCACCAACCCAGCATTGGCAAATGAACTACAGCCCATTCGTACCATTTACACGGACTCGCCACAGATCTCTTGTCTCGCTATCTCAGCCCTATACCTCGTTCATGGTGGTAACGACGGCCTTGTTCAGACCTGGGATCCCTTGGCTTCATCCGAACAACCAATCCGAACCCTCAATTCTCGCTTCTCTTCCCGTGCCCGTCGCCGTCTCGTACAAGCCGAGGCCTCTGCCCTTGGCGTTGGAATTAATCTGTACGCAGCCGGCGCCATCTGCTTAGATCCAGACCCAACTGTACTCCGCGGTATGGTATCCCTCGGCACACATTTACGATTCTGGAGCTACAGTTCTAGCGCCGCAGATCAATATCAATCCAAGAAGCGTCGCCTACGCAGATCAAATGAGAGAGGCAGTAACGGCGGCAGCGAGCGATTCTCCAACACCGGCCGCGGTGCTTTAATGGATTACATCGCCACTGAACAGGAAGAGCTTAAAGCCGAGAAACAACGACGCGCACGTGAAGAAGCCCGTTTACGCGGTCGTTTCGGCGTCGGACTCAGCGGCATGAGCGAAGAAGAGGCATTGAGGTACGCGGAAATGGTCTCAGTTGAAGCATTTCAAGAAGATCAGGAACGCCGAGCCTCTGTATCTGTTTCCGAATCTGGATCTATAGCTGATGCAGTGGAGTCGAGCCAGAGCCAGAGTGTTTGGGAGAGTAGCGATGCGACTGTGACGCCTGAGGGCAGTGTGCGTAATTCGAGTCCGAAGTTCAAGACGGATGATGAATTTCGGTTTGACATTGAGGAAGCGATTCGCTTGAGTTTGATCGATGGGGTCGATGAGACTGGGAGGAGCCCCAAAGCTAGTGGAAGTGGAGGATTTGAAGTTCCAATTATGGTCAAGACGAAGAAAAGTAAGAAGAGTGGCGGACGATCGCAATCAAGTAGCCCTTCTCACAGCAGAGCCAGTGTAGGACGAGTTAGGCCAACCGCGGGTGGTAGTCAAGATGTTGAAGCAGATGATTTAGAGCTCGCTCTGCAGTTGAGTCTTGCTGAGGAGAGAAGCAAGCGTGAGTTTGAGGGCGAGAGTCTCAATGGGGCGCCCAATGATGAATTTCCCGGCTTGGAGCCTAAAGGCAAAGGAAAAGGTCGTGCTGCTTGATACCTCATTCAACTTCGAGCCATTGCTATGGTACTGTTAGACGGAGATTTTGCACTTGCTCTCTGTTATTTGTTGCTTTTAGATGGATGGTTTGATTTTCGATGCTTCACTTCTGCGAGTTCAAACCCCCTAATTAGACAGATAGGGTTAGACTTTGCAAAATAACACTTTGTTCACTTCTCAACACTGACCCCGCGCTCAGGGTAGTATTTATTTGCCTGGAAGTATCCAAAAAAGTATCCATACACTCGGTTCCCACTAGTATTAGCTGCTACTGATCTGCCAATCATCGGACTCCACAGTAATGGAACACCCTGATATCTCATTTGTGTACAGTAAAAGGCTTCACAGGATATGATTCAACAGCATCCGAGGAATAATGCGCTTGGCCATCGTGACCACGATCTGTAACGGGATTTTCTGGAGAGACTATATTGACTGGCGTGGTGGCGCTTTCAGGTAAGACGTACTGAGGCTCGTGGGTATGCTGGATCAATGGTGGAACTGGCTTGCGGCGGACTGGGGCTTGACTTGCCATTTTGAACAGGAAACTTTTGATGTAAGAGAGCATGAAGGGGTATTGTAAGATTACTCCGTATCATGGGACATATGCAAAGCTCAAATGGATGCATATGCATATTATAATCGATAAAAAGCATACCGCTAATTGGCTTGCCAGACACCCTTCTCGCTTGACTCACACCATATCATTGTATTCGTGGGTCTGGGGTGGTTTTTGGTGCGAAACAAGAACAAGTTTGGTATCTTTCCTCAAGCTGACGTAGCAGTAAAATCCACGAGATTCCCTCTCAAACCTATGCGTGATCAGTCGTTTCTTCATGAATTCTGGTCGTCTTCATTGAATAATTATTCCCTCCCGCAGGCAAGTGGTTACTTTGCTTTCGCTCCAACAGATGACACTTTGACCGTAATGACCTCTCCACAACTCGTCCTGTCATACACCACCAAATCCATCAAAACGTCTCTTTTCACCGGCGTGAGGTACAGTGGGTGGAACTTGTAGCAGCAAACCACAACCCCGCTCTCGCAAAGCCGCGTCAGGATTCCGCGGACAGTAAGCAACGCCAGTTGTTTTGGTACGAGGGCAATGAAGACGTGAGTGACTCGGTGAATGTTGATGAGTTGGTTGACGAGATCATCTTGGTCGTCGTTGAAATCGTAGACGAGCCACTGAGAATCGACGCCTCTGATTTCTGATGCTACGCCGGCACTTTTGATGAGCGCTGTATCGTAGTCAATTCCTACGCCTGTAGCAATAGAATTTGAGGTTTTGTTGATGTGATCGAGCAAGCTGATCACTGGATATGCAGAATTAGTATCTATTTTCCTTCTTTGATCGTGAAAAGTGGGGTGGTTTTCACAATACCTGGTAAATAATGTATATGAGGGAGTGATAGTTCGTGACGAGAAAGTACAAAAGAGAAGAATTAGTTACGGAACTCGCCATCTCCACAGCCCAAGTCACATACTACTGTGGGTACGGTGTTTTGAGGTGCCAACGCTACTCCGCCGCCGGAACTCAGACCCAGGCACATGAGAGTCGCAGCTGCACGCAGCGTGGCAATGGGAGTCTCTATGTATGGCGCTGTATCGCTACTGAAGCCGTATGGGATGTAATCCAAGTCTTGGAAGGGGAAGGCGAATATCGACTCATCGCCGCTATCCATTGCTTCAAGTTTGCGAATGGTGGCGTGACTCTTGAGAGTTTTTTGAGGTTTGGTGCCAGCAGGGACTTGATTATCTAGCAAGTAACAAAAAAGGACGAGAAAATGCCGAATGAGGGTGTGAAATTCTGGTTCTGTCCATGTATAATTTCTTCGGGTGTTACGAGTACCTAGGTAGATTTATCTTCGCTTAGCTAAGGCTGGCTGGTTTACGAGTAGTCTTTGACACCTCGTGACGCGGCCGCGCCATTCACCCATCATACGAGTCGTAACATTTCCTATAAACAGCACGTAAATGTCGTTCAGCTATTCACTACTATATATCGGCGGCTCCTCTCCAGCTGCCCATCTGAACTTTCTTCCCGGATGATCCTCTAGAAGCCACGGGGAGTCCAAAAAGACCTCACGCGTCGTGACACCTTCCTTCTCCACCTCTGTCCTAAAAAGACCACGCCGCTGAAGTTCTGGAAGTACGAAGTCGATTATATCCTCAAAAGAACCTGGGATCGTGACATTGGCAAAGTTGAACCCATCAATACCCCCTATATCCACCCATCTTTCCAGCTCATCGACAACTGTCTTGGGACTACCTATGGCCTTGGCGCCAGTACCTCCGAGGATCAAGTACCTGCGGAATCCAGGCATTAGCACATCTGAACATTTCTGAACATCATATTGTAAAGGGCCATTATGCTGGCTTGAAGGTGACTTACTCGGCGATCCGGGATTTGTTCCAGGGCAGATTATCACTTCCCGGTACCGTTGAGCTCCATCTATCAACAACTGATCGGACGGAGTAGTCTTTCACGAAACGGAAATCCTCATCATCCGTATAAGTGGAAAGGTCAATACCCGTCCAGCCTCCGAACAAAGCCAAAGCTCCCTCTCTGTCACCGTATGACAAGAGTTCCTCCCTCTTGGCTTTAGCTGCCTCATCAGTCTCTGCTACGATGATGGTTATGCCCGCAATTATTTTGATGTTGCTAGGATCGCGCCCGTTCTCTTTCGCTTGCTCCCTGATTATCTTTACGGCAGGCTGGACAAGCTCCGGAAGCTGAGCGCTGTATCATGAAGTTAGGACGCTGATGCTATCACATACGAAAAGCCCAATGCCTGCACTGAAGCCCACGAAGTGTCACGCGGAATACGAGTAGGAAAGATATTTACCTCATAAAAATGGCTTCTGCGTGCTTCGCGCCAAACGCTTTGCCAGCCTTGGACGTTCCGGCTTGGAAGAGAAACGGAGTGCGTTGTGGGGACGGTTCGCACAGATGCGGCCCTGGAACGTTGAAATATTTCCCTTTGTGGTGTATTTGACGTACTAGGTCTGGGTCCGCATACTGGCCTGTCTCCCTATTTTTCTTTACTGCATCGTCACGCCAGCTTCCTTCCCAAAGCTTATATACAACATCCATATACCTGGAGCACGGCGAATCAGGGGTTGTTTAATTTAATATTACTGAATCGAGAGACTAAAAGAGTGAAAGCAATGGGGGGGGGAACGACTAACTCGTCTGCAATGCGGTAGCGCTCGTCATGCTCAATCTGAGTATCAAGCCCAAGATTACGGGCAGCACTCTCGAGATATGAAGTCACGATGTTCCATGCGACCCTGCCACCTGATAGATGATCGACCGTGGAGAAACGACGTGCCATTTGGTATGGCTGCTCGTAAGTGGTGCTAGCTGTGATTCCGAAGACGAGGTTTTTGGTCGCTGCTGCGAGGACGGGTACTAAGTACAGCGGATCGTTTATTGGGAACTGAGCCGCAGATGGAACTGCAGGGCCGACATTTTCAGGGCCTTTGTAGACATCGTAGCCACCCAAGACGTCTGCCACGAAAAGCGCGTGGAAGTTGGCTTTGTCGAGGAGCTGCGCCAAATCGGTCCAATACTTCAGGCTTGTGTAGTCTGCTGAGTTATTACGAGGGTGTTTCCAAAGGCCTGGTGACAAGTGACCGGGTGAGTTTATGACGAAGGCGTTGAGAATAAGCTTTTTTCTCTCTTTCGGGAGTTCTGAACCTTGGATGGCGTCCCTCTGATGGGTTTCATTATTCTCAGCCATTATGGCAAATTGAGACCGACGAAGCTTATTCGAATATTGAAGTCAAGTTTTGGAAATCTTTAAAGGAGTTTGATTGTTTAGTGTTGAAATATAGCAAGAATTCAACTGGTGTTTGACCCATCTAGATGAGATGAAGTTATCACTACGAGAGAAGTAGAGGGTGCTTTCCACTCTTGGAGAAATCTTTGTTGGACTTTTGTGTCCTTCTATTCCCTGGGTTCTTGGCGGGGCAGTTCAACTCATTGCCTTGGGATTGGGAGATGAGATTGTATCATATCGGGGCTCTCGTTCGTTCTTGCCCTCCTTTGATTATCAGATGTTTTAGTGGTCAACGTAACTTAAATCCTTCGTCTGTACGGACGGGCCCAATGATAATAACTTTTGTGCGGGGCTCTTCAGGAGGAAAATATGGGAACATGCATGTAAGACGTTATTTCGAACAGCTCTGGTGCCATACTCAAAGTGGGGTAGCAAAAGCGGATTGCTTATCATTTGTTAAAGTATGGCCCACTTTTGAGCTTTAGTGTGGCATCAATACCATTGGGTCGAGAGCACGTCAACTCATACTTCGAGACTCATGCCCTTGGATTATCGACGCTCAACCGCACCCCACTTCTGTCGTTTAGCAGGGAGGCCTGAGTATATTCTCATTTTTCCTTGAAAGCGGTTAGGGCAAACGTCCATTTGCTTTGCCTGATTGACATCCATTCACGGTTATCGTCGTCAAAAGCACGCCAAATGCTTGTGATGTTGCATAATTGCGATGAAACTGGCAAAAGTTGCTGAGTGGACTATTAATGTGGTGCCTTCTGTGGAGCTTTTAGCAGAATTGAGGAGATCTATGGCAAAGTTGTCATTCAATGCCTGCATTTTATTTACTTACGGCAAAGTGTCGATCACTACTATAACAATTCATCGCGTTGCTTTTACTTTGCTTTTTCACGTGAAAAGGAATCTAGATGAATTTGGAAGGGCCAAAGCGGGTCGTGGAGTTTTCATAACTACTCGTCCAAAGCCAACTGGCTTTTCAGTCCCAGCGTTCTTGTTCTCGTTCAGAAGCCTGAATTTACCTTAGGTTGAGTTTGTTTTTGTAAGAGAAACCAAAACACTTCGCGGAAATGGACGTCATGTCATTAGTCCGTCGAATTCTTACTCTAGGCAATGTGACAGAAGGTGTCAGTTTACTATCTCAAGCCACTGGATATGGCATGGTCATAGGTCTCAGTGTCATCTTTGCGGGAATCATTCTCCTTGCCACCAGAGTCCAGAAGTTGTACCTCCAAGAGGACTCCGGTAAATCAGAGATGTTTATGGTAGCGAATCGTTCAGTTGGAACGGGCCTCACGGCATCCGCTGTGTTTTCCTCGTGGATGTGGATCAATGAGACGGTTTTCTCATCTGTAAGCAACTCTTGAGAATACCCTTTCCATATACAAATTTCTATCTATCATTCAAGATTTCATAAAAGATACTGACTCCTTGACTTTGTAGGTCATGGGCTATAATTATGGGATTGCAGGACCTTTCTGGTTTGCTGCTGGCTGTGCCTTTCAAATTGCCTTGATGGCCGTTCTAGGAGTTTTGGCCAAATTAAGAGTCCCATACGCGCACACGTCTTTGGAGATTATTCAGATGCGATACGGGGTATGGGGACATATTGTCTTTGCCATTCTTAACATTATTAATAATGTATGTGGCTTTCCCAAGCATTTAATTTCCTCTCCCGGGCACACTTTGGAGTTTCAGATGCCTGGGATGTTTTCAAAACTGCAAAAGATATTATTGATTAGGCAAAGCTGACTTCGCGAACTTACAGGTATTTGGATGTGCTTCGATGATTCTTACCGGTTCCCAGCTCATCGTTGGAATAAGTGGTATGCACATGGTGGCAGCAACCATTTTACTCCCATTTGGAGGTAATTCCTTCCACCCAGTGGCCCACTGGTAATTACTGACAGTGATACTAGTGGTCTTGTACACAGCTGTCGGCGGACTGAAAGCAACTTTCATCACCGATTACCTCCACACATGTATAGCGCTCATCCTCATCATCTGGTTTACAGTGGCCGTTCTGGTGAGCGATGTTGTCGGTGGTGTTCATGGGCTGTACGACAAGGTTCTTGCGATCGAAGGAGCGGGGCAGTATCATATTGTGGGGAATTATAAAGGCTCCCTGCTTACCTTTAGATCCAAGGGGGCGTTTATGTTTGGAGTGCTTCATTGTTTCGGCAATCTTTCGCTTATGACTATGGTACCCCTCATCATACCCCGGAAGGAGATAACAATTGTTAATGTGTTTAGGATACTGGGTTCTGGCAGAAATCTTTCGCTTCTCAGGTTAATAGTACTGTTCCAAGCTACAACATCGCATCGATAGCTATATTCGCGTAAGTGCAAACTTCCTTTAGCCTATGCCCAAATAGAATCCCTCACGGCTCGGGGGCATGCTTTATTAATTTCTCTTACTCACACGGATGAATCGATGCTAACCTGACTAGAGTACCTTGGGGTCTCGGGACTGTCTTCGGTCTAACGGCTAGGGTCATTGAGACTCTTCCTATCTTCCCCACATATCCTCATCCGTTTACTGCCGCCCAAGTTGGTGCGGGATATGTCGAGCCATACACGCTGTACGCAATTCTAGGCACTGGTGGGGCAGTTGGAATGCTTCTTGCTCTTTTCATGTCTGTTACGAGCACGGTCTCCTCTTCGTCTATTGCTGTGAGCAGCATACTGTCTTTCGATCTCTACCGCACTTATATCAACCCGAAGGCTACTGATAGCCAGGTTGTAAGAATCAGTCATTACGGCGTAGTCTTTCATGGGGTTTTCATCACAGGCATCGCTCTCGCCCTCAGTTACGGAGGTGCCAATATGACTTGGCTGGGTTATGTGCAACCTATCATAACCAGCCCCGCCGTATTTCCGACATTCTTTGCCTTGATGTGGACCGGACAGACTACGAAAGCAGCAGTCATATCTCCAATTCTGGGACTTGCAACTGGAATCATTATATGGCTCACCACAGCAAAGTCTATCTACGGTACAATTTCTTTGGACACTACTGTCAAACAAGCACCCGCACTTTATGGAGCAATTGGCTCACTATTCTCTCCTATCTTATACTCACTAATCGTCTCTTACGCAAAACCGAAGACATTTGACTGGCGAGAATTTCTGAGAGTCGATACACTCAAAGACGACGACTCTTCTTCAGACACCGATACCACTGCATCTCCAGGCACTTCTACGCCAGTGCTGGGGGTTTTATCAAGCGACGATGAAAAGGCTGGCTACAAGTCTCCCGTGACAATCAGCACGCAATGTCGATCGATAAAAGACCTGTCACTCGATGAACTTGAGCACCCATTTGATAAAGAGACTGTCGCCGATCTGAAAGTATGGTTGAAGATCGCATGGGCATTCTTGATCTTCGTCATGGCCGTTACTCTACTTCTCTGGCCAGTGCCTCTATACCGGAACTACATCTTCACCAGGTCATTTTATACTGGATGGATCGTTGTTGCTATCTTTTGGCAATTCTTAGCTGTGTTTGCAGTGATAATTTATCCGATATATGATGGATGGGATGCGATCTCAAAGTCAGCTGTAGGGATTTACAGGAGTTTATCGAAGCGTAAAATAGATGGTCGGTAGTCTACTTGGATTCTTTCAGCTTTCTTATTATAGTTAGGATCTGCTATGAAATTGGATTGACCGATTTTAAGATTAGTAAGTAGATTGTAATAGACCAAGACTGCATCCTCTGGTTCGAAAATCTGCAAAATCGAACATATAAAAAGACTAGAGAAAACAGTGGAGTACATAGTCTATGATCACCTTTATAAGATAGACTTGAATTTTTATTTCAATTTGCAATTACATATCTTATATTTACTATCTCAAATGCTCTTATAATATCTTATACTATTCAAATTATTCCAGGATGCCATTTTTAAGTCATAAGTAGTAATTAGAGTCTAATTTATAGAAATAGCATTTTATAATAGAAAGTACTATAAAGAAACTCTTATAAAAAGCTATCTATTTTAGAAAAATACTTTAGAAAGAACCTTTTATTAAAAGTCTACTTAGTTTATAAAAATATTCTAGAAAGAATCTTTTATTAAAAGTCTACCTATTTGCTAGGCTAAGGTGCCTCTAAAGACAGGATGTGATATTCCGATGACGGCTTATTAAGTTCTGCAGTTTATGTCTACTATAGCGGCTTCTCTCCTTCATGTGCACCGACGACCCGAGAAGGCCATACCGCTTTTTCGGATCGGGGCAATGGATGTCTTTCGGGGCGATTAATGACATTCATTGATTTGGGTGCGATAGCTACTAACTCGTTTGCTCTTTTGTCATTTCAGGCATATGTCTTACCGAAAGTACTTGGCAAGTAGTTACGGGCGGCTAACTAGGATACATCAAGCATTATATAAAAGTGGGTGGCAGGCCGTATATCCTAGCAAGCCGCATACATAAGGAAGTTTTGGGTCTATAGGAAGTGTCTGTCCCGAAGTACAGGCCGCGCAACCTAATAAACTTCTCCTACATCAATTCATGTACTGCAGTACAGACCTGGCTTTGCGATACATGATACCGCGCAGCTGGTATGCTTATCATGCAATGGTTTTGGCTTAGAAATTGATCAAGGCGTAACCCTTAAGAGATGCACGAAAAATTACATGTGATGTGCGGATGTAAAGGGGTTGAAATGAATTTGGGCGCTAGAAGCTCGCTTATGGAGCTGGTACGTGCTGTTGAGGTTATACTATTCCAATTCCTCTTAGTAGCTCTTACCTAGATAGCTGATTGAAAGAATTCTGTATGCTATTAAGTGGTAGTGTCCACAGATTTTAACGTCTAGTTTTAGTTTTATGCATAAGTTTCGACATTTTCAATATGATGTTATTAAGTGATTGAAATACAACGGGAAGAGCTGAGACCATAGTCATAGTACTATACATACACCACCTCTTCTACCATGTGATATTAAAACTTCCCTCAACACAGAATATGCTCCTCCCATCCTGGGTCGTCGCATTTGCTCGGATTTCGTACAAGCCATCGGGCACCATTGGTGGCTGAATGGGAATATGAGGCGACTGTATTTCCGCATAACCTTCCTGAATAGCTGAAGGACACGAACGATGCATGCCTACATCATTCTGTCCCGGAAGCTGGATTTGTTGGAAAACGTTAATGTCACATAAAGGCGCATCAAAAAATGGCGACAGCTCGGGGCGCCCGTTAAAACTTCCAGTGACGTTGAGCCATGGAATATCGCCGGTAGAAGAGGTGAATGTACCCAGGAAACGTAGCATAAAGTAGTAGCCACTAGAAAGGAGTATTAATAGGCTGACTCATGGGTACGAAGGTGATGATATACATGCGTGGGTTTTCTGGGTAGAAATACAATCCTCGAATTTTGAAGATGTCTGTGGACGGGTCAGAGCAGTAGTGCGCGGGCGAATTGCCAGGGACTTTGAGGGCGTCGGTGTACGTCGAATAGCTTATTGCGGATTGCTGAGTGGATACCCATGGTAACGGCCCTAATGCTAAGACTCGATGAGAGTGTAAGACAGTCGCAACGCAGAGGAAAACAGCAGTGGCTTTGGCAGAAATATGCATTTTGGGTGGAAGTTGATTGATCTATGTCGATTGTACGCGTTGTTTTGAAGCACCAGGAAGTTGGTTGAGGTTGCAGCACTTTAAGCGCTGTGGCACGTGCCAAGGAGCTAGGATCTTAATCGGTGTGGAGGCGGAGGCGGGGGGCGGGGGCGGAGTGCGGTGCAGCTGCAGCTGCAGGACCATATTTATAAATAAGCACAGATTAGATTAATTGTCCGCCGCAAGCAATATATATATGTGAGCCTCACAGATCCTTGAGTCAGCTTTTGGCTTGGCATTAGTATTCCAAGTCTCAGCTTGGCCCCCAAAGCGTTTGCCTCATTGTGCCGGATCCTTCATCAATTTTGTATGAAACAAGCCACTCACTTTTGAGCTGGCTGTCTTTAAGGGTTGCAACCTCTATAGTAGTCAATCTTCTGCCAAGATTTATTACTATCCAATCCGTCTACTTCCGTATTCATTTTTAAAAACCCTGTTGTATTAAAGGGTCCTATTGAGCTGCACCCATTCCTGGGAGCCCCGAAGACCAGCCGCATTTTCTGAGCCCATCCTTGATATGTGCCTTTAATCAAGAAAGTCTTTCTAGGGGTTAGATCCTTTAGGGCTTTTAATAATGTATTTTGGCAAACTCATTAACAGGTACACAGTTCCCTTCGAGTCAAACATTTGGCTTGTCATTTCAGGTATATATAGCTACACATCTACATTATTTCCAGTCCATAATTCATCTTCCCCAAGTTGGCAATATTCAAACCTGCTATACTTCACTGCAGTGGTCATGATTACCTTCAAACACTTCCTCCTAGCCTTACTAGCTGGCACCAGTATAGCCACTCCCCTCTCAGTCCGCCAAAATGACGCACAGATTGATTCGATCATTGCTGCCGCAAATATACCCAAATACGTCCCTCCAACCTTGAATAGGGACATAACAGACTGGCTTGCTATCGGCGACTCATTCTCTGCAGGTATAAGTGCCGATGTCCCAGCTGACGAACTCAACTGGTCCTGCAGTCGTTTTAAACAATCCTACCCTAATCAAATGAACAACAACCAACGGCTCCCGGGCCATTCTACTTCACGCACCTTCGTCTTTGGCTCTTGTAGTGGTGGTAAGATGGAAGATGTGATAAAAGACCAGATTACGTAAGACAGTCTTCCTATTTCAACTATTGGTTTCTTTCCTTTCATCTCGTAAACATCCGTCTTCTAATCTCCATATTATAATTTTATCACAAGCCGCTCTAATATATTTATACCTTTGATCTTTTAACCTTTTCTTATCACCTTTGGTTAGCAACTATTGACTTTATTCATCATATAGACTCGGAAATCCCGTTCTGGCCGATAATAATCCTAAGATCGGAAAACCACAAATAGGAACTATAAGTATCTCTGGAAACGACCTTGGTTTTGGTGAAGTAAATTTGCTGCTAAGTTATTCATCAGATAATATTCTGACAATGAAATAGATTGTTAATGCATGCTTATACCATTGGACCGGTTACGGGGTAAGTATCCTTCCACAAGACCTCTGGGTACACACTAACAAAAGCAAAGGATTGCACAGCGCTTCTCAAAGCCGCGCACGCTAAACTTGATGATCCTGGTAAAGCGTTTGAGTATGAAGTCCTTGATGTCTTCTCCAAGGTGATGGCGCGAGCCAGGAGTGCAAATTCAAATTTTCAGCTGTGAGTATATGCGTTAGACCTCTTGAGCGTGCCTATTGTGGTGCTAAAGTGGTTTTCTCTCTAGGTATATTACTGGTTATGTTGAGTTCTGGAATGCTGTCGATACACAATGCGACACAGTCAGCTGGACCACGTGGCCAAGGGAAAAGACATATCTAACTACGGTGCTTCGTGAAGATATGAACTCGATCGTAACCAAGTGAGCTATTTGCAGGAACAGAAAGTCGGAAGACTACAGCTAACTTGGATTTAGACTTAACACCGTTCTCGAGGATGCAGCAAATAATCTAAATAGGATCGATGGTGGCGTTTACTACGTCGGCGGATGGCAGGACAAGTACAATGGGCACCGATTCTGCGAGCATGAAGATGACCCTTCATACCACGAAAAGCCGATCGATCCAAAGACATGGTTTAGTAAGATACTACCGCTCCTTGACCCTTTCGCTCCTTACTCTGCTCCTATACCTCTAGACCTATTTTGATAATGGTATTTATTAATTCTCAATCATCTAGTTCACTACCAGAGCCCTTATAAGGATTCGTCCACAATCACCGGCTTTGGCTCGGGTTCCTTCTTCGACCAAGTTGACTCGATCTTGATTCCAGAAAAGAATGGAGTCTCAACAGCAGACCAACTCACAGCTGTCAACGGAAACGCCTCGGCCATCAATCCTGCATATGATAGTGTTGACTCGATGACCGCAGCTCTAACAAAGCTCGGACAAGACGATCCAGATAAATACTCGGTCCTACCTATCACATGGATCCGTATCATGCATCCCAAAGGCTCAGGTTATGCTGTCATGGCTGATGCTGTGATTGACAGCGTGCTACAGTTCGGCGCATCAGGAGCAGGCACGGCGACACCATTGCCAGCACCGGTGACATCCTGCGCTAGTTCTGACACTAATAATAACAATAACAAGTTCATCGGTCGGGATGACCTGAATGACAAAATTAAGACGTTCTGCGTCGACGCTGCTAAGCAAGGCGTGCAGGATAGTAATAGCGGATCCATATTCCGTAAATACAATACTGGAACGCGATACGAGGTTGATATTTCCATGACCTGGCCGTCGGGCGTTGATATAAAGACAGACATGCAAGACAATTGTGAGAGCCGAATGGCAGCTATCATGGATAGTAAGTCTCTATTTGCAACCCGGGGATCGTACCAAAAACTTGCTAACATGCCGGCACCACTCAGGCTGCGACTCAGACAAAAACCCACTGAATTGGAAACGCGGTGGCAGCTTCGGTGCAGACCAGATTCAGTACCAAATCACCCCCCAGATAGACCAAGGCTACACACCTGGAACCTGCAGCTTCCATCTCCAAGAAGACGAATCCTGGTCTGGCGTTGACGGCCCTGGCACCGAGCGCCACTGGACCTACCACATCGAGAAAGACACGATGAAGGACAACGCCGGGAACACTATCGGCACAGAGGGGTTTGCGAGCGATGGCACAGACGGGAGTCCTGAAAAAGCAGGCGATGGAAATCCCCTGAAGTGGAGCACGAAGATACCAGATCAACTTGTTCTTACGCCGGAAGCGGGGGGCAATCCGAGGGATTATATTCAGTTTACAGTTGGGTCGCAGAGTTGGACTACAGACAATCAGACAGGAATGCCGTATTGCAATGTTGGTGGTTGGAGTTCCAACTATAGCCCTGCAGTAAGTCCCTCCCTTATCTTCCTATTTCCCCAAGACGTAAACTAATAAATTGAGCAGAACCGTAATATGGACTGTTTTTTTAATTGTTAAAACGGAATGAAAAGGGATTGTCATTTCGTAAGTGCGTTCATCTTACTTCCTTTAATATCGGCAAGTAATGTACATGTATGAGCTACTGTATCATTTTTCTTCTAGCTTCAATTTAAATATATTTAAATACTATTTATTATTTCGTTGAGTTTATATTTTACTAATAACAATGAGTGATGAAATCTGTTATGATATTGTCTCGATCTATAAGTAATATACCATAACAAAGGCCCTCCGTACTCCAGAGTCACTTGAGACTTTGCTTCCAGATCTTCTTGCAATTGCAGCAATCGTAGAATCGGCAAGGCAGTCTGTTTATTGCATTCATCAAACGAAGCACCATGTCTTGATTTGGCCTCAATGACCGGAAAGGTGAAGAGAAGAGACTCTCCTCTGTGGCTCAAAACGGTACTTTGCACCGTTTCCCGCAAAGTTTTAAGGCCCTTTTCAGGCTGTGATTGATAACTCATCAGATCATGTTTGCCAAGCAGACGGGTAAAGCTACTTGTTTCATAAAATCCCAGGAGTCGATCAGGTCGTCTGTTCTTAGTCATTCTGGAACTAGTTCCGAGGGGGACAAAGGATATCGTTTGGTCCGCTCTGGATGTGAAAACCGCACTGGTGCTCTTTTGGTCCCTGTAGCCGCAGTGTTAATATATCGAGAAGAATCGCTTCGCACGACAACTTACAGACTTAGTAATGTTCTCTGCTCTGGGGAACACTGACATGGCTGACGTTCTCGCCGCTGGACATCCAAACTTCTGGCAATACGATCTGGAGATTCTATAACCGCTTCTACTTCTAACTTCCAGAGTCTTTTGGAACAGATTTTGCTTTATTTATTAGAAATGCGAAATTACTAGTTCGACAGCTTAACTTACCAATCGATAACGAGATTGAAACGCTCTAAAACATGGTCCTCCAATCTACATCGCCATTCCATTTCGGCAGGGTCATCTTTTATTAGAGATGCTGCGGATTCAGCAATCTTCAGTGTACGGTCTGTTAATTCTTTTCTCTAGAGAACCCGGTAAGCTGGAGTTGAAGAATCGCCTGTACAAAAAGTCGAGAAGCCGAAGTTTTTGAAGTTAATGATTTGTTGAAAGGTCCTAGAAAGGTGGTTTGGCCATTTAGTTGTTTCAAAATCAACGCTTTCCATCTTTCTGATTGGCCCTTTTTCTTGCTTTTTTTTCGTTGCGGTTAATACTAAGATGAATAATGCATAAGAACCGGAGGACGATATCAAACAAATAATTGAAAAACAAAATCAGAATGTAGATGCGAACTCTTGATCCCGCTTCCAGATATATCTTAATTGCTACATAACGGGAAGGTAGGACGGCGCTCCCTACAATGTTTCATAATATTGTATAAGGATAAGTAGAGCTATTAGTACAATGTTTCTTGATCCCAAGACTCGCGTCTGCTATAACACTCTGAAGTACGGAGATTCCCAGGGCATCGGACCAAAATGGAGCTTTCCCCGGGCTTTGAGCAGCCATACAGCCCTACAAGGTCACAGTCGCTTAAGGCCCCTGTCATTTTAGGGGATAAGCCCTACGAATATCAGGGTCTACCCTGCTAAAACTACCCTTCAAACCTTGTAGCGAGCCACTTGTAACTAAAAGGCTAAAGGGGGTCATATAGCACTAGTGTTTAACAAATATTATTCGGGCTCCTTATCTAGAAGATAGGGGAATACTACGCGTGCACCTTACCTAAACCAGAAAAAAGCAACATTTTCTAGTGCTTACTCGCACCTTAGTAACAATGCTCAAGGGCTTAAGGCTATGCATCAGCGGCCCGGCAGTCCAGTTCCGCGCCAAATAACGATATATACCAAAGAAAGGCTTTGTACTGTACATACGACCATAGACTGAGGAGAATTGGGCTTTCTTATGAGTCTCGAATAATTCCAGCATCGAATATTCAAGCTACTAATGGTGTCTCCTATCGGATTTCCCTCGCCATGCCAGCTTAAAGCCACTAATCAACAAGCAAATCGAGGCCTTAGATGTCCTAGAGGCTTTGGCAAGCAAACTCGGGCTCACATTCGAATTCAAGACTGGCGATATTCAATATATGAACAACCTGGCTCTTCTCCATGGCAGAGACGCTTTTCGATGCGAACCTCCAAGCGGGTGTCGTAGGCATTAAAGTGAGTGATGTTAACTCGTAAAAACGCTTACTAATCGTCCCGTTTAGACTTATGTCCATCCACTGTACGAACCACCTCTTCGACCCAGCGCGTTTGCTTCTCGAAGCGATTTCTGTCCTGGCCAATCATAATCTTCAGGCCAGTTTGTCTGAGCTCAGAGAAGAGAACGACAGCGTCCTCATATTTGTCGCAGGGAGTCCAACCATCTCGGTCGACAATTCCTGCAACCGAGTCCCAAAAATCTTGAACTTCGTTCCATCCTTCTGCATCGTCTAAGTGGGACCGCAGTTCATCTTCAGTGAAGTGGATAGGGCAGGGGATATTGAATGCTAATTCGTCCCAGTACCTGTGACTTGCGTTTAGTAAAAATGTAACAAATAAAAGCAACAGGCCTTTGGAAGAGGCTTGGTTTCAAGGGAGCGGCATTACCTTTCCATCCTAACCAAAGATTCTCTGAAAGGTAGGATGTCATCATCCCACGTATTGCCGCAAAAGCTAATGACTTCACCCCTCGTCCGCCCGTGTTCAGTACGAAAAACTTTGCTTAAGCGTGGATTTTCTTTCGCAGTAAAGTTTTCATATAGATGAAGAATGATAGAACTAGCGACTTGTTCCTTGATCGGAATCTTTTCTTCCTCTGTCAAATGCTTATAGTTCTCCGGGAGCTTTAACATGATTTCACCATTATAGTTGATAAGCTTCGGTTGTCGAGCCTGTATAAACAAGGGACCAGCCCAGGTGCCTTGCCAGTCGATGATACTTGTAATGCGATTTTTTTCAATAAAAACATTCCCCGAATGGAGGTCTCTATGCCATAGGTTGGCAGTAAGAAGGTCTGGGTCTGTCGGCAGGAGGTATGGAGCAACATCGAGGTATTTCTCTAGAAGAGAGACATGCTCACTAGGAGAATTTTGTGCGGCCGAAGGCTTGAGTGGATCATTAGATACTGTAGGGATAGCATATTTTTTAATCCATGCGATTTCTCGGAGCGCGATTGCAGAAATATAATCGTGCGGATCCTTCCCTAGGCAAATAAGCAGGTAAAAACTTCAAGAGGCGCTAAAACCTACATGGACCCCGGTCTATACCCAATTCTGAGCGCTCTTTGCTCCAAAACTCCCGTTCCACCGTGGGCCCGATAGTATAGCGTGTAGATACGATGTTTTGGACATCTATCGATACATCACCTACTATCTTGGCGGCTATAGAACCTTCAACATTATCGCTTGCGTAGTATATATTACCAAAGCTAAATTCCTATCAATTATGGCCATCCAGGTACAGACAGCTAGGAGTTATAACTTACCAAGAAAAGGATACCGACAGAAGCTTCTTTTCAATTGAGATCAATTCCTTCATGATAGAAACTTTGTCTTCAAGCTCCATTGTGTTCCATGAGTCTGCCGCTTGCCTCCCTACCACTTCTTCCATAATTATATATTCTGCACCGACCGGATTAGAGATGCTCGCACTCCAGGCATAGACTTCTGGAACCGGGATTTCGAGTATTGTCCGAGCCTGGTTATTTATCAGCAGTCTTTCAAGCGGATTTTGGAATGGCATCCGCACAAAATCCATTGTGGCAACCTCTGAAGCAGTTGTGTAATAGGAAGGTCCAGCATTAGGATTCGGTATCCGGGCGATCACAACGCTTCCGTCATCCATAATAAGCCGGAAGACCTTGTTGAACGATCCTTCGGCCAACTTTGTCATGCTAACACACTCTTTCGCTCCGACACTTGTCGCCGCGACACGCTGAAGCTCTTGTACGTTGAATCTTCTATAACGATCAAGAAGCTGTTGTTCTTCATCCCAAACCCAGCGGCCACTAGTATAACGAAAGAAATCTTCATACTGAGAATCGCGCGTCGTAGACATTTGATGGAAATAATTGTGCTGTCGTCTGCGCGTTTGATGAGTAGGTGTAGGTCGTGGGATGGAGTGAGTAGATATAAAAGCAAAAGAATTCGAGGCTCGTTGGAATTGAGAGAAGCTGCTACGAAAGGTCAACCGCAAATTTGAAGACAGGACATGGCAGCACATGGGAATATTATGAGGAGCTGGAGATAATCGAACGTTCCATGTTCACAGCGACCTCATACTCGGCGTTTGGAGATTTCGGTCGTTCTACTGTAGCTGCATATCCCACTTCACGTGACAGCCCGTTTGGACCCCACCACAATAGCTACATCTATACACATGGTCGCGAGATCGTCTAGGAAAAGAAGGAGTATCGAGGGCCGTGCTTATAGGACTTCTAAGCAGCTAGGGATACGTATGAATGATTGGCAGTCAAGGCCTAGGAGATATGAACACGAAGTGCATCTCGACTTTTATGGATTACATCTCGGAGCTGAGGTTGCATTTAATTTTTTATGGTATTACGTGTTAGGTATTTGATTTTAGGTTTTGATTTTAGGACTTCATTTTCGGGTTTTGATTTTATCATGGACATTAGGTGCATGCCATCCGCTATTATATTTCGGGAAATAAATTTACACGTTAGTCTACTAGTATAAGGCCATTTGTCTTATTAAGCATAGACAATCATATCCCATAATCGGTCAATCAACCACATCTCAGGGTTCTTTGCCGGAGCGATGCAGGGCGGCAAGTACTGCCACCAATCTTCTTCCTTATACAGCCTAAAAAGGTACAAAATCTTCGACGATTCAAAATACTCCGGATAAAATCCACTAGTCTCCCAGTCAATTATACCCGTCACATGATATATCCCGGTCTGATCAATATCCACCATGATGTTTGCCGTCCGGACGTCTCCATGAGTGAAAACAACAGTTGACGAAGCAGGTGGGAGTAGACTGCGGAGGAATTTGACAAATGATGAGGTGTTATGAGGTGGAATCGAAAACTGGAAATCTTCGAATGCAGCTACCGTTGATATAGTCTCGCGGGTCGCGTGGCCATCACGACGAAGGTCTTGCACACCTTCACCGTTCACTCCTCCTAGAATATGCTCAACACCTGTACTTGTCAAAGCCCGTAGTTTGAGAAAGATATCGTTCAGTTGGTGTTGAATCAATAGTTTATTCTCGTGTGTAAGGTTCGGCCATGCGGATTCGAGCGTTGTCGATGGAAAATATGTCATAAACATGATTCGTGCACTACCAAATTTAACAAGACCGTGAGGTCTCGGGGCTGGTACGTCCGGCGCGTTCTCTTCGAGATATTGCATCGATGTGTACTCCGTATAATCATTATTGCCTTTAATGATCTTTGCAGCAAGGCGGGAATTGCACTTGAGAACGACGCCTCTTGTGGGGACTTCCCACAGTTTCTCGCAGCTCAAGATCATTCGCGATAACAAGGTTACAATAGAAGCTTCAATCAGCTCAGATCCAGAATCCGGCTCCATATAACTGGAAAGAACTTTTCTTGTCTCGTCGGATAGCGCGTATATAATCTCAGCGTTGGAGGTGCGGGCAACTAGGCGGGCGCAGAAGTCCCGTCGTTCGGTGGGAGCATTTGCAAACTTAGGATTCTTTGATGACGGCATTGAACTTCTCTGTTCGTCAAATGCTTCCTTTAGAATTCGTTGCACCTCTCGGCGGAGTGAAACTTCCGGATCGGCTGTGATGGCGGCTTGTATGCGACTCAAGACGATTTGGTTCAGTTTCGCTGTCGCTGAGGTCGCTTCTGGTTTAAGCCCGTCATTCTCATTATTCGTGTCATAAGCGCTGTAGCAAATTAGCCAGGGATACCTCGCGAAAAATCAAAGGGACGGTTACCTCGAGGTGGGTGACATCTTGCGACGGTCGATGATATCCGCCATGTGCAGCCGCTTCACGAATCAAAATTCCTGTAGAGCACTGAACAGTTCGAGAAGAATATTAATTTCTTTGTTGCAGAGACAGTTGGGCCACGGGCATGGGGCAACAAATACGGTACTCGGTAGTGCGTTGGTGGTCTGAGCTGGCAATGTTGGTATTGTCCGGGGCGATGACTTCCTATACAGCTGCAGTTGCAAAGAGTTCTATTGTAATACGTAGGGAGTGCACGCACTTACTGACCCGAAACCAGCGCTAATAACTCGATTTTCTGAGGTTCTATGCATCGCATCTTATGCGGCTGGTGTGGCTGGTGGGCACAGGCTACCCCCTATGCGGGCGCCCTTTCGCGGTCTGAAAGGGGGGGCACGGACTTACATTCTAAAAGGCTACATCCTGAAAGGGGTTGACTCTGCTCTGCCCGTCCGCGCCTACTAGGAGGCTCTGCTTCGGCTAGTTTTATAATGACTATGTCGCTCGACCTCGTCTGGGACCCGATCCACCAGGTAGTCGTGTGCCGACCCTGCCAGACATGGTTATTACTGTCGGTAATAGTAAGATAGAGTCGCGATCAGCTTCAGAATGCAGCGAAAGCTCTCCTATCTCTGATATGCATATTAATATCGAGCTAACACCTGCACCGGCTTGATATTTAGATCATAGAGTTAATAGAAAGCCAGAGGTACTACATGTAATAGGCTTATTAGTAATTACTCATATCTTGATCTCAAACTAAAGCTTAGGAATAAATAAAGTAGCTGCCATCTATCCTAACCACAGCGCCCACGATCTAATCACTTTCCTAGTCGTCTCACAGTCGCCGGTTTTCCCGGCATAAAAGCCTTGGCCAGAAGCCCTGCTATAGTAATAAACTACCATTCTCGTCAGTCAAAGGTTCCAACGTCAAGATCCAGCAGCCACTCACTAAATAATCCAACCACTTAAAACCACCCGGAAGAGAAACGAATGCATCGCCATCATAGAAAGCGCGCATTACCATAAGGAAACTAGGTATTCCAGGGCGCTGGAACAGGTCTTGAAAGAACAGCGCTTTGAAGGTACCGGTGGGTACGGTACGTTCGATGAAGCGGGCATAGGTGCCTTTGACTATATCATTGAACCAGTTGTTAACATGATATGTGAGCTGCTGATTTGTTTGAAAAGAAAGAAGAGAGGATAACAAGGCAACTAGGGTATAATATTACTGATAGTAAAGCCATGGATATGTCCACGTGGAATTATGATTGGTGGATCGCCAGCTGATGTAGGATGTTCTTTGCCATCGAGGTAAAAAATCATTTTCCCTTCCAACACTTCCATGATTTCATCGTGATTCTGGTTATGTGTCAAGTCAATAAACGTGTTGTCTGTGATTGATGCAGGAGAATAACGGGAGCGTACTCGGTGCCAATGATTCGGTACAGCAATGACATCGGAGCCTTCTTTGCCATCATATGTCGTTTCCGCCCAGTTGTGCTCGGGCGAATCTTCTAGCTTGCTCTTTGCTCTTTCAGCTTGATATCTATCACGTACTCGGAAATCCCACTCCATGACTGCTACCTAGGTAGAAAGAACATACATGGTCGATGAACAGCCGCATGCTACACCCCTGCATCACGTTAGTCCTGGACAGCAGGCATATCCCCGGCGCATGCATAGAACATCACCTTTCCTAGCACCAGAGGATACAGTTCTTCAATCTGAGACGACATGATGATCTTGCATGAAATGGTATGTAGGATAGCGTAAGATTATATGTATAAATTATCGTATAGTTAGGACAGCGATCCTTGTTTCATGGGAACGGTGCTTACAAGAACGGATTTGGGGTAGCGTGATCTAGGCCAGGCTATCGACTTATACATCTTACATGCATGCATAGATCTGACTGTAGCTGTCCTATTCGTCTAAGGATACTGCTAGCAGCCACTTAAGTTCGGGTGGCGGTATGAAACTTTGCGATACTACATACCATTGCTACTCATTGGTTACGGATACGCAGGACGTGGTTGCATTCCATCAGCTGATAATAGCTCCTTGATAATATCAAAAGTTTGGAGCCTTATGCCCCGCAATCTTAGTATTTTCAGAGATGGAGCCCCTGCACTCTTGCGTTTAGTTTTCGGGGAAAAGTAAGCCCTGAAACGAGACTACAAATGCGACTAGGTAAGCAAATGAGCAAAAGAAGCTGGGCCTTCAAGATTACACACCTCTAGTGAACGGCAGAATAATATATTATAATCATCCTATCTCTCTATTTCTAAGCCCTGGGTATCTCATATCAACAAGTCCCATCCAATCCAAAAACACCAGTCGCAATGCAATGCAAGCATCCTGCTTTCCCATGCGTTTTCATCACTTACTTTTCCCTCTCCTTCCCTCTAGCCTTTTCACTCTTCACCTCCCCCTCCCTCATCTCATCAACTAAAATCCTCGCATCTTCATCACCCTCAACCACATGCCCCTTCTCCCTCAACGCACTCTTAACCCCCTCAACCACACTTCCTCCACCAGCCATCCTAACACTCTCCAGTCGTCTCGCCAGTTCCGCTTCAGCACTCAAAGCACCTTGGGCACCCATCTGCGCACGTTCCTGTTGTGCTCTTGCTTGTGCCTGTTTCATGGGAACTAATTCCCTTACGAATTTTTGCGCTTCTTCGCAGCCTTCCATGACAAACTTGATAGCAAGTGTCGCACGTTCTTTGAGGTACTCGTTATACCCATCATAAACGCAGCAATTCAGCAATGGCATGATACCAGTGTGATCTAGTAACTGCTTTTGTACAATTGGATTACCCGGTCCGGTGCGCCGGACGTTAGTGGGTGCCAGGAGCGAGGTGAGGATTATCAGGATCTGGATCTTGATGCCTGCCCACGGAAATTTATGCGGTGTGTCGTGAAGTGGTGGTACGTTCGCTTGTGGTTTTTCATCAAGTCCTTTTCTCGCGACTCCTGCTTCAAGATTCTTGAGTAGAGTGATGAGTTCGTAGACACAATCCCACTCTATCAGCAAATGCCGCATCTCAGGGATTTCGGCAATGACGGATATGAAATCTAGATATTGCGATAGTCCGTCTTTCGCGCGTTCCATATCCCAGAGATCGACAGGGAATTCCGAAGGGTGGGTTTTGCCAGTGCGGATCTGTGCTTGGGCGTGGATGAGCGCCACGCAGTCGGGGACGACGCGGCAGCGGAAGTAGTTGTAGAGGAAGTGGATTAGTTTTGCGTCACGGTTGTAATCTTTTAAGTCGTCGTAGATGGGACTGTCTTTACGGGCACGGAACATGTAGTTGATTAGGCGGAGGAGCACGGTTTGGGCAGGCGAGACGATGTCTTTGAGAATTCGAAGACAGTTCCAGGCGTAGGGGAGAAGGGCGTTGTGGTGAAAGGATTCGATAATTTGGGCGGTTATTTGGAATATGAATTGCTGATCCGTTTGCTCCCAGACTGCGATGAAGACTAGCATTTCTCGAAGGAGGTTCTTGCCGCAGTCGAGAGCTAGGAACATTTTACACCGAGTCTTCTGGAGGTTCTCTCCGGCTGGAGTCAGACCAGAGCCCATGGAATCCACGATACAGGCCTTGACAGTCATATGTAGAGCTTCGATCTGTTTCGTGTCTAGGATATTTGGAATTTCCGTCAAAAGTCCTCGTAATGGTCCCTCAACATACGAATCATCCTCGTCTTCCTCTTCTTCTTCGTCCTCTTCTTCGTCCCCGTGTTCCCCTTGAAGTGACCTAGCATCATTCTCATCATCCGCAAGAGCTCCCTCCGGTTGTTGCTCCTCGTATTGTTCATCATTATCGTAATTTCGGTCTTGATCTCCCCGACTGGGAATATACCGCTGCATAGCATTCTCCTTGCACTGATCCGCGCGTTCTTTTGCTCCCTCAACCGTCTCCATAGGCACAACCCATCCATCATAATTCGCATCCCGGACTCTCTTCCACCAAACATCAATTTGATGCGAGACCCTCGCATACAGTTTGTCTTGCTGGTACTTGTCCTCCAATTCTGGTGACGTCCAAATCGGCGTCGTAGATTCTTCTACCGTCTCCCTTGATTCTTCCTCCTCTTCCGGGAGCGGACCAGGGGTATCACCGGTGGGAACATCCGCCTCATACTTTGCAAGAAGCCGCGTTGCCTCCTCATTTCTTTTGTTATGCCTCCATAACCAATTCTTTACTTCCTGATGCACTTTCCGCACATCAAGTCCATCTGGTCCTATTTCCGGTAACTCATTATCCCAACCTTCATCAAACAGCATCTCGAACCAAAACGACATCTTGAAGCGGTCGTTGCCCATTGTCCAGTTATGTGTATGCTGTAGACATGTAACCAGGAGCTTCTTATCTGTTTATTGTTAGCTGGTCTCCTCCTAGAACCTTTGTGATTAAAGAGAGACGAACAAAGTTCGGTAATCTCCAACAGCCTCCCTCTGTCGCCCTCCCCCACACTCTCCCCATCATACCCCTTACTCGTAACATTAACACACAGCACGACCATCATGCGCACCTCCTCATCAAAGCCCACTCTTGCGCAAATCTCCTGCGCTGTCTCTTTGATCGCCAACATATTCCTACTAATCACCAACAGATTATTCAAATACTGCAAATCCTCCTTCAACACCGCATAATTGTTTAGGATGAGTGTCGCGGATTCCGGTACGTCGTAGGATTCGCGCAGAGAGAGTCTAGAGAGTTTAGGCAGCGCGAGGATGAAAATTTGACGGAGTCGCTGCCAGATGTCTATATTTTTCGCCAGGCGTTCTCTTTTCCCCAGTGGCACACAATCAGTTTCTTTTACTCTCTTGGAGATAGGACAGAAAGAAACGGGAACAAACCTAACATCCGCAGCATTCAAACTCTTATCCAACGTCCCCGCCACCATCTTCCTCACTTCCGGACTACTCTTCGGCCCAAACTTCAGCCCCTCAAAATGACCCTTCACAGCTACCAACGCGCCGTTGAAACTCTTCTCCTCTATGCTCTGCACATTCCTCCTCTTGAATCTACCATTACCGCCATAACCGTTCCCAAGAGCCCCATTCTTAGCATTGATGTCGAAGGTCTCCACCATGATGGACTCGCGGTTCGTGCGGTGTGTCTGTGTGGTCTCATCCCACCAGGTTGCGAGAGGCGTCTTGCATTTGGCGCAGATTGTTTGTGGGGTACGGTTCGTGGGAAGGGGGTGGGAGCATTCGGCGCAGAGCATCGTTGTTGAAGAAAAGGAGGGGAGGGGAACTATTGAGTGAGGGGCACGTTTGGGGAAATTTTTGGGATGTTGTCGGATGTCGGTTAAAGTTTCCTCAGTATACTCACTACCTGGCGTAGCTCGCCTGGGTACATATACTAATCATTCAAGTATCGTACTTATGAATGTATAAACAACATTCATGTGGTCAGCATGAGTTTAGAAGTTTGGTGATGTAAGTAGTTAGCTCTCTACAAAGGATTTCTTTGCTCTTCCCTTCAATAGATGACCAGCGGTGAGAATCGGTCACGTGTAAGAGACAAACTGGAGTTTTGATTTTGTATTTTATTATGTTATGTTATACAGCTGTAACAGCTATCTTTCTCAAGGGTAAATATACCTTAGACCCCATACCGTATCCCCTGTTTATTGTAGCAGCCATGGATTGCCAGTTTCAAGTATCAATACAAATATAGCACATCAACATACAGATTTAAGCTCATTGGCAAACGGTCGAACCTTCCTCACTACTTCCCACCCTTCTTTTTGTGGCGTGTCCGTTTCCGTTTCTTCTTCGCTTCTTCTCCTTTCGTTTCAGCTACTGTTGCTTCGTCATGGTCATCAGCTCCGTCCATTTGGCCACCTAATTGGGATCGGGCTGAAAATTGAGGTGTGTTTGCTTTGCCCTTATTGCTCTCTCCATCTTCTTTGTCACTCGAGCTACTAGTCGTCTCTAGCACAACTTTGCATACTCCTCCTGCTTCAATGATATTCTCCGTAATGCTGCCACTTCGTGTTGTGGCCTTCTTTCGTTTGCTGACGCCCAGTCCAGATTTGAGTGATCCTACTGTATCACTACTCTCGCTATGGGCTGTACCATTTCGGGAAAACGATATCCTTTGTGAAGACGTCCAGGAATAGTCAGTGGGTGATAAATTGGCATCCTCTGCACCGTCTTGGTGTGTCGTTTCAAAATTTGCTAAATTGCTTGGGTTTGATGTAGTCGTGGGGTCAAACGATCCGTAGCCCTGTTGTAATGCTTGCACACCATCACTAGCCTCCTTTCCAGCGGATTTGAGAAGACCCTCGCCCTCTCCACCAAAGGGTGCAGGGTCATCACGGTAAGGCTCTTCGATGATATGCTCATGTGGAGCCGTTGGATCGGTTCTGGATTCAGATCGCGAGGGCTGGGTGGCAGATTTTATTTTGACGGTATTATACCGAGTTGTCTTCGGGCGACTTGCAAGATTTGATGGCCCGAGGTGTTTGAGATGCTCTCGCATGTCATTGAAGTTGCCTCTCACAGAAATATTTCTTCCGTCTGCACCACTAGATCCTCTTCTCAGGAAGGTGGTCTTTGGACTGGAACCAAAATGAGCGGGACTATTGCTCCGACTTTGTCCGTTAGAGATGACTTTGGTGATTTCAGGCCTTTGACCTTCTGTGAGATCAATGAGATGTTCTTCGGGTGCTTGCAGAGAGGATACGTCTGTGCTGCCCACAATATGTGTCTTTTGCATGCGTGCTTTCGGAGCTGGTGTCACTCGCCTGATGGCTTTATGGATATCAATGAAGACATCAGACTCGTCAATAATTTCCCTTCTCATGGTTAGTAACTATAAGGAATAGACGGGGATGCACCACGTACTCGCCGATTAACTCCTCAATGACGTCCTCCAATGTCACCACGCCAATCGCACCATAGTTCTCGCCGGGGTACTCCGAAACTAGGACCATATGTGATTTGCCTTCTTGGAAGAAATTGACAATATCAAGACAACTAGTTTCGGGGCGGGTTTCTGGCAAAGTAGCCAAAGCAAATGCACTGACTTTTTTGCAGTCTTCTGGGTCATACGTAATCAAGATCTTGACCAGAAGCATCCCAACAAAGTTCCCCTCGTTGCCTGGTTCGTAGATGGGTATTCGAGAATAGCCAGCACTCAGAATGATATTCATAGTGTGCTCATCCAGGATCGTGTCTGCAGACATTGTGAAAACATCCTCCATTGGCGTCATAATATCGCCCACGGCCTTCTCTTTGAGATCCAGAACTGCGCTGATGATTGTGACTTCGTCTTGGTTGAGTCGGTCGGTAGGACTGGATCCCAACGTCTTATGTAGGGTAACCAGGGTCTTCAAGCCGGATTTCTTATAAGTTGTTCCATGATCCTCGCCCAGGGCCCAGTCGAGAAGTTGTGCAGTGGGCCAAGCGATTGGTGCGAGGAGCCACATGAGGGTGACGACGAACGGTTGCATGAACGCTCCAATTGCTAGGCCATACCGAACGCAGACTGCTTGGGGGATGACTTCTCCAAAGATAACTATACATAGTCAGTAGGAGGTCCCATGCATATATGATGTCCCTACCAATCAACGCCGTGCTGCCAACAACGGCAGGCCATCCCCCTCCTAATGATCGATCGAGCACGATGGGCAGTGATTCGTTAACCATCACGTTGGCCAGGAGCAAGGTAACCAGAACCCAATGTTTTCCCCTCTTCAGCAGTGTGAGAACCTTGTGTGCATGCTTTTGTTCCTTTCCTTCGCCCGAGGTTGCAATGACTTGTAGATAGATGCTGTCTTGTCCCATAAACCTGTAAAACCATCAATTAGCAGGAGTAGTACCGAGCTTGGTGTAGTTCCACTCACGCAATGGTCAATCCAGCGAACGCGCCTCCTAACAATACCAACACAGCAGCGACGCCCAAATACAACCACAAGCTTGGATCTTCCGCATCTTTCGGCAGATCTCCCTTCTCCTTGTTGATACCTAGGAATTGGGTCACTGGCGCGGCAGACGCGTATGAGACCTGGGAGAGCCCCAGGACCAGAAGCTTGGCCAGACCGAGGATCGCAGGTCGAGCGAGGTAGCCATTGCTACCTGCAATTGGGGGTTTCGATTTCATTTCCCAGTCCCAAGTCAGGTCACCCACCACTGCAGGTACCGCGGTCGCGGTCAATTGGCCCTGGGTATTCTCTCGGTCCTGCGCCTTTAATGCAGTACTGTACCAAGCTTTGGCGGCTGGGAAAGGATGGACCCAGCTATTCGAACGTGTTGGCGCCAATCAAACAAAGGAGTGAAGGTACCTACGGAGGTATGTAGTAGCCGTAGGCGGGGATGAAGCTTTATTTAAATATGCGTGATAATAACCAGGGTACATGCAGATGCAAGACAGGTACAGGTGTGGTGTGTGGGCGTGGGTCTGAGGGTATGGACTGTTCACCAAATGATCGGTGCTGGGGTGTGAAAAGAAAAGCGGCACTGAATCTGTTTATTGCAAGCCCAGCCCAGTCCAGTTGAAGATTCAAAGTCGGGGAGGAATGAGTGCCGCTTTCTATGTCGCGCCCCGCCCCTCCCCTCCACTAGCAACGGCGCCAAGGAAATGATGCTTGCCTTGCGATATTAAGTTTAGCAGCGTTCCCAAGTTCAGCTCAGTCCAGTCCAGTTTACTTGGTACAATTTCACTCTTTCGATCAAGGTATACAGATATACCACAACGCGGATCCAAGGTATCTCTATATATAAACTTCTGCTTGATGATAGTGCACTTGGCTGTGCTTCTCTTCTTCTTCTGCCATGTTTTCTGTCCGAAGTATTGCGTATTATGTGGGAACACCTCATTGAGGAGGGGAGGCGACTCTACGTGTATGAAAAAAGTGGCGGAATAGACAAGCGAGTTTTGGTGCCTTATTCCGACAGTTATTTCGTACACGTAAAGGGCGATCAAGTCAGCCGTTGCCGTAGTCTTATGGTCGCTTTGCCTTTGTCATACTCTATGTTTTCGTCGGCTTTAAAGGAATAGTTTCCCATATGAGACGGCTCGCCATGAAAATATGCAAAGCGTAGTAACTGCAAAACTACAAAACAAACGACTCGTTTCCATACAAGGAGACCTAGTTTGCTTTTGCAGTTTGAGAAGCGATGATGTCTGAACCGATGCGCCATCACGTTGTTCGCAATGGCATTCATGGAAAATGGTTCTTGACGTAATCGCCTATATAAAATGCTCTGCTATATGTCGTGTTTCGGGCGCGCTTATGATCCGGCAAAAACAAGAAGAGGAAGCCAATCAGGGTAATTATCCACTGTGCATGAGCTATTAACATAAATATGTATTTATAGGCCATTGAATTCCTGTTCCGGCATACTAATCAAGTAAGATAGAGTGGATTGTTTTAAATCGACCAGCCTGAAATCTAGATGGTATTGCTACGAGCTTGTTCCCAACTCGCGATTAATTTGGCTCCTAAGTCTCGATCCAGGCACAAACAACAAGTTGACGTGCCGTCTGTCTTTTTCCTCGATTAGGAGCCCCTATTATATAAGACTTTTTTATATGTTTCGAGTGATGCCTCGAAGAAATAGGGTCCTTGTCTGTTGCCCTGCACTGATTATGAGATGCAATAAGTGCTAGGGTCATAGATGCCATATATATTGTGGTGGGGTTCTAACGGAGCGTCACAGGTATGCATACTCTATAAATACAAGCGCTTCTACAGGCTTGGAGCATTTTCCATTCTATACATACACTCTTTTACATGTCATATTATTATATAATAAAACTATAAGTCAGATCCTAGCCTAGAGTTCGCGGTTGTATTATCCCTCTACATTTTAGTGATTACTATAAGGGGCAAGGCATACTCTATAGCTTATAGGATTTATCAAATGCTAACAACTAAAAGGGAATAGGAAGCCTTTACTAAAGCTGTCTGCGGCCTTCTTTACTCCCACTTATATAACCTCTCTTTTATCCCACTTAGATATAGATGCGTCAGTTGGGCATGGCTAGAGGAATCATATGGTTTTGCCTATTATGATATAAAAAAATCGTATTATGACGGAGCATTTGCAACCGTAGGGTGTACTTTTAGGCTAATGCGACATTAATAGAAACAAGGCAGAAGACTCGTTGACTATAAACAGCTACTTTACTATAGAACGAGTGCGCAAGAACATCGCTTATAAAGGGATGCTAATGCAGAGAAGTAATAGAATAATAGAGCCAAGCCAGATCTTGCAAGTTTTGAAAACTTCCAAGCAATCTTGGTGACCTGAGAATGCAGCGGCTAAGTATGCTCATTCGACATGGGTCGGTGGGTAGTAACAGCGAAGCCGGCGCTCAAATACGGATACGGAGTAGCCTACCGATACCCCACCTTACAAGCACCTCCTGTGCTATTTTCATTATTTTGCTATAATCTTTATAACTTTCGTCGGAATAATTGCTATTATGATGCATTTATTAAAGCTCTCTGTGTCCTTGCTTGTATCCCTTGCTGTTTCATGTGTTCAAGCGGCCCGGGTTCCTCAATACCAACAATTACCCCCACTTCGCGAGCAAGCTGCAATTCAAGATGCGTGGACCGTAGAGCGGGTGTCAAACGTTCCACAGTTGTTGAGGAAATATGAAGTCGATGCTTGGCTGGTAAGTCTTGCCATTCAAAACTTCATACATACTCATGGGAATCCAGATGAGCCAAAAAGAATATGCTGAAGATACCGTGTTCTGGTCTCTCAAGTCAGCTACTCAATTTTCGGCACGACGCAGGACTGTGGACTTATTCCTCGCCAATACCGTTGAAGATGCCTCTTTTTCATATAACTGGATTGATAATACTCCAGAAGTATGGTCTGAACTTCGTTCCGTTCTAGAGGCGCATAATGTTTCTTCCATTGCAGTCAACGCGGACACCGATGTCGCATTTAGCAGTGGTCTGCATGTTGGCGAATTTGGGAAAATCGTCCAAGAGCTGGGACCTGAATGGGAAAAGAAGCTTGTTGTGGAGCCGATGGTGGGTGTCGAATTTATTGGAACTATGGTGCCTGGTCGGCTTGAGTGGTATCGTCGTTTGCAAGAGACGGCTTGGGCCATCATCACAGAAGCCTTCAGCGAGGCAGTCATTGAGCCAGGAATTACTACCACAGATGTGAGTCTTCTTGGTGTTAGAATGATACTTTATGGGCTAAGTATGTATAGGATGTCCGCTGGTGGATGCGAGACAAAATCCAACAGCTGAACTATACTACCTGGTTTATGCCCGATGTTTCTATTTTAAATGCTGAAGATCCATTTGGCGACCACCCAATGACAACAGATCGAGAAGTTATACAATATGGTGATCTCCTTCACTGCGATTTTGGGGTCACGGCCCTTGGGTTAAATACAGATACTCAGCATATGGCATATGTTCTTTACCCAGGGGAATCCGAGGATGATATCCCGGAAGGCTACATTGGAGGATTGAAGCAAGTGAATCGACTACAAGATATTGTCAAATCTAATATGAAGGTCGGCACCACGGGGAATGACATATTAAAGACTAGCCTGAAACAGATGAGAAATGAGGGTTTCGATGGAAAGATATATTGCCATCCAATTGGAGACTGGGGACACTCCGCTGGAACCCTTATTGGTATTTATACCCCCAAATGACTTTGAACGTTTTTTAACTGATAGTTCGTTAGGTATGTTTAATTTACAAGAAGGTGTTGAAGTTCTTGGCGACCTCCCTCTGTTGGACAACACGTACTACAGCGTTGAGCTGTATGCTGAATACTTCGTAGCGGAACGTAATCAGACGATGAACTTTTATCAGGAAGAGGACGTGTATTGGAACGACGAGATAAAAGATTGGGATTGGGTGTGGGGAAGGCAGGAGAAATTCCACCTCGTCCGACCACCAGTGGATAGGGTGTTTCGTGTGCAAGGACCATGAAATTTAACTTCTGAGGCATACGTCATGCTTTAGTATAGAAAGTTTTGTTTGATATCCCATGGTCAAAGTGCAGCTTGAAGTTCGTTTCGCTGTCGTTCAATTTATAAATATCTGATGAAGAAAAAAGACATAGTGCGTCTGGAATCTAATGGTATCAGGTGTTTACTTCAAATATGAAGTTTAGTGGGAGCGGGGAATCCAGTTAATCTGATTTTTTCTTGGGAAAATACGATCCATTAGCCCTACGTTCCGCAAATGCAATAGGATTTTGTTGCCGGTGGAACTGATTGGAGATCGTCTCTAGACTAGAAAGGCGTTGCAAGAGAAGTACTTCAAAGTCGAAGAATTTTTGAAGAGCGTATTGAGAACAAAAGACCGGTCATGGAATAAAAGCCAAAGTGATAAGGAACAAAGTGTGACCCCCAGGAGAAATTTGGAGCCTGTCATGTGACGAAGGACCAGACACGTTTGTATGCGTTTCAGGAGAGTTAGAAAACGTTTTAGTTTATATACGACTTGATAGAACACCCGTAAGATTTCAGTCATCTATACTGAAGAATAATCCAAGATTTGAAAGCAAAAAGTTAAGAAATGAAGATTGAAGAGTGGATAAAATTGCTCTGGTACTACACGAAAGTTCCAACCACGAGGCATCCCCGGACATCCCGACCCCTTGAGGGAGGGGGGATGGGGGGAGAGGAGTGGATCCACTTTGTTGCTGCAGGAGGCCAGGGAAATAACCCTCAAGGGGAAAACACGAGCGGGTATTCAAGCATAGCTAGCATACGGCACCAGTAAGAACGCTCATACGCATACGGAGTACCTCCATAAAAGGGCTTAAATGATGTCGTGCAGGTTTTTGCAACAGAGCTAGGAGTTCGTTCAGAAACGCTGCGTGGATCCAGAGGGGTCGCCGCACGAGCCCTACTGTACTTCACCGAGGCTTTCTCACGGTGCTAAAATCTCAAGATCTAATTCGAGTTCTCTACTCGTATATGCTATGGGCTCTAAGCGCAGAAGGTGATGCTTCAACAATTGAAATTGGAAGCCACTTCCTCCTAACTTAATTCCGCCCGGAATATATCCTCATCTTGTATGAAGGGGCCAACAAAATACTTGCGACGCTTCACCGCGTGCAAGTGATTTCAGTTCGGGGAATTCTTGAGAACCGCGAACTTTGTTTGAGCACAGTCCGCACGAGCCTGTGTGGTGAGGTACGGAGGTACATGATACTTTCTTCTACATTCCACCAATCAGCGCGCGTGCCACCCAAAAATAACCGAGCCAAAATAACCCCCTTTTCGCTTAGCCTCAGATCGAAGACATCTCGAGTTTCTAGTTGTACGTTGCAAGACCCGTCATTTGGGAATAGGTAAGAATTCACGACCTTTCGAAACATGATCTTCGCCAGAAGCACTCGTGAATCTAGTTACATCTTAAGATCAGGGAGCATCGTCTGATGTTTTCAGCTAAATGTCAGATGCGTAGGGATATTCTGTGACAATGTGAAGCGCCGAGGAACTAGTGGAGGCAGGAGGCTGATTATTCTTGATGCACGGTCTTGATATTTCTATATAACTTCGTCTTTTCCGACGTTGTGTTTATTCTTCATCGCATCAACAGCTTCAATCTTTTCCATTCATTTTATACATTCGCTATAGTTCTGTGAACTTTACATTCATTACTCTCATTCAAATATTTCTTGCATTCGGCCGGTCCAAACATTTGAACGAATTTATCATTATTACACATCGCTATAACCATCTCAATAACGCTTCATATCCTTCAATATGTATACTCAAACTGTTCTCGTTGCATTTCTTGCAGCTATTGCCGAAGCTCGGTAAGCAACACTTGGATCAGTCAGATCTCTTCTTTTATGCATTTTCTAACCACAGTATAGTTTCGGTCAAGAACAAGGTAATGGGGCCATTGCTGCCATTGGTGCTTTGAGCGATCTCGGAACCTCAGGCCAAGCCGCAACTCTTTCTGGCGGATCCATTCAATTTCTCTTGGCTGCTGCCAATCCATGCGGTAGTACGTATCTCCGCCCCATGTTGTAGTTCTTGTCTAACCAGCTGGTAGAACTTACCCAAGCGGATCAAATCGTCGCTGAACTCGGAACCAGCGACCGCGCCATTGCTGCCGCCCGTGGCCTCGTTGCCGCGGAGCAAAACTTCAACCCTTTCGTCGTTAGCATCCCCTCCATCTGTTCGGATCCCACCCTTCCAACTACTGCTGCACTCCGAGGCGTGGTTCCTCTTATCGACCCTGCTGTAGGCGGAGAAGCCATTGAAAACGCCAACTCAAACACGTCCATTGTTACCCCGTTCGCCGCAGATGGATTGAGCGTTGCTCAAGTCATGGCTGCTCAAGGGTTCTCCAACTTCACCGCCGTCGCTCTCGATGGGACTAAGGCAGCAGCTGCTGTCGCTTCTGGTGCGTCGAGTGCAGCTTCAGTCGCTTCTGGTGTGTCGAGTGCGGCTTCAGTCGCTTCAAGTGTAAGCGTAGCCGCCAGCTCTGCCATTGCTTGCGGGGCTACGACGATGGTGACTGTCACCCGTACTGTAAGTTCATGCAATTGTAAGCCGAAGAACGCTTTCTGACAACAAATAGGCTACTGCTGCCGCTTCTGTTGCTACCACATCAGCAGTAGCAAGCGCTGCCGCCTCATCATCGAGCTCCACGGCTGCCGCTGGAGCTGGAGCTGTCACAAATGCGGTTACTGGAAACTTTGCTGGATTCCAGGCTTCTACTATCGCCGGTCTCGACTTTGGAACTTGCACTCCAACTATGGTAAGTTTATCTCTATACTAAAATTCTGTTCTGCACTAGGCCAGCGGGGTCTAGAACTTGTTTCGGGGGCCCACATGCTGGCTCCCCGGACTGTCTCGAAGCTTCCTCTGGGCTCTCTGAAATGTCAAAGTCTTACTATACTAATTCATTTGACAGAAATTCGAAGCCGGTCTCAATGGTCGTCAAACCACCGAATCAACTTTCCAAGCCATCGATCCAGTTGTCAACAAGGGACAGGAAGAAGCTCTCAACCCAGCCATTATCACCAACAGAATCCACGACCAATTGACCAACGTCTGTGGTGCCAATCAAGCTGCCAAAGATGCTGCAGCCGCTGCTCAGACCCAGATCGTAGCATTGGGTACTCGCGATGCTACAACTGCGGATGCTTGGAACACGGCATTGGGATTTGCTGGGACCAACACAAACCCTGACAACGCCCCACAGACTGGCTTGGTTGGTCACACATAGACCCTGATCTGTTTAGTGACATGAGTGTTGGGAATTTCAAAGAGATAGGGAGATGATGTAGAGTTCAGGCTGTGTTGAGATTTAACTGTAATTCCTATACAATACGAACATATATAACTTTACGTCTAATGATTGATTTATATGAGAGCCGAAATTTCCCCAAAAGATTTTGTTAGCCTGTTATCTAGCTGGTTCTGTTCCTAAAAACTAGGGTTGTCTCACTTATAAATCATACAACTATCATCAACGCATTCAGAAAGCATCCGATCTTCAACCTAGGTCACGTGCATTGTGTTGCGTCTTTCCTACACCTTTCTATAAAGCGACACCTATTATTATTCTTTGAATAAGATACTACGTACTTTATAGTAGGCTCGGTGAAGTATTATCCAAGTTATGTATATAACGATATCTGATCATGTGACGACTACAGGATTGAAATTTCTTCTCGTGCCTTATTATTAGCTCGCCTCACTTCTATTTTTGCATCCCCAAAACTGTGATTCCCACCTCCATCTATGCATATATCCTCATGGATCTCTCCTCTAGTCTTAGTATTATGGAGTACTTCTATCCGGAATCATGAAGCACGGTTAAACCTCACGGAAGCGGAAGCGCGGTTCCGTTTTGCCATTTCAACGTATTTTAATATCACTTTAACATCTGGCCACAGTTTGTATTTGAGCTATGAATTTCAATTCTAAAATGGCGTTTATCCCCGGGTCAATGCCATGATTTCGGGGAGGAACCCGACGGTTATTTCTACCAATGAAATATTGCAGTGCAAGAGCATAGAATCAATGACCCATCTGTATCAATTTGTTTTGCCGAGCATCCATCTCTAGAATTTGCCTTTCAATATAGGATGTGATAGGCCCTTCAGGCTTTCATTTCTTTGATGCATTATAAAAGCTCAGCTATCCCATAATTCAAATTTATTATTCTCATCTTCTTTGCTTTATAACTTTATCATGCATATCAAAGCCCTTCTCACATTTCTCTCAGCTGCTAACAGCATCTCCGCTCTCCCGCCTCTAGCTCCTAGAGCTGAAGATGCGCGAGACGTGAATCCCTTCCTCGGCAAGAATTACTTTGCAAACTCTTACTATGCCGGCGAACTCAACCAGACCGTCAATGCCTTCCTAACGAAGAATGACAGCTTGAATGCAGCACGAACGCGCACTGTACAAAACACTGGAACGTTCGTCTGGATTACGTCTGTCGCTGGTCTCAGCAACATTAAGACCACTATCGACGCCGCTCGTACTGAGCAACAACGAACTCGAAAGCAGCAGATTGTGCAGTTGGTACTGTATGACTTGCCTGACCGGGACTGCTCGGGGGGACAATCGGGTGGAGAGTTCAGCTCTGCTAACGATGGCTTGAACCTGTATAAAAAGACTTTCGTTGATCCTTACGCCGCAGCCTTGAAATCAGCTTGGGATCTGACTTTCGCCGTCATCTTGGAGCCAGATAGTCTGGGAAACGTCATCACGAACCAGAACATACCCTTCTGCGCAAACGCCACCTCGACGTACGAGCAGGGCATTGCATACGCCATCGCAAAGTTGCAAGCCCCCAATATCGCCTTGTACATTGACGCCGCTCATGGAGGATGGCTAGGATGGGATGGCAACCTTGCACCCGGTATCTTGAGCCTGCTTCTCCTTCTCCGTCACCGAATCTGAATGCTAACATGCTAAACTTCCTAGCGGCCACCGAATTCGCCAAAGTAGTTTCCTTGTCGCAGAACTTGACAGTGGGCGGTGCCCAAATCCGCGGCTTCTCTACCGACGTCTCGAACTTCAACCCTTACATCGCCGACCCACGCGCCAACTACACTGAGTACAGCAATGCGTACGATGAGCTGCACTACGCCGAGGTTCTGGCACCGCACTTGACCAACAACTCGCTGCCCGCGCACTTCATCATTGACCAGGGACGGTCGGGCCTCCAGAACACGCGCGCAACGTGGGGCGACTGGTGCAACGTGGAAGCGGGCTTTGGGACCCCGCCCACGACGGACACGAACAGCACGCTCGTGGACAGTATTGTGTGGGCGAAACCGGGTGGTGAGAGTGATGGGGCCTGCGGGCCGACTATCGATGGTGTTGGTGCGCCGAATGCTGGGCTTTGGTGGGAGGCTTATGCTGAGGAGTTGGTCAAGAATGCTGATCCGCCGATAGCTCCTACTTATGCTACGCTGCGCAAGTAGACGGGTCTTGTTAATGGGGTGGTAGTATGTATATATGTCTAGATCTTGGATATAGAACGTCAGTGAGGAATAACTCAATGCAAGATAAGGACATTGCCATTGTATGAGTGACACTGTAACGAAAGTAAACTCTTGAAGCTTGGAGTTGAGAACTATGAGACTATACAAGAGATAGACATATAGTAATGAAGAAAGTGGGCTGTGGTTCGAACTTTTAAGAACTTCATGTATAACATATCAATTGTTATTTCTTTTATTGCATGCCTCTAACCCTTGTTTAGTACTGGTGCAATCGCTCCACTGCGTTTTTGATCGGGGCATTTCGACATCTCGCATACAACCTTCTGATACACAACTGGGTGGGCATTCGCTCCCTAAACGATTGGTACCACCAGATACCGGCTACTGCAAAGATATAAAGGTGGGTTTAATAGCGCTTCATAGACGTGCAAATGTCTCCCTAGCCCAGTATCATCAAGAGGAGATGTTGCTCAGCCAGGAAAATGGGTATATCCCGTAGAATCGTTTGGGAGACATCTTCAACATTTCATCGTTGAACGAGCATCTGCCTTGAAAAGCCTATGAAATGCTAAAGGTTTCTGCTGTGGCCAAACAACTACAACACTGTGTATGTTGCTACACTTTCTGTTTTGCTCGTGAACAATCCATACAGTGTGGGCTACATTGTTGCCATTTTTGCTTAGAAAAGCGATAGGTCCATGACAAGTAACTTCGGCAATTGGCTTTGCTGGGTGCGGATACATGCAATACGTTTCGATTTCGGATGTTTTTTCTGGACGCGTTTTATAGCGAAGCGGTAATAACCAATGACGAGAAATCCCATACCTAAAGGGATGCGTTTATTCTAGTTCTTGGGTTAGGTTTGAATGCCTTCGGAATTGGCCATGAGACTATCCCATTCAGTCTTTACATTTAGTTAGCATCTGGAATATTTATACTGTCGAAAAGGCACTCACCCAAGCCATGCTAGCAGGACCAAGCCACTGTTGAGGTTGCAGCCTCTCAGCAAACATATTCATTTGTTCACTGTTTAGAGACTGTTTCTGAATATCGGGATGAGATTCTGGAGTAGGGAAAGATGGAGAAATCGAAGGTTGCTTTGGGGATGAAGTTGAACTTGAAGGGATATCAGCAAAATTATACTTGAGAGAGAAGCAGAGTGAAGGATTCAACAAATACCTACAGCATAAACCTAAGAATCCTAGCAGCTTTCTCACATATTTTGCTCCTGCCGGAAGATGCTTCGAATCTCGCCAGAGTCTCATCCAGTAATTTCTTGAAACATTGGTGCTGTGGTTTATATATAGGCATAAGAAGTGCAACGGCCAACACAGCAGTGGCATGAAAGGCGTGAAAACTTCCAAGGCCATCGGTATACCACATATATGGCTTGAAGCTCTCTATTTCGAACATCATCTGGTGAATACCCAGAAGGGCCTCGGCAGAAGCAATGCATCTGATTTGAGATTGATTTGGAATATCAAGTCCGAGAATAGATTGAGCAAAGAATGGCCGATGCAAAAGAAGATACAGCTGATGTGAGTAAGCGTGGAGAATGTGAAGGTGGACTGCATGGTGTGTAGGCAGGGAATTAAAACTCGAGTCCGCGAGATAACGACTATCCCATTCTTGCTGCGCCAAATGAATCTGCTGATCTAGATTCTGGATCGTTGTCGTACTGGGTGGATATGATTTGAAGGTTTCCTTGCAGATCTTTGCTGCAATGTCATAGAGGCGGAATTTAAACAGTAAATATGACATCTGCGTTGGCCCTGGAAAGGGTTCCTGGATTCCAGCGACAGTTATATCGACATCGTTGACATCAGCCGGAAGCTTGACATCGTTGGTAATACGCCACGAAGGATCAGGATTTCCCAGAATTGTGTTTTGTATTGTGTAGAGCATTATGACTCCCGCCCAACAGCGCCTGCGCTCTTCGCACTGTATGGCTGTGAGACCAAATTCGTCGGGGTCAATGTGGCAACCCATTGCAATAGCAACATGGTACGTCATGCCTGTAATACTGTCAATTTATCATTCTTTTTGTTGCTGTCGCAAGTAGGATTTACCAAGGAGCACCCATGATGGTTCCTGACTATGCCCCATAGCATACACTACAAGAACAAGCGCTTGGAGCGAGTGAGTGTTGTTATTTCCCCAAAATACTCCATGTTTAGCAAGACACTTCAAGGCAGCTTCTCGATACCGTTTGCTAAGCATTCGAATATTGTTATCTGGATCTGAACCTCTGGCTAGGTCTCTTAAGACTGGATCTTTCTGTTCTAACGTTGTGACAGCCAAGGATAACAAAATGAAGAGGATTGCCAACCAAGAGACGGGCACCGAGGACGGATCTTCAACAAAACCCTCGTATTCAGATTGGAAAGTCGGGTCATGAAGGATGTGAAATAACTAGGCGGCATTAGGTAGGGCATAATAGGGGGTTCGGGATATTTACCGGAGAGAAGACAGTGAAATACTTTTCTTTCAAATACTCGCATTGCTGCATCGGGGGCAGAATGGAAAGCAGGTCATCTCCTGAAGGCGAGGCCGCGGTCGTAAAGGGAAACCCAAAGCTGAAGTTGGAGACCTCGTTCTCTTCCAGTGAAGGGGTACTTGATGACAAGTGTGTGTTGGCAAGAACTGCGCGCCATTGGGATGATCGTGGCTCGTAACGAACACTGCCATTTGAGGCCGTAGACAGAACGCCAGCTCTGTGTGAGGCGCTGAGGTCGGTGGGGAGTGTCTGACGAGCTGGGAGGTCGGAAATAAAAGATTCAGGAGATAGCTGGCACGATGGCTCTAATTCTATTGAGGCAGAGAGTGCCGGGCTCGCCAAGTGCCCAGCTCGTGTGGTCGACGATGCTTCAACCTCCGCACCTGTATGTTTCCTCAACAAATTCTCTAAATTACTGATCCTATCTAATAGTTCAACATTGGAATTATTATATCCCGCCTTTGCTGAGGCGTCGTCTCGGGATGATTTGTAGACGCAGCTGTCTGGACAACGTCGCCGTCGGCATGTATCGCACGGAGGATGACTCCTGGAGCACTTGATCTTCCTCCGACGACATGGCTCACAGCTAACGGGCTGTCGCACGCTCTCGGTGCGTTTTGAACCATTGTGTTGACGATCCATAATATTTGATTGGGGGTGGAAATTTTATGGTTTTATTCCTGAAGTGAGGTTGAAATCGCGGGGGAACGCAGGGACCCAGGGCCTGCGCAGATCCGGCAAGAAGGAAACTAACCTCTCCTCTATAGAGAATATCACGTGGGAGGCAAAAGCCACTTTGAAAACTTATTTGGTTAGGATTAATTTCTCCACTTACTTAGAAGCTTAACGATGATTGTATTTGCCTTCTTTCAGTGGAAATTTACAGTCGTTGTTAGATCTCACGAATGGGTGGCATGTATCTACGAATGGCACATACCGCATCTACTAAAATTACTAATTACACCATCCGTGTCATAAATCAATTTTAAATTTTACTGATTCTATAGACTACTGAAAAAGATAAAACTAGTTACAAAAACAATCTTACGGCCTTTGCAACACCATTCACATCCTCAAAAGTATGCCAGTGGCCAACTTGTGGCAGGACTTGGACTTTTGTCCCCTGAATCTCCCCTGCATACTTTTCACAGATCTGTGGAGGCGAGACTTTATCCTCCTCGCCAGTGATAATTAATGTCCTTGCCTTGATCTGACTCACAGGCAGAGCTTCTGAAGCGCCGGCTAGTGCTGTACATCCTTTGGCATAGCCCTCCGGGTCTTGGCCTAGTAATGACATTCGAATTGCGGCAATAGCAACTGGGTTATCTGTCTTCGATTTTGCAGATGTTCCAGCAGTGATAACGGCATCCACAACGGCTGCCATGCCGGAGCTTCGAACTATGGCTGCTCGAGCAATGGAACCATTTCTGCCAGCTTCGGGGACCGGAGATGGAGGGGGACCGATCAAAACAAGATTCGAGACGAGCGCCGAGTTTTTCAGAGCCAAAGTCATGGCAATCAGGCATCCCATGCTATGGGCAATCACAGTTGCGCCCTTGATGTTCAATTGTTCGGCCAAGTTATTGAAATCCGACGCATAGGTTTCAATGGTGACTGTGGAACCTGCAGAGGTCGGAGAAAGCCCGTGTCCTTCAATGTCCAAAAGATGCAGTGAATGAGTCTTCTCCAAACCCAAAGCCGTAATGAGCGGGGTATAATACTCTGAGGATCCACCAAGACCATGGATAAAAATGATGGGAGGACCTGTGGAAACTCCAGCGTGGCGATAGTACAACTTCTTAGACCCTACGGTAGTCAAACCAACGCCACCGCACGTTTTGTCCAAGTTGCTTATTGGAATACGAGTAGTTGTCGCCACACGGGCAATGGTTGGGTTCTTGGAAGTCGGCTCCGCAATTGTGTTGCTCAAAACCCCAAGGCCGGTCACTGAGACGTCCACAACATCACCAGGTAAAAGCCAAACAGGTGGCTTCTGACCAAAACCCACACCGGCCGGAGTTCCAGTTGCGATAACATCACCAGGTTGAATTGTCTGGCCCTCGGAAAGAGTCTTTACAAGGAAGGGGATGGAGAAAATGAGATCTTCGGTTGTTGCGGTTTGACGCTTCTCTCCATTGACAGTAGTCTCAACTCGTAGTATTTTGGGAAGCTTGTTTGCAGGTACAGCGATTGGGCCCTGTCATCGATCAGATTCTTGCTCCAAAATTTTGTTTTCCAAGCAGCTGAATTGGTAAGAGGGAAAAATACATACCATTGGGCAGAAAGTATCAGGAGACTTTCCGATATAGAATTGCTTGTGGTCCCTTTGTCGTTCTCTTGCCGTCACATCATTAATAATGGTGTAGCCCCAGACATAATCCCATGCATCTTTTTCAGATACTCTGTATCCGCTTTTGCCAAGTATTACTCCGATTTCACCTTCATAGTCGACGGTTTCAGTGAACCCAGGATGTGGAAAGATGGATTCTCCGTGGGCAATGATGCTCGTAGAACGCTTGGTGAAGATAACCGGATGAGTTGGTTGATCCGCCTTGTCGCTAGAATCATATCCGGAAGAGTTGAATTCTTTGGCATGCTCTGCATAGTTCTTTCCCACTGCCAGAACATCTCGGCCGCTGATAGGAGCCAGTAATTGAATTGATGATAGAGGGAAAGGCTCTCCCAGGGGCTTGATCTGCGCTTCTCCGATCTCAATAACTTCATACAGATCCGAAAGAGGTGCCCCAGACAGGAAACTCAAAGGTTGGATGGTTGATGCTTGAAGATCCAAGTGTCCAATGCGGGATTGGCCTTGAATCTTGGGGTCACGATACGCGACATAGTTCGTGTAGCTGCCATTCTGAGAGGGACCGTTGGTTGCCATTGTGATAGCTTGATGATAGACGCGGTGTAATTGGGATTGGAAGCTTAATTGGAAATTGAAGTGGAAATGGGAGTGTCTAACTTTCCAAGGAGAAGGGGAGCACAATTGGTAAAGGTAAGAGTATCTATAGTGGGAGAAGAGGCGCGCAGAATAATGTCTCATTCGGAAGAAATGGGAAAGCAGAAAGAAGCAAAGTAGATAAGAAGTCGAGGAATTATTTTCTGGTCTGGTAGGAATACTCAGGTGATAGCTCCAGGGGCCCCCGCTGATGCTAATACTGAAGCCTCCACCCCACCATACCATAGCTAATGATGACAGCGAGCTCGCTCTGCCCCGCAGCCGCCGGACATTTCCCGGCGAACTACTCGCCTCGCCAATAATGTACGAAGTGAAGTATCCGCCTTCTCCGTCTTCACTCCTTTTCGTCTCATATCCACCATCTCCGTCATCTCCGTCATCTCCTCGTCTCCATCATCTCCGCCATCTCCGCCCTCCTTTTCCCAATCCCCGCATCCCACAGGAAATGTTGCCGTTGGACAGTTGGAGGCGCACATCTCACAAGACTAAAGGACGGCACAAATAGTCCAACAAAGTTTCACTCCGCAATAGTCTGCTTTTGCTAGACTTCAGAACGCGCTCCGGGACGTGGACTTGATGAATCTCTCGTGTATACCCCACACTGGCGAGTATTGTACTTAGGTCTCGACCGTAGACCCCAACAGCCTGAAGATCCACATGGAATCGTGAGCACGGGGTAACGGGGTGAACCCCATACTCTCTGCTCTCTGGCCGGGGAGGTTTGTTTCCTAGTACCGCTTGATATTCCTCCTCATTTCAATCTGTGGGGGTTTTCATTTAAATCTGGGGTTTCCCCAGATTTTTCACCTTCCGTATCGAGCTTTCTTCTTTTCTTTCAATTACTGTTTCTTCCACCTCCACTGCTACTCTCACATTGGATTCAACTACCTCGTTGCAAATATGTCTGCTCCAAATGGTAACAGCGAAAGCTATGACCATGCTAGCAAAATGGAAGCAAGCAGTGGAAATACAGAACAACTTGAAAGACTTCAAACTGCTGGAGGACATGTGGATGACCGAAGTCAGCCATCCTTGCCAGTCGTTCATCGCCGCTTCGCCAATCCAGCTCCTCTCGGTCTGCTCTCCTTTGCTACAGGTATGCCACGACGGAAGTAAGACCAGGATACTCTCGCTCACCCTTATAGGAATCTTCCTCATCTCCATATATGGTGTTCAAGTACGGGGAGTCGCAACTCCCAATGTTCTCGTTGGAGTCTTGATTTTCTTCGGTGGTGTTTGTCAATTCATCTCTGGCATTATGGAGTTTGTCAGCGGCAATACTGTAAGTCGAATCAACTACCTTTGAAGCACTTGCTAACTTGGAGTAGTTCGGCGCAACTGTCTTCCCCTCTTACGGCGCTTTCAACCTGTCATACGCCATGATCTATCTTCCTGGTTCGGGAATCCTGGCTGCATATACCGACAAAACTACAGGAGAGTTGAATGACCAATTTGCAAATGCTCTTGCCATGTATCTCTGGGCTTGGTTTATTCTAACGGTCATTTTCACTGTTGCCGCCATGAGATCATCTTGGGTCTTGTTTGGCGACCTTTTCGTGCTGTGCATTGTCCTTATGCTTCTTGCCTGCGGTTATATGCTTAATAATACATCGCTGGAGAAGGCTGGTAGTGGGCTTGGGTTTGTAGTTGCTTTTCTAAGCTGTAAGTTCTCGCTATCTGATCACGACCCGTTTACATGCTGACCATGACCTAGACTGGGCAGGATGCGCTGGCCTCTTTGCGAATGGTATCACACCTATCAATCTCCCGGTGTTCTCTATGTATACAGAAACTTGATTGTGGAGAGATGGACCTTGGTACTAGTGGAGGAAGCTACACATTGTGGTCATCTTATGATGTAGTAGTTGGACGTCCATAGCTGTTTATATTTTATTAGTCGGAGAATACTCAAAACACTTTTAGATTTAGAGTGACGAGCATTCTACAAGGTTTATTGGCCTGAAGATGTGATTCAAACGAATAAAAGCTCGTGCGAAATCTTTGGATTAGACGTCAGTGTTCATGCCTGATATTGTGGAGAAAAATCGCGTATCAATCTAACCTACCCCTCACTGATTAGTTGATGGTTATTCTTTCATCCATATCTGGAGATTATATTACTTGAGACTGGTATATTATGACCATTTGACACGGATTATAGAGAGAAAGTTATACGTGACATGTAAATAAACTTCTACTTTAAATATCCTAGTCCCACACATCATTCCCCCATCTTCTTAATCCTACATATCTATTTGGCTCTTGAAACCTGTTTTTCAACCCTTCTGTCCGTCCAACTCTCAACGGCTTCCCAAATTCCTCCATATCCTGTTTCCCGTGAAACCTCCAGAACTGCCAACTACACTCCCCTCCCGCAAAAGATTTGATGACCTGTTCTCCGCCGGGATGTTCGGAGATAAAATCAGTGCAATCATACACTATATTGTCTACCACAATGACTATTCTTCTGTGAGAACTGCGAAACGAAATAAAATGAAAACCAACGGGGCTGGGAACATACGAAGACCGCCAGCTCCCGCTGATATGCGCTGCGAAACTTCAGTCGCGGGGATGAAGGGTAAATCTTTATCTTTGGTGTCTGTAGTGGCAGACGGGTATCTTGGGGTGAGGCTGAGAGTTTCGATGTGTTGAGTGGAGGCCTTTAAGTCTTGGATGAATTCTGTCTGTAGGAGTGGCGCCTTTCGAGTGCCGATTTTGAGCCAGCCCATCTTGATTGTAGGGTTGTATTGTTGAATGTAATAAGAGTTTCGAAAATATCTCCGTAGAGATAGAAAGCAGTTCTCTTTCTCGGTGGATCACCTTGGTAGCGCGTGAGGAGAAACGGAGGATAGTCCGGCAGTTCCTATGGTGTTTTCTTGAATAGTCTAGTGGGTTGAAAGCGACTATCCTATAATCCATTCCCGTGATGGGAGGATGGAGAAGACGGAGAAGGCGGACGACACTAGGCGAGGATAGCTCCACGCTAGGGGTCCATTGCGCTTACACCCCGTCACCCCGCATTAATCCAGTGAGTCTCGTACCTTATACTTGACCTATCTCAAGCGTTGTAATAATATTACTTGATCCGTATTGCCGAAGTATGGATGTGTAACCAGAAATACGGGGAACTTGGGGAATTAGAAACCTTCATGTTCCGACCTGGTGACTTTGGGATCTATTTTACATTTAGCCTACTTTCACCCAGCACTTATAACTGCGTCTCGTCGTCTTCTATATCCTTTTCCTCATCGTTCGTCAATCAGTTCTTTTTCCAAAGCTTGTGGAATCGGATAACTATACATATAATTATAATTGTTCTTCAGTTGCAAGCCAATCGAAGTAATCAACATGGCACCCTCAAGAACCGCTGACCCGCTTCCCAGCTTTGGCCAAAAGAGCGTCACCAGTGAACCTTACAAAGGACCACCCCGAAATATCAAAACCATAAACGACATACATTTCGATGCCTCCCTACAACCAACAAATTACAAAATCTTGGGTACCCACCCCGACTCCAAGATCCTCTTTGAAGATGTTTCAATACTCGACTCTACAGGCCGTGATCCTTATCCGGGGGATGTCCTCATCGAGGGTGAAAAAATCGTCAGAGTCGGCAACGTACCCGACAAGGAAAAGCTGAAGAAAGACCCCAAAGTGAGGGTGATTCACGGGAGAGGACGCACTCTGATGAGTGGCTTGGGAGATGCGCATACCCATTTCACTTGGAATGGTGGAGACCTGAATAGGCTTGGGGACTTGGGCGTCGAGAAGCATGTGCTATTGACAGCTAGGAGTGCGCAGTGTTATATTGACTCGGGCTATACCATGTATGTCCTCACATTCCAGCTTCTTTAAAAGGGGCTTAGCCGAGGCTATCCTACAGGGATACCAAACTGACGAACCACAGGTGTTTTGGGGCAGCTTCCGCCAAAGAGAGACTCGATGTTGTCATCCGAGATGCGATCAATGCTGGAGACATACCAGGTCCTCGATATCTGGCCAACGGCAAGGAGATGGCTAGACGAGACGGTGACCTTGTGGCGGGTATCACAGCTTATGCCGACGGACCAGAGGAGATGCGTGAGGTGATTAGGCATCACGTCAAATTAGGAGTCGACAACATCAAGCTCAGTATGAGTGGAGAAGAAGTAAACTCCTCCCTTGCCCCTCATGAGCATCGTGTTCTAATTCTACCTTAGATTACCGAGACTCGCTCAGCACAAGATTGTTATTTCACAGATGAAGAAACAGCAGCTTGCGTTGACGAGGGACATAAGCTCGGCAAGAGACTCTGCGCCCATGCCCGCGCCCGAGATTCAGTCACCATGTGCATTAAACATGGAGTCGATGTCATTTACCACGCTTCATATATAAACGACGAGGGTATGGATATGCTCGAGGCGAAGAAAACAAAGCACGTCATTGCTCCAGCCATCAACTGGCTCATTGGCACTCGTAAGTAATTCCAATCCGACCTCGAAATTGGAGGGCGTGTCTAACACACTTCTAGTAAACGATGCAGAAGCATTCGGCTACCCCAAAGCCAAAGCAGAACAAGTGGGGTATCAAAGAGAACTCGACGCTGCTATTCGTGGCCTGCGAGAGATGCACCGCCGAGGCATCCCCATCCTTCCTGGAGGCGATTACGGCTTCGCATGGACGCCGCACGGAACCTACGCGCGGGACCTAGAGCACTTTGTCAAGTTGCTGGATTTCACGCCCATGGAATCCATCATAGCGGCCACAGCTGGAGTCGCGAAGCTCTTCATGCGTGAACAGGAACTGGGGAAGATCCAGGAGGGATTCTACGCGGATTGCATTCTAGTAGATGGAGATCCGCTGCAGGATATCACGGTGCTGCAAGATCATGATAAGTTGAATGTTATTGTGCTTAACGGGAGGGTGCATAAGGCGGGCAGGAAAGAATATATTGCACCTCCTGTGGCGGGGCAGGATGCAAATTATCACCCTATCGTGCCAGACTTTCCTGAGGTCAAGAAAGAGATGCAGAAGAATTATTGAGTTTGTATCGTTTCAAGGGGTTGATTAGCTGTGATAGCACTGTATGAAGTATTACGAATTGAAGGAAGTTTTTAATCCTCTTTTTCAATCAGATGTTACAAGATAGTGTTAGTGCCGCTTTGCTAATGTCTTTTAGTGGGATATGCAGGCCTTCATGCAAGTGTGACTACGATAAGGAATACAACTTGAAGTAGCATTCCGGCTAAAGTCAATAGGGCAAATCAGAGGTCATAAATTTGGCATTGTTATGGTGGATTCTATGTACACTTCCATCTTAAAGTGGGGGATTTCAATCATCCCTACTGATATGCTGTGAATGGCTCTTACTGACTGCAGTACTACTTCAAACTTCTTATCGTACTTTTTGTACTCCCTACCAGACGCCGTGAATTGCTTGCAATATACAAAATCACACCGCTGATTGGTCAAGCTCCTTTCAATATGCATATTCACATCACTTGGTCAGAAGGCTGAAAGATCTTCGCGTTACAAAAAGCTCTCGAGTCCTCTTCTTCCCTCTTCAACTTCACGTTCGTTCCTCCCCCCCTTTCCAAAACATCAACGAAAACAACAACTTGCCGCCATCATGGGTTTCATTAACTCATCTAGAGCTCCGATAGAGCCAAGTTTTGAGCTCAAGGATTCTCCGCACACAATGGATAAAGACCGAGAAGAGAAATCGGGTTCAGAGGTGGGAGAACTCTCAAAGGTAAATCACGCCGACATTGAGGGGGGTGTTGCGCGGGTTGAAGCAGCTCAAGCCGTATGGGGAACGCATGGGAAATATATTATTGTTGCTGGGTAAGAGACTTACTCCATACTCGCTACAAACTATGGCATAGCATTGGTATTGACATGTTGGATAGGATTGCAATGATGATGATTATGTAGTAAGTGTCCTGTTGTATCGTCTTGATTATCAGATGGAGACCATGATCTTTGGGACGAGATTGGGTCTTCATCTGATAATAAGACCTTTTCTTCATCTTTTCTCATCAAATTCACATTGTGCATTTCTACATACAGAGTAGCCATCTCTGCAAGTTCAACTTTCAATACATGACATTGTCAAGACCACAGACTCACCATCCACCAATAGTGAACTAGACAATTCCACTGTCTACGTCTACCAAAACTACGCCACCTCATCCTTCGACAAACTCTCTCTGGTTTCAACCCTTGGAACAGCAGGTGCCATCATATTCGCTGTGGTTAAACCACCAATTGCCAAACTATCCAACATCATCGGTCGAGGCGAAACATACATCTTCACCATCTCATGTTACCTTGTAGCATATATCCTCATTGCATCCGCCAAGTCCTTCAATGCATATGCAGCTGGATTTGTCTTCTACGCCATTGGTCAGTCTGGCACAAATATCATGAACGACATTATCATCTCTGATATATCCACCGCAAGATGGCGAGGCCTAGCAATCGGCGCCTCCTTCTTCCCGTTCATAGCCATGCCCTGGATCTCAGCTTTCATCGTCGACAGTGTAGTCCACGGCATCGGCTGGCGCTGGGGAATCGGTATGCTCGCGATCCTGATGCCCTTCTGCGCGAGCTTCATCATAGCAACTCTGCTGTACTACCAATCTCGCGCCAAGAAGGCAGGGCTCGTAGCACAGTCTCGGATCTCCGCGCGCGAATTCTGCTCGCAGATAGACCTGGGGGGAACCGTCCTCTTTAGCTGCGGCTTCGCCATGCTTCTCCTCCCCCTAACCCTAGCCGCCACGACAACATCCCGCTGGCACACGCCTTACATCGCCGTTCTCCTGGCGCTGGGCTGCGCGTTCCTGATGGCGCTGCCATTCTACGAGAAATTCGTCGCCAAGTACCCTCTGGTCCCCGTGCACTATTTCACCAACCCAACCATCGTCATGTCCATGCTGCTCATCTCGACGGATTCCATGGGGTTTGGTGCTACGCACACGTATCTGTACCCCTGGGTAACAGTCGTGCATGACTTCGCGGCGCGGGAGGCGACCTTCTACACGTTTACCAACGGAGTCACGCAATGCACCAGCGGTATCATCGCCGGCTTCATCATGCTCAAAACGCAGCGCTACAAATGGCTTCTCATGGGCGCCGTTGCCATCCGCCTGGTCGGATACGGGATCATGATGCGGCTGCGCGGCGCGAACAACACGCCCGCTGAACTGTTCGTCGTGCAACTGATCCAGGGGATTGGAAGCGGAGTGATCCAGACGGCCGTTCTGGTGTCCGCGCAAATCATGGTCCCGCATGCCGAGCTGGCGCAGATCACAGCGTTGGTGATATGCTTCTCGTTCCTGGGCGCGAGTATCGGGGCGAGTATCGCGGGTGGCATTTATACAGGGACGTTTGGCGAAGCGCTGAAACGACATCTGGGGGATGAAGCTACGCGGGCGTTGATTGACGAGTTGCTTAATTCGATTACGGGGGTTTTGCCGAGATGGGGATCGATGGAGAGAATCGCTATTGATTATGCTGCAAGTACTTCCTCTCCACCTCCTCTCCATCTTCCTCCCCAACTTCCTCCTCCCAAGTCTTCAACTTACAACCAGCACACCTCCAACTCCAACTAATCCCACTCCTCAACCAGTATTCAGACGTCATGCGATACATCACGTACATCGCAGTCGGAACATCTTGTCTGGGATTCATCCTCGTCTGGTTCCTGCCCGATCTTCTCCTACCGTACGTCTTTCCTTGCATCTATCCATCTATCCATCCATCCATCCTCAACCCCAAGAAACGCTATACACAACTAATCCAACACCAACAAATAAACAGTACAAACAAAAATAACCTAGTTGAAGATTAAGCGGGGCAAGTCTTGCAAGGACGCGATAATCACAACACGACTTGTCTTATTTCCAATATCCTCTTTTTCAAAACAATACATACCTACTTGCGGCTCCTTATCTAAAATCAAGTACAATAATAACATCTAGTATCTAAAAACATATCAAACCTCCAGCAAGGAGATTTTCGCGTACAATTACAAGCAAGTAAACATCCCCTACCTAGTAATATAATCAATCATAGCTCAGCCATTCATGCTAATCTAATCTAGTCTTACCTTTTACGCTTAAGCTACTATACTATACTATAAGCCGAAGGTCCTATCATCCTATATAAAAGCCAACAGCAACTCGTTAGGATATAAGGACCGCACCACGAACCGCATCTGTTGATCAAGTTACAACGATGTCTGGTATTGTATTATATGTGGGTGGTTACAGTGGCATCTAGTTCTAGCTACTATGCTAAAGCAGAGGAGAGTTTTACGCATGTGACAAGCTGACTAAGCAATCCAAAAGTCCCACAGCGACAGCATCACGACCTTTCTACTAGTCATGTGATTTGGCGTAGCTTAGTCAGCGAAGAGGCATCGAGGTGACCTCTTCGCATTCACAACACCACCTAAATGCTAAGCATCATCAACCAGAAACTCTAGTATCAAGTCTATCTACTAGTAGAAGAAGTGATCGCGTATCTGTTCAACCTGTGATATTAACACAACTTGAGTTATATGTGAAGTATGCTCACCTGAAGTGAAGTATAGAGTAAGCTTTAAATTTACAAGTCACTGAACAGGTGAGATGGTGAAGTATTTCATGAGGCAACTGTTTCAAGGGCAAAAATAGGGTTCTTCATTTGGTATAGTACACAAGGGGTAATGTAGTTTTAGTTCTAAAACTCCTAATCCATAATGCCAGATTTTCCATCTCCATCCGTATCCTTCTTTGGGTTCAACCTATCCAACAAACTAGGCTTTTTGCCAGTGGTGGAAGTGGAAGAGTCATGGCCACGGGTAGTCGAAGATCCATAGTTACCAGTGGTGGAATCTTGACCATGGGTAGTAGATCCGTAGTTACCAGTAGAAGATCCATAACCACCAGCAGAAGTTCCGTCATGGCTGTGGTTGCCAGTTAGACCTGTTGTGGAAACTCCGCTGTGGGTGTTGGCAGAAGATCCACGAGTACCAGTTGCACCAGTCCGAGAAGTATCGGTGTCGGTCAAACTCGTCGTACCCTTGGCACCTGCTCCGCCGAGAGTTCCACCAACAGATCTTGGCTCGCCGCCAAAGGCATCAGTTCGCTCCTCGCGTCCACCCAGAGAACCGCCTTGACTCTTGAACTCGCCCATGGTTACGGGTGGGAGTTGGCTGGCAGTGTGGTGCTTGGCTTCGTTTTGATGGATCTCGTGGACAGGGACGGTGGTGTGGACGACAGAATGCTGAACCGTCTCCTTTTGAATGACGGGCTGGATGTTCTCATGGACGTGGTGGTGGACGTGCTCGCCGGCAACCGTCTCACCGGCAGCAGTAGTACGCTGCGTCTCGCCGACTTCACGGGTATTCTTGAATTGAGCTTGCTCAGCGGTAAGGCGGGACTTTGCATGATCGTCTGAGCCGTGCTTGAGGTGACGGTGCTCGACGCCTGCCAATTGGTGCGAGTGTTGCTCGGGGAGGACTTCGCGGTCTGCGATGGGCTGGACGGATGTATGGTAATGGTCTTGGTGGACTTCACGATCGACGGCTTTGGTCTCTTGGTTGAGCTGAGTGCGAGTTACGTGCTCTTGTTGAACGGCGGGATTGATGGTCTGTGGATATCAGTGCATGTTCTATATGGAACGACAGGAATCTTACCTCGTGGACGGTGGTGTCGTGCTTTCCATCCTTGGATAGGAAGTTTCCAACTGCTGCCTTTGCCTTGTCCATTGTGATGAGTTGTAGGTGTGTGTATGTTTGTTTGTGGGTATGAATGGGTATTTGGGAGTTGTAGAAGAGTTGTGGAGAGGAGAGGAGTTTATGGTTGATGGGAGAGCAGTGGGATGAGGGGTAATATACACAAGCAAGAAGGTAGATGAAGCTATGACAAGCTCTGCTCTTACCTAGAGTACATAGTGCAAACAATAGCTACATCATCATGACGACCTGACGCATGCAGCAAGAACAATTGAACACAATAACGGTAGTGACCACCCAGACTAGACGTGGCGGTGCAGTGCATCTCCGTAGATGCCAATCATATTGGTGGGTGGGCAAGTAGGAGTACAGTAGCAAAGGTAGGCGAGGAATGTTCGAGTGAGCTGAACTTCTCCCACTTGGGAAGCCACTGACGCCCTAGACGGGAAACTGAAGCAGGTGCAGGTGAACGTATCAAGCTATGGCCATGGGATTTATCACAAACCATGGGAATCTGGTGGTGATCAATCGGATGAAGCGGGTTTAATAGTCTAATTACGACATCCCGCTCTTCCTTTCGAATGACTTGCATGAGACCAACCATACCTACCTGGTTGGTATTGGAATACTCCCGAGAGAGCGGAGAGATACCTCTGTACATATCAAGTCTCGATGACGCTCTCATGCCATTGGAAAGCCCATACGTCAGTAGACGGAACTGGAGGCGGCTTAATGTGAGGCTACGAGTGAAAGTACGGAGGAACGCTACTGCACGGGTACTGTTCCAACCTGCTCGTGGGTTCAGCCACTCGATCGCATCGAGCCCGTGATCGGCATTCAATGGGACGAAAGGGGTCTGATGGGCTGATGGGTTGATGGCGGATAGGTAGATAGGGAAACCAGCCAGACAAAGTACCTAGGCCTACCTAGGTAGTTCTAGTTCTAGTTCTAGTTCTAGTTCTAGTTCTAGTTCACCTGCCGTGTCGCAATGAGGCTGGCTAAGGAGAGGGGGAAAATATACTATTTTGATCAAACGTGTCGACGACGACAATAAAGAATTATTCCCGTATCACCGCTGATGTTATATGATTCCCCCTGAGTCGAAGCGACCCCGAATACGGGCATTGCCCCTTGTCCTTGTCCTGTTCCTGGTGAGATTTAATATTCCGAACCAGGTGCCCCTGTGCCCTGCCCTGCCCTGCCCTGCCCCGCGCACTCTTGGCCATGGGGTCGCGGATCAAGAAGCTCTTCTCGCCGAGCAAGAACAATAACAGCAACAACAACAATTCACGGTCCAGGTATAATAACAACACCCATCTACTCGGCCATTCCTACGAAGATGCCATTGCTCTAGAACCGCCCCTAAAAGGATCGTATTCCGTGGCGGGGAATGGGCGCAATGTATTGAGCGAGATCCAACACGCGCAATCAGCACGCGCAAAGAGACTCTCCAGGCCTGGGAATGTTCCTGCGAGAAGTACAGCTTCGCGAAATGTTGTACGGCGGGTGGATGATGTGCCAGCGCGACCGCGGACTGCGACTGGAAATGAAGCTGCTTGGGAAGATGGAGGGGGAGGGGAACAGGAGCAGGAGGAACGGCGGGGAAGGAAAAGGACACATTCGATGAAGTCGCAGCGTATGAGTGCCTTCAGCTTTCATACAAGTGGACAAGAACATTCAACACCACCTCTCCCCAAGCCTACTCGAGATATCCCACAAGCACAATCACAAGCACAATTCCAATTCCAAAACGCTCCATCCTCACCAAAATCACACGTTGATCTCTTGGATGCACATTCGATTATCACGCACTCTCGCGAGCCATCTCTGGGACAAGGCAGAAGATTGGACGAGGGAAATAGTCGGTACGGTGAGGATGTGGCCGATAGGAATATCGCCAAACATGGTAATCATGGTAATCATGGTAATCATGCCTCTCTTTCGCCGACTGCTCGGACGAAAAGGGAGATGCCTTATCTGGCTATGGGTGGTATTGATGACGACGGATCTGGTGCATTTGGTCCTGATTTGGATTTGGAGGCAGACGATGATTCATATGACGACACCACCATCATTACTCGGTCCACCCATCAACACCCCGCTCCCGTTCAAGCACATAGCCAACCCCTCGCTCGGTCTAGACCCGCCACGGTCCCCCATCCGCCACCATGGCTCGACTCTAGATTGAATAATGGTAGTAGAAATGGTATTGGTAATGATAGTGGTAATGGTAATGGTAATGGTAATGGAACCGGGAACGGGATTGGAATTGGCAATAACAATGGCAGTGGTAATGGAAACAGGAATAGTAACATCCACAGAAACAGGCTTCTCGATGACGCCTCTGCCACTTCCAACAATGGCTCCATGCTCTCTCTCCCTGTTTCCGACGTTACTAGTGCTGGTAGAGTCCGAGCCAGCGCCACACAGATATCGCCATTGGTCAAGAACACCGGGTCAACAAAGCAGGAAGCCTCATCTTCAGCTTCATCTTCCTCCTCATACTTATCCTCTCCCCCACCTGCATCCCCACCCTCGATATCAATTCCTACCCCTATCCCCTATCGTGATCCTTGTCGACACTCCGTTCGAAGTTCACTGGGCCTCACGTCTCTAGGACCAACGTTCCGCCTCAAAGAACCTCCACCTGTTCCTCCGCCGTCGACTGTCATTGTTCCACGAGATACGAATACGAGTACATTGGTTCATAGCAGACCAACCTCGAATACGACCACTCATCCTTCTTCATTGGTTCATAGCAGGCAAACGTTGAATACGGTCCCTCAAGCTCCCTCCCATCGCCCCCAGCTCTCGAATACATCTACAATTCGTGATCGTTCCAAGTCGAATCCGAAGCCAAGATCAACAGCTCAAGAAGGCAGCTCTGTAGGACCCATCTCAAAGCACACAAGATCCCAGCGATCAAGCTATTCCGCCTTCCCATATAATAGTCAGACGAAAGAAGCAAAAGGCATGAAGGATGCTATTGCAGCTCAACAATTGAGCCAAAGACCAGGTTTAAGCGACGTCGTCGACTTGACAGATACAGTAGACACAGATGTGACTACTAAAACACTACCCGGTACATCCCCCAGCATATCAGTCAATCCTCGTCCGTCACATCTGTCGCAGCATTCCATTGTCAAGCCTCCATCCTTTCCTTTGGAGCATTGGCCACTTCCAAATGGCTTTGGCAAGAAGTCTGCTGATCGTTATGTTTAGCCGTTGTTCACGAACATGTCACCCCAACACAACATGAGATACGGACCAAGGCTATCACGCGCGAAATACATACACATCATGTTTATCATCGTGTCCTTCCAGTCATAGAAACTGAGGTTTTACCGGTTAAGCATTACGTTAAAGGTTCTGATGGCAATCTAGTCCCGATTCTCGAGAGTGAAGTACCCCGTCACTCACTCACTGCAAGGCCGAACGCATACTGGGAGGCTAATAAAGCTGGAGTTGACCCCCAAGCGTTGCACCGGCCACATTCCCAAGCGTCTTCAACGGAAGTGGGAGATGCAGCCACTTCCCCGTCTGTTGGCTATACACGCAATGAGGCAAAATCCACTCGCTCTCGTGGGAATTCGCTGGAGTCGAAACCAGAACCCATCTTGAGCAATAAAAAGGAATCTACAACCAAAGATGGCCACACGAGAACCGACTACGTCTGGCGCCACGCACCTGTTTTCGAGACAATGGATGGAAACGAGCAGCCAATAATCATCGGTACCGGTTATGGCGATCCCAGCTCCGAAGACGCACTGGGTAGTGTGGCTGCTGCCGATATTAAGGATGACGAAGCATTGCTGTTTACAGATACTGGGTATGGATCCGATGGCATGTTGCCTGGCTTGAAAGAGAAAAGTCCGATGGCTGGGTTGGGGAATGGAAGAGTCGTAGTCGCAAGCGGTGATGATGGACTTGGACGGTCAGTGGGAGATGTCAAGGTAGATGGGAGTCCGAGGGAATTAAGACGGAAACCGGTTATGGAGACGACAAGACAATCGGGCGGTGTGGCAGAGATGGAAAGAGGAATGGGAAATCTGTCTATGCGGCATTGAGATTGAGCTATGTACTATACATTATTGCACTTGTATTATGGCTCCTAGTAATATACCAAGCCTTTTCTCACTCATCGTCTGCTTGATCTGCTATATGGCTCTCACGTACATCATCCTCCCTTGTACATATCCTTACATCTAACTCAAGCTTACATATTATTTAAATCCCTCAAATGCAGATTTAGTAATAACCTGCACCTTGTATGTTCAGATAGTTATACTACTATATAAACCCGACAGTGAAATAACGGTACGTGCGCGCCGTGCCGCCGATATCCCCGCATCCCTGCCCGCATCCTACAGTGTTGAACCCCACTACAAATCTATTTATATCAGTGTAATCTCGTCTCGTCTTCGTCTCTTCAATCAATTACCATATACTCGTAGTCTACCGATTTACTACCAGTACTTTTGTCCATAGCATCTTATTCCGCATAATCAATCAAATCACGCTATCATACTAAAAATTAACAAAGTTCTCTCTCTGCTTATCTAGAGTTAAGTGATGAGGAAATGAGGAAATGCAATGCGTTCAACTCGGACGAGTGCTCGGACGAGACGGAAAGAGACGATCGGGCACGTATAGAGGGTAGTACGCTCGGTGCTAATCTCGTCATATTCTTGAATACGAAGGTGCACTGCACTCTTTTCACTCACTCACTCACTCACTCGCTCGCTGCCCAGTGCCATACATAGCCTGTCAGTCAGTCAGTTAGCACAATCGGCGTACCGGTACCATGCGTATATTGATTGCCCGTCGCCGTCATGCCACGCTGCGCTGCGCTGCGCTGCGCCCCGCATCCGTCTTATACGAGAAAGAGTACCTAGGTAGAGAGTACCGTGTTGTGAGATTAGGCAGTGGCCGTCGGATGGGATGGGAGGGGATGGGATTTATATTTAAAGGTTGCAGCAGCCACTTTGTGCGGGTTGGAATCGAGGATTTAGGTATAAGTACATACAGTACATATATATATTTCAACAACCAATTGCTTGCAAGACATATCATACATACATCTACAACATGAAGCTCCCCTCCCCCTCCCTCATAGCAAGCGCCAGCGCCCTCCTCAGCGCATCCCTCGTCTGCGTCTCCGCCACCCCCCTCACCCTCGCCCTCGCCCCCACCACGCGCACAACATCCACCCCCCTCTGCGCGCCCGAGCACAGCGGCATCATCTCCCCCGCCGCCAACGCCACCATAACGCAAGTCTCGAGCTCCTACGCCTCGACGACCTTCGAGATAATCTACTGCTCGGGGCAGTACGACAAGACCTCGTCCACAGACGCGTCCATCTGGCTCACGTCCCCCTCCTCGCCGTACGACGGCAACCTGCTCGCCAAGAACGTGGTACCAGATAATGCGGACGCGACGCCGGGGTTTTACTCGTACCGCCTGAACGTGACGCTGAGTCCGGAGGACGGGGATTACTTTCAGGGCGTATATGTGTTGAGTGTTTATGAGACGACGACTGGTATGTTTGTTTGTTTGTTTGTTCGTTCTTGTTCTGCATGAGTGCATTGCATAAGCAAGCGGTAGTGAATGAATGGATGGATAGATGCGATGCGATGTGATGCTAATTGGTGCGTGCGTTTAGGGTATTATAATCCGATGAACTTTGACATCACGTCGATTAATGTCACGCTTGCCGTGACTTCATCCTGAAAAAGCGGAATGGGATAATGCGCGCGGGCTTTGCTTTTTTTTTCCGCAGCCGATGGATGGATGGATGGATGAATGGATGAATGAAAAGCGATAAATTCAGTATGGTTATTTATTACTCCTGACTGCTTTTCTAATTTTCCCCTGCAACGGGAACGGGAAAAGTAAAGAAAGAGAGGAAAGGAAGGGAAAGGAAAACAACGGTTTCGGGAAGGAAATCAAAAGGAAGAGATAGGACGGACGAGAAATATACGAACGGGAAGTCAGTCTACTTATATATACATAACACCGGCTCTAGATTTGCCTAATATACATACATACATACATACATACATACATACATACATACATACATGCATAGCTCATATATATAATCTTCTGTTTGCAACGAAACCAGCGGGAAGGAAAATAAGTCAATCGATAAATGGCATATCAGCTGCTTGTGGGTTTTGGTTTTGGCATAAATGGACTCAACTGAGACGTTTAAATATACGAGTATAGGCTAGGTAGGCAGAGCAGGGAAGGGAAAAGTATATTTATTGTATAGATAGATAATAAAATATAAGTTGTAGATCTTGATTAGGAGAAACCCTAAATATGCGCTTCTATCTTAGGCGCCGCCTATAGTGCAGCTGGGTATACTAGTCCTTGGAATTTATAATCAGATGTTATATATAGATTGATATTAATCAATAAATATCAGCTTCTTAAAGGTTTTTATATAGGTCGTTCCTCTTGTAATAATTATACTGCTAGGTCTTAATATATACAAGGCCAAATCTAAGCTTAAGAGGCAAATTAGTAGGGTGCATGCCAAGACAATTATACATACATGCAATGCAGACTTCGTGATCTTAACTAGGGCGAGGTGGAATTATTAACATTAGTATGATATGCGAGTACTGGTATATGTAAATCAAAGCAAACCGCACGCTGTATGGAGTATATAACCATATAAACAAGACACAACGCCAATATGCAAGTCCGTCTGCAGATCGTTCTACAGAGAGCTCCCCTACCCATATACTGACTCTCGAGCATCTGCGTCGGCGCAGCCTCCCCAACAATACCAAAATCAAGTTCACTGGTAGTACGTGACGGCTTCTTCTTCTTCACCCGCTCCCTACCCTTCCCCTTATCTCTCGGTGCAAGATTCTCGTCGACTCCATCTACAGAACTATTCCCTGCCGTTCGACTCTGCATGCCCTTGAACTCCCTCACTACATCCGCAAAACCTTCTTCCAGGGTTTTCATTCGCGCAAGCATAAGTCGACCCATCATGCCTTCATCTTCTTTGTCTTTCCGATGAAAAGCTTTCAAATCGCCAGTAGCCATGGCCATTTGCGTTGCGAAGGAACTCGGGACGGCGCCTAGCATATGATTGTTGTCGAGACCGAGCTCTGACATGCCCATATCCAAGCTAGAGACTCTGTGCCGGATTTGTCGAGTTCGAGATTCGAAATTGAAGTTCGGGACCGATTGGAAATGTTGCCGTGGGGGCATGATGGGACGTGGTTGCACAGATGGTCTTGTATTGGCGGTTGTGTAGATAGAGTGTCTAGGGGTGCGTTGGCCAGTTAGAAGATGAGTGTTTGTCCCTGTGGTTTTTGCTGGAGTGTGCGTTCCTGTGTTTGTTCTTGAGTGATGCTTGGCTGTTAATGGTCGAGATCTAGGTGGTGAGGCGGAGGATGAGCTGTGATTGCTAGTGATTGGGTTGAAGAGTATGGTGTTTGTGGATAGATTGCGGTTGTGAGCGCGTCGTTTGGGTGGAGATGACTTTGGAGGGTCGTTAATGGGGACGAGGTTCTTCGATGAGGTGGGCGTCAATCTGGTTCCGCCGGTTGGCGTTCTGAAATAATCTTCTTCCTCGGATTCGTCCTCCGCAGGCGCGATATGACTTCGTGGATGCTCCAGAGTTAATCCCTCGTCGTCATCATTCGTCACGAGCTCATCGTCTCCATCCTCATCTTCATGACCGCCAATATGCTCATTGGTAAACTCATATTGGTCTGGATCTTGATCATGAAATGGGCCAGTAGACATGAACTCGGCTGGATCACTAGCCACTGATCTATTACCAGAAATGCCCCTCTGCTTCATCATTGTAGCTCTCCTGGCTTGTCTTCTCGTCTCTAAGCGATCAACGATTGATCGATCTTGCTCTTGAGGTGGACTTGCTTGACTGCCCTGATGATCCATCCAATTGTTGACCATATGGGTTTTCCGCCGCTCCACACTCTTCTGGGTACTTCGGAGGGTGTCCGGTCTTGGCGCTAGTCTGAAAACTTCATCCAACGCCTCATCTTTCTGGAACCCAGCAGTCGACTCTTGACGCATTCGAGTGCCAGGGCTGAATAGTCCTTGCTTGGAGTCCTGGAATGATACAAGCCTTGGCCGGCCACGACTAACATTGTCCACGAGATCTGTAGGCTCAAAGACCGATCGGGCTAGGAATAGCTTCTCGTACGCATAGATGCTGAATAGCAAGGGAAAATGCGTCACCTTGATGACGGTTCGATTGAGCTTGATGAACATTCGAAACGAGAGGAAGAATCGCATAGGGGTGAGAAGCCATGCAAATATGTTGCTTGGTGCTACGTAGGAGAAGAGTGCATCATTCTTGACCATTGAGATGGTGTTGACTGCAAAAACAAACTGATGTTCTTCGTCCGCATTTGACACAATCGCCATGAAGGAATTGGTGAGAACCGTAATCAATATTGTCACAACCAAGAAGTGACAGATGAAGAGAAACAGAACCAAGATGGCTTTTCCCAGAGGATTGTACGTTGGCCAAGCTTCCCATGCCGCAGGAGTAAAACCCATAAGAATTTGGAAGATCTTGTACGCCACACCAGCAGCGTCGTAATCGTTCGTCCCAAAGGATAGCGTAAAAGCAACAAAGAACCCACTGCAGGCAATGAGGATTAAAATGAACACGGCAACCAAGTCAACGGCCATCAGCCTGAACGCAATCAAGAGTTGAGAGAAGTATCGGTAGTGATCCAGAACGCTGAACAGCCGTGGGAAAAGGAGGATAGCATTTGTCGCGAGGACATCATATGCCATGTTATTCCACTCGCTTCTACCTAATCCATCGACTAAGAAAATGCCATATAGTCGCATGGAATAGTATACCATTAGTAATAACAGAATCCCAAGATCGAACGTGTTCCAAAAACTCATGAGGTACAGACTGAAGCCCTGCTCATTAAAGCCGACCACTTCGTCAAGCATGAAGCCGGCACTCCAGAACCAAAAGACAACTTCCAACGAGGTAATATCCATTGACCGATCAATGAGCACAGCAAGGAACAAACCTAGCAGAATCGCAAGGGAGCAGGTTGAAAAGAATTGCCGATATCTTGGAACTCGAAGTCTGGATAGTTTGAAAAGCGAGGCGTCTCTAGGGTCGTAGAGGGTAACAGTCCTCCTGCTCTGAATTGCTAGGACTGGAGGGTCCTTCTTTGGTGATGTCCGCGGAGAAGCAATGGCTCCGTATGTAACACGTTGACCTGGGTCTAACAGGTTCTGTCTACTGTTGACCCTGCGAGTTTCCTGCATTTGCTGTGGTGGCGTGGATTGGCGTCGATGGAGATTGTCTGCTGCAGAGTGGAAGACGATTGTACCAGCCCATATAGCCTCGAGCTGCTGAACGACAAGAGGATGTGCTATGAATCGTTTCGCAGAAGCTCTGATAGCAACTTCTAAGGTCGAAATTCGAGCGGCAGCAGGCTTTGGCCGGGTCATCTGTCCACCAGGTGCTGAGATATTGGGTATGGTAAGGCCTTGAAGGGGGAAGAAGTCGTACGACAAGGCATCTATGAGTTCTCGCGTGTTGTATTCTTTCAATAGCTTTATCGCCAGCAACTCACAGACCATGGCTCTGGTACGAGAGGTGCCCGCATTTCCTGGATTGGTCTGCCCCTCCTTTTGGAATTGTAATGAGTTTGCCATCAACGCGTAGAGGGTTGCTCGAGAGAAGTGAGAGGTTCGAATTTGCTGCTGCATGGGCTTGACGAGGAATTGCGATACTTGCGGTGATCGTAGCTGATCCCAAGTGAGGGTGGTTTCGGTTTTCGGAACGACTATCAGACGAATGGCGTGAGTGAGCTTATAGACCGGTAGGGCGTCTGGGAAAGTTAGCAAGATACGGAGGAAAAGAGAGTATAGGTCAGTTACCTAGATGGGCTGCAGAGAAGATTGGAAGCAATGGAGTATCTTCCTCTCCATCCTCATCTTCGTCTTGGTCTTCTTCTTCCTCTCCCTCTTCTTCATCGCCAGCCTCGCGATCCACGCCATCTTCATCGATATCTTCCCCGTCATCGTCGCCCTCTGAATTGTCGTCTTCTGCCTCTGTTTCGGTCCAATCGGCAGTGGCATGGCGGACCTGTCGTTCCTGACGCGCAACGATTGGCGACGAGTCGACTGGATAGATGGATGAGAAGGGCGAATGCTCCTCGACGTGTTGGCGGTGTTTCTTGGGTCGCAGGAGTGAAGAGAGCATTATCGCAGCTGGTAAGGAGTGGCTGGTGGAGAACTATATCGATCTCCAGACCAATGTTCAGCAATATTCCTCCTCCTCTCTCCTCCTCTACCGGCACAGTCTCAGTCGTGGGGATTGATGCAAATGTACATCAAACATGGCAATCTTGAAAAGAAAACGCGACGGTACGGCTGATCCTCGGTTGAGATGGATGGATGAATGATGATCCTCTCCTCCACCTTCCTTCGCTTCCTACCTTGAATCTACCCAGGCCAAGTGGGAATGCCCTCAGAAATGACATTTCAGGTATGGCAGATGCAAGTATATATGTACCTTCTTATCGGTGAGAAGGGGCACATGATGCGAGAGGGTGCATATTGCATGACGGAAGACACCAAAGAGGCTGCCTGCATCGTACTGGTGGTATGTCCTCCGTACTGTATGCAACCTAGAGACATGCGGAGTGCAGGTACTTGCAGATCTAGGCCCATGATCAGCCAATCAAACCGCTTAGATTGTGTCCATGGTTGATGCTTCACCGCAAGATCTAGGGTCACCTGCATTGGCGAATAAACATACCTGTTTCTGTTTGACAGGATGAGCTGATTTAAGACCCAGGTAATTACCTTATGTTACGGATATATTATAATTTATGAAGCGAAGATACCTTAGATGAATGTAAAACTGTAAAATGAGCAAACGCTGTAAATATCCATAACACTCGAGGCTGAAAGTACAAGCACAAGCCTTGTATGCAAGGCTGCATGTCTAGGCTAGGAGCTACCTGGTCGCATCGGATCAACAGTTCTTCCTGCCGACAGAATTTTATTTTTGCTAGGCCGACCCTCAAAGCCGAGTCAGTGCAAAATCTTGACTTATTCCTTCCCTCTCGAGCTTTTGCCTCGAAGGAACTCCCATCTTTTACACTCAATATCTTTGTCCAAAAATCAATTCAAAGGCAGGCAACACGGAGAAGCCCCTTATTCGTCCTCCAGCCTGCTCTGCAGCTTGTTGAAGGACATTTTATAACTTCCAGACCCCTGCACCCAAAACTCTTCAAGCACCATGGCCGAGAAGGTTTACGGTCCTGTGGCTGCCCAAATCCTCAATGGCACTGATGAAGGCCTCATTAGTCTTGAGCTTCAAGATGGCACCGTCTATCAGGGCTACAGCTTCGGTGCAAAGAAGAGCGTGGCAGGAGAATTGGTTTTCCAGACCGGCATGGTGGGGTATCCAGAGTCAATAACAGACCCCTCATACCGCGGCCAAATCTTGGTCATCACCTTTCCTCTGGTTGGCAACTATGGTGTACCCTCTCGAGAAACCATGGATGAGCTCCTCAAAGATCTGCCTGCCCATTTCGAAGCTTCAGAAATCCACATTGCTGGTCTCATTACAGCCTCCTACTCGGGCGAAGACTACTCGCACTACCTCGCAACATCCTCACTGGGAACGTGGCTGAAGGAACAGGGTGTGCCTGCAATATATGGTGTTGATACTCGGGCTTTGACAAAGAGAATCCGAGAGGAGGGAAGCATGCTGGGACGACTGCTGGTCCAGAAGCAAAGTCTAACCAATGGCCATGCCAATGGACTGACCAACGGAACCTCTGCAATTACATCTTCTGCCAGTTGGAGGTCGTATTTCGAGACATTGGACTGGGTGAACCCCAACTCGAAGAATCTGGTGGCCGATGGTGAGTTTCTGCTCTTTGGCAGCCCGCGATCGCGATCTAGGGCTGACATCCGACTGTAGTATCGATACGGAAACCAAAATTATATACCCCAAGTCCCTCGAATGCCCTCAAACACCCTTCTGGTCGACCAATACGCGTATTGTGTCTAGATGTTGGTTTGAAAAACAACCAATTGCGTTGTCTCGTGAAGCGTGGTGTGGAAGTTTTGGTCTGTCCATGGGACTATGACTTCCCGGGCCTTGCTGGCAAGGACTACGATGGTCTCTTCATTTCCAATGGTCCAGGTGATCCAGCTATGATGGAGAAGACTGTAAATCACATCTCATCTGCCATGGCGGATAACCGAACACCCATTTTCGGTATCTGTTTAGGCCATCAATTGCTAGCAAGGGCTGCGGGTGCAACCACACTCAAGATGAAGTTTGGAAACCGTGGACATAACATTCCTTGTACTAATATGCTGACTGGAAAATGTCACATTACTTCGCAAAATCACGGTTATGCAGTAGATGCAAAAAGCTTACCTACCGAGTGGACCGAGCTTTTTGTCAATGCCAATGATGGCAGCAATGAAGGCATTCGGCACGTAAGCCGCCCATACTTTAGTGTGCAGTTCCACCCCGAGAGCACTCCTGGACCTCGAGATACCGAATTTTTGTTTGATATCTTCATCCAATCCATCGTGGGTACACTATCAGACAACAAGCTCCTCTCTGCTCCAGTACACTTTCCTGGTGGCGATGCCGTTGAGAACGAGAGACTCTGTCCTCGGGTAGACGTCAAGAAAGTTATTGTACTAGGAAGTGGAGGTCTCAGTATCGGTCAGGCAGGAGAGTTTGACTACTCTGGAAGTCAAGCCATCAAAGCTTTGAGAGAAGAAGGCATCTACACCGTCTTAATCAACCCTAACATTGCCACCATTCAAACATCAAAGGGTCTAGCAGACAAAGTCTATTTCCTCCCCGTTACGGCTGATTTCGTCCGAAAGGTCATTATCCGTGAACGACCAGACGCGATATATGTTACATTCGGAGGCCAGACCGCTCTACAAGTCGGTATCCAGCTCAAGGATGAATTTGAAGAGCTTGGCGTTAAGGTTCTTGGAACTCCCATTGACACCATCATCACCACTGAAGATCGAGAACTCTTTGCCCGAAGCATGGAGTCAATTGGCGAAAAGTGTGCCAAGTCGGCATCAGCTAGCACTACTGAAGAAGCTATGAGAGTCGTCAAGGACATAGGTTTCCCTGTAATTGTTCGTGCTGCATACGCTTTAGGAGGTCTAGGCAGTGGATTTGCGGATAACGACGCTGAACTTCTCGCACTTTGCAACAAGGCTTTCGCTGCCAGTCCTCAAGTCTTGATCGAGCGTAGTATGAAAGGCTGGAAGGAAATCGAGTATGAAGTTGTTCGAGACGCTCGGGATAATTGTATTACCGTTTGCAACATGGAGAATTTCGATCCTCTCGGAATCCACACTGGAGATTCCATCGTCGTCGCTCCTTCGCAGACCCTTTCCGACGAAGACTACAACATGCTTCGGACAACAGCCGTAAACGTCATTCGCCATCTTGGTGTTGTGGGAGAATGCAACATTCAATATGCACTCAACCCCTTCTCGAAAGAATATTGCATTATCGAAGTCAACGCTCGATTGTCTCGATCTTCTGCCTTGGCTTCCAAAGCTACCGGGTATCCACTGGCTTTCATTGCCGCCAAACTTGGTCTGGGCATTCCCCTGAACAAAATCTCCAACTCCGTCACCAAAGTCACATGTGCCTGTTTCGAACCGTCCCTTGATTATGTTGTGGTGAAGATGCCGAGATGGGATCTGAAAAAATTCGATCGAGTCTCCACCCAGCTTGGATCGTCGATGAAGAGTGTAGGAGAGGTCATGAGTATTGGACGAACATTTGAAGAAGCTATCCAGAAAGCTATTCGCGCAATTGACTTCCACAATCTCGGATTCAACCACGAGACTAGAGCACTCATGTCCATTGACGATGAGCTACAGACCCCGTCAGACCAACGTTTATTTGCCATCGCAAACGCAATGCACTCGGGTTATTCGGTCAACAAGATTTGGGAAATGACCAAGATTGACAAATGGTTCCTGAGCCGTCTAAAGGGTCTTAGTAACTTTGGAAAACTCATGTCCACCTTCAATACTGGCACTATCTCGACCGACCTCCTTCGCCAAGCCAAGCAGCTCGGCTTTTGTGATCGACAGCTGGCCAATTTCTGGGGCTCGAATGAGCAGGCTGTCAGGCTTATGAGAAAGGATGCCAACATTGTTCCTGTCGTAAAGCAAATTGATACTGTTGCGGCAGAGTTCCCAGCATTTACGAATTATTTGTATTTGACTTACAATGGCTCAGAGAACGACATCTCTTTCAACGATCACGGAGTCATGGTACTAGGCTCTGGAGTCTACCGCATTGGGTCTTCCGTCGAATTTGATTGGTGTTCCGTCCGAGCTATCAGAACTCTTCGCGCGTCCGGCTTCAAGACAGTCATGGTAAATTACAATCCCGAGACAGTTAGTACAGATTACGACGAGGCCGATCGACTTTACTTTGAGAACATCAATTTAGAAACTATCATGGATATCTATGAGCTCGAGACATCCAGTGGAGTTTTGATAGCCATGGGTGGTCAAACACCTAACAATATTGCTCTTCCCCTCCACCGTCTGAACGTCAAGATTCTCGGTACCTCCCCTGAAATGATTGATAACGCCGAGAACCGTTACAAGTTCTCTCGTATGCTGGATCGAATCGGAGTCGATCAGCCTACCTGGAAAGAGTTGACGAGTTTCGCGGAAGCGAAAGAGTTCTGCGAAAAGGTATCTTACCCAGTCTTGGTTCGACCTTCATACGTCCTATCTGGCGCGGCTATGAATACCGTCTACTCCGAAGCAGATCTTGAAGCGTATCTGCAACAAGCCGCCGAAGTATCTCGGGAACACCCTGTCGTTATCACCAAATACATTGAAAACGCGAAGGAAATTGAGATGGATGCAGTAGCTAAAGATGGAGTGAGTAATTGTTTTTCCTTTTCCCCATCTCCCTAACCCAACCGGATGTTCCTGCCCTTGATGGACCTTCTTTCTGGACGTACCCTCAATCTGGAAGTACCTTCATTATGGACGGACCTTTCTCTGGATGGATGGCTTGCCTCGGCGACTTCCATTTCCTTTTGTTTCCTGGCCTTTTCGATTGTGTGCAAGCTTCGACAACTCCGCGTCCAGCACTTTCTGGACTTTCCGACTTCTGAGCGCGAATTTCATACATTTGCTAACTTATCATTAGAAAATGGTCGGCCATTTCATCTCAGAGCATGTTGAAAATGCCGGTGTTCATTCTGGTGATGCTACTTTGATTCTCCCACCTCAAGACTTGGAAGCCACCACAATCAAAAGAATCGAGGAAGCCACACGCAAGATCGGTGATGCCTTGAACGTCACTGGCCCTTACAATATCCAGTTCATTGCCAAGGACAATGACATAAAGGTGATTGAGTGCAACGTCCGCGCCTCTCGTTCTTTCCCGTTTGTGTCAAAGGTCATGGGCGTTGACTTGATCGAAATGGCGACCAAAGCAATCATGGGTGTCCCATTCCTCGAATATCCTCCCATCCAGCTCGCCGATAATATTGTTGGTGTCAAGGTTCCACAGTTTAGTTTCTCTCGGCTCTCCGGAGCTGACCCTGTCCTCGGTGTTGAGATGGCTTCTACTGGTGAGGTTGCTTGCTTTGGTGCCAACAAATACGAAGCCTACATCAAGGCTTTGATTTCAACGGGCTTCAAGCTACCAAACCGCAATATCCTCCTGTCGATTGGATCCTACAAGGACAAGAACGAGATGCTGCCCTCTGTAGTCAAGTTGCAAAAGATGGGATACAAGATCTTCGCCACAGCCGGGACAGCAGATTTCTTACAGGAACACAATGTCCCTGTCCAGTACCTTGAAATCCTCGGCGACGGTATGGATGGTCAAAAGCATGAGTATTCTCTGACACAACATCTTGCGAATAACATGATCGATCTTTACATCAACCTGCCTTCTAGCAATCGTTACAGACGACCGGCAAACTACATGAGCAAGGGTTATCAGACGCGAAGAATGGCTGTCGATTACCAGACGCCCTTAGTCACAAATGTCAAAAATGCAAAGATTCTCATCGAGGCCATTGCTCGACATTTCGATCTGGAGATTAGCAATATTGATGCTCAGACGAGTCATCGTACTGTGGTTCTTCCTGGTCTTATCAACATTGCTGCTTTCGTCCCTGGTATTGCAACGATGGGTAGCCACGACTTCCAAACCGTTACCAAGGCCTCGATTGCTTCAGGTTTTACCATGATTCGGATCATGCCATTGGGCATTGAGGGTTCTGTCACGGATGCTCGTGCGTTGAAGACAGCCCAGCTCAACAGCAAGCGCGGTGCTGGGTGTGATTACAACTTCTCGGTTGCTGCAACTTCTGCAAATGCAGACCAAATCAGTCAAGTCACTGGTGAAGTTGGATCACTCTTCATTCCATTCAACCATCTATCGGACAATATCAGCAAGGTTGCAGCTGTCACTGCTCACTTTGAGTCATGGCCTGGCTTCAAACCCATTCTTACCGATGCCAAGATGACCGACCTCGCCTCGGTCCTCCTGCTTGCCAGCCTTCACAGCAGAAAGATTCACGTTACTAGCGTTACGACCAAAGATGACATCAAGTTAATCTCTTTAGCCAAGGAGAAAGGATTAAAGGTCACCTGTGATGTATCCGTATACGCTCTCTTCTTGTCCCAAGATGACTACCCCGAAGCAAAGTTCCTCCCGACCGCAGCAGACCAGAAAGCGCTCTGGGCGTACATGAGCACCATCGATGTTTTTTCTGTCGGAACTATGCCATATCAATTGGCCCAAATTGAAAATCAGGTACCTAATGCTGCCGCTGGTATCGCTGACACCATCCCCCTTCTCTTCTCGGCGGTTGCTGATGGCCGACTAACCATCGATGACATCAAAGCTCGCCTGCACGATAATCCAAAAGAGATCTTTGAACTTCACGACCAAGTTGGGGCTTCAGTCGAGATTGAGATTGATCGTCCATACACAAATGCATCATCTTCCGTCTGGTCTCCGCTTGTCGGTCGTGTTATGCATGGTGCAGTCCAGCGTGTTATCTTCCAGGATAAGACTGCCTGCTTGGATGGTGAGCCATCTCATGATGCTGCCGACGGGAAAGACATGTCTTCGCATTTGATCGACTCGCATCTGGTACCCACTTCACCTGCAGCGAAGGCGGTTCCTGGATCTCCAGCCTTTGGTCCTCGACCCGACAGCTCTCATGGAAGGCGGCTTTCGTTCCTTGGGGCTCCGGCTATGCGGCCCGCGAATCGATCACGATTTCTGGACGGCGCCTCAGCCACTATTCAATCCCCTTCGCGTACATCTGCTATTGCTGAAGACTTCGGTCCCAACCTGTATTCTCAACCAACGTTGTCTCCTACTCTACAGCAGCTCCTCGTCCATTCACCTTTCAAAAATCAACATGTCTTATCCGTCAACCAGTTCAGTCGTCAAGATCTGCATCTGTTGTTCACCGTCGCACAAGAGATGCGCCTTGGAGTTCAACGAGAGGGTGTTCTTTCAATCTTGAAAGGTCGCTTACTTTGCACGCTGTTCTACGAGCCCTCAACTCGAACATCTGCATCTTTCGATGCCGCTATGCAACGTCTAGGTGGAAGAACTATTGCCATCTCTACAGAGCACTCCAGCACTCAGAAAGGAGAAACCCTTGCCGATACTATTCGGACTTTGGGCTGTTACGGGGACGCTGTTGTGCTTCGTCATCCCGATGAGAACAGCGCGCAGACTGCAGCAAAGTTCTCGCCAGTGCCAATTATCAACGGCGGGAATGGTAGCAAAGAGCATCCCACTCAGGCATTCCTAGATCTCTTCACCATCCGCGAAGAATTGGGAACTGTTAAAGGTTTGACCATCACGTTTACTGGTGATCTCAAATACGGCCGTACCGTACACTCGCTCGTAAAGCTCCTGCAATATTACGACGTGCACATCCAACTCGTCTCCCCAGCCGCTCTCTCACTGCCCACAGAGATACTCAACTTGATTAAATCCAAGCCCGGCCAACTGCTCATTGAAAGCACGGAATTAACGCCTGATATAATCGCACGCAGCGACGTCCTGTATTGCACCCGCGTGCAGAAGGAACGTTTCCAGGATATCGAAGAGTATGAGAGGCTGAAGGACAGCTTTATCATCAGCAATGAGACTCTCCGGAGTGCTAAGAGTACCATGGTGGTCATGCATCCGCTGCCGAGAAATAAGGAGATTGGGGAAGAGGTTGATTTTGATCAGAGGGCGGCGTATTTCAGACAGGTAAGAAGACCCCAATATGAATTCTCGGACCGTTGCTAACATGTTTGTCTGCAGATGAGATATGGCTTATATTGCCGCATGGCATTATTAGCCTTGGTTATGGCCCCTTGAGGGCACATGCATGTTTTCGGGAAGGCGCATTGGCATTGGAAAAGTTTCCCCTTGGTCTCGTTTTTGTATTGTACATATGATACCTGCTTTGTAGTAGGAAAGTGATGAATATATTTGCATGTGTAGACTTTGCAGCCCAAACTCGGCAATTATAATAGATCCCTCCCTAGTCAAATGTGGTCGATGCATATGAACATCCCCTTGTTCCGTGGGATAGTATAACTGACGTGGAAATATACGAACCGAATCGTACGATTTTAATGCGGAATGCGGGGAGACGAGATTCTTGCAATGACGCTCTAAATTCAACTATACAGCATGGCTACCCAGAGTTAGACTTCTCTATGCCTTAAAAACAGCACAGCGATCTGTGGCTGCCCCTTTTTCGAACACGTGATTTTAGTAAGTGGTGTAGAAATGTTGGAATCAGCTGCTGATATAAGCGTAATTGACCATAAACTGGTCCACCAGGTTTTTAGTTATTCGATGACTTTGACCTCTTACGCTAGCTTCAAACCTTATTCCATCGTATAATCTAGCATTCGGATTTTAATAAGAAAGTTACATCTTATATATTCAAGATTAAATAGGTTAGCTGCTTATAATATTATCAATACTGAAATATGCATGTGTTCCGGTTCATTCGTGAATGTTAGATATTCATAAATCTTCTAGTTCATTTATAAAGCTGGCCAGTTTATTCATAAATGAACTAGTTCATATGTGAATATTAGTTGGATTCACGTATAAACTAGTTTATTCATGAATCTTAGTTATATTCACGGGTAAACTAGTTCATTTATGAATTATAAATAGTTTAAAATAAGGATATATTCTACCTACTACTCTATGTCATTGCTAGCAGTATTAGCCCTAGCCCTCTTACTCTTTCTTTGCCTACTTGATCCACCCTTAATTTGCTCCCCATTTATATATTTATTATCTGAGATTATATTAAAGAATCTTTCACGAACTTTAGACGGAAAGCAGTCATCCTAACTAGGCTGCAATGGGCCAGCCGTAGAGGGGCCAGCTATAGAGGGAATATCCGATATAGTAGGTAGTAGGTAAGGTAGGAGGATTTTGGGATTTTGGGATTTTAGTGGTAGTGTTATAAATAATTAGGAAGTGAAAGAGGTTTTTTGCATGGGATTGCCTGCAAAATAAACTCTTGCTTACTTTAGTTTAGTGCATACACATTTATGAATAAACTGGATTTATGAGTAAACTAGTTTATTTGTGAATAACACTAATATTTACGAGTGAACTAGTTTATACGTGAATCTATACTAATATTTATCAATGAACCAGTTTATTTATAAATGCGCTAATATTTATAAATGAACTAGGAGATTTATGAATGTCCAACATTCACGAATGAACCGGAACACATATAACCTAACTTCCGAACCGTCTTTCGATCATCTAAGTATTGCTATCATTCTAATTATACATCATAGAAGCCCTTTCTATTCCAGAAAGTAACAAAACTCTTCAATATTCTAGCATTAAGGGGTTTGTACTGGACATTGCTGTCGGCTAATGCTCTTACGGTGTTTTGCGAGTCGTAAAAAGGGGAATACTGGCTAACTTCCCACCGTGTCAACATTCCTAGCACCTTTTCTTCAAAGAATGGTATGAGCGGCGCCAAAGGTCCGCCCGGTAGTTGTGTCTCTACTACTTGGTTAACCCAACAGCGATAATCAACTAGCCTCGACTCATATCCGGCTTGATTGAGCAATGAACAAGTCTCTTCAACAGATACCGATGTTGCAAGCTTTGGTGAAAGCAGGCTATAAGAACTGCCCAAGTTCTTCCTCGAGGCTGCAATGTGCATAGTTGCGTCAACAACATAGTCCACCGTCACATACTCTAGTCTTTGCGTGAGCATGGGGAAGGCTTTGAGCTGGATGCAGCTGACAATGAGACGGGACATGAAATCATTCGGGTTATTGGCCCCAGTCTCCGAATGCCCTAATATGAAGCCTGGACGATAGATGATGACGGGCAAACCACGATCGCGCATCCGACGCACCATTCCTTCTGCCGTCCATTGACTCTGCGCGTATCCCAAAGCGTATCGAAGACCCTGGGCGTGTGGCTGTAGAGGGTCGTCTTCGCACACAATACGTGTCCCAAGACAGAATCCTGCCGGACCCCACACATCAATACTGGACATGTAGTGAAAGGACTTCCGTCGACCAGTTGCTGCAAAGCAGAGCATATTCCGTGTTCCCACCACGTTGTCTACATAATGTCCACGATAGGGCTCACAGTAGTTCGCCTTGGCGGCGATATGGAAAATGACGCTGGCCCAGTTTGTGAGCCAGCTGTATTTTTCTGTTCCTATACCCAGATTTTTATCTGTGATATCCCCCTCGATCACCATGACCTTTTGCGGCCATTCAAAGTTGGCTGGCCATAGATCATATTGCTCCATGTTCTTTTGAATCCGCTGGGCAGCGCTAAGGGGGCCATGGCTTCTCGCTAAACATGCGATCTGTTTGATACTCGGGTTATTTACGAGGTGCTGTAAGAAAAAGGCACCAACAAACCCAGTGACGCCAGTGATAAAGACCCGGCCCTCGTTTTCCGCTTGCCAGTCGGGCACGTCTTCGATCTCGTCAACAAGATCGATGTCTTTGGCCCATGCCGCTGTATCATCCGGAACATCTGGGTTTTTGGCCCACTCTGCTGTACATTCTGGCTCGCACGCTGGAGTTTTTTCGGTTTCGAGCAATGTGAGCAAGCATGAGAGGCGAGAGTTCTCATAGAGGTCGCGCATGGTGACAAGACATCCGAAATGCTGTTTTATCAAGGCGATGAGCTTGGCAGCTTGCAGGGAGGAAGCACCGAGTGCGAAGAAATCATCTTCGTCTGTTATGTGTGAGATATTCAACATATCTTTACAGATACTCTTGATAGCCGATCTCCTATCCATGCTGCCTGCGTCACAATACACCTCTTCACATTTCGTCTGATGGCTTTCGATAGATCGTTCTATTAAAGCTTTTCGGTCCACCTTCCCGTTATGGGTCATTGGAAACTGGGTGACAGCCTCGATGGCACTGGGTAGCATGTACAACGGGAGCTTCTCTTGAACAGATTTGTATAATTCCGCACTGTTAAACTCTCTGTCATCTTCAGGGACAACGAATGCTACCAGCGAAGCGGTACCGCTGGGACTTGATGATGGCCGGCGAACAACAACAGCAAGCCTCACCAGAAGACTATCAACGAGAGTCTTCTCAATTTCCTCCAGCTCAATACGAAATCCGCCGTGCTTGATCTGATTATCGATACGTCCGACAAAATCGAGATCAATGCAACCGGGCCGCCATTCGCCTATATCACCGGTCCGATATAGACGAATAGAAGAGGAGTCCGTTCCGACATCCCCATTTCGTATCTCCAAGTCGCTCTTGCTCAACTCAATGAAACGCTTTTCATTCTCGCAAGAACGATTAAGATAGCCCGCTGTCTGTTGAGGCCCAGCGATACAGATTTCTCCCCTTCTGCCACTGCCATGAACAGGCTTCAGTTCATCATCGAGGAGATATATTTGCATCTCTCCTACAGGGTGTCCAATGCTTACTCGATCACAAGCAATGTCCTTCAGAGTCACACGAAACATTGTAGCGAGTGTTGTACATTCCGTTGGACCATAGGTGTTCCACAGCTGCTGAGGCGGACCACTCTCGAGTACGTTGCGCATTGCTTTCCTGTTCGCAATGTCACCTGCAGTGAGAACATGCGTGAGAGTTTGGAACGTGGATGGCGATGTCGACACAATGATCTCAAATAGGGCAGCAGTCATTATCAAAACTGTCACCTTCTGTTCCTCGAGGAAAGACTGCAGCGTCACGGGATCCGTAGCAATCACCTTTGGGATAGTAACAATTGTTGCGCCAGAGAGCAGTGAAACCCAAATTTCGAAAAGGCTCAGGTCAAAACCAGGATTGTTGAACTCTGCGACCCTGTCGCTGGGGAGCAATGGAGTCGCGGGCGTCTTGTTAGCCAGGTGGACGATACTATGGGCATTGATTTGGACAGGCTTGGGCTTGCCGGTCGAGCCAGACGTGAAAAGGATATGACTGCGACGGACGTCTTGGTGCAGTTCGAGGTCAAAATTATAGTCCGGGACGTTTCGTCTGCCAATGTCGCCAATATATACGCGCTCAAATTTCTTGGCGGCATATTGACCCCCTCTTTCAAGCATGGTAATCTTGACGTTTATATCCTCAAGCATGCTGGTGATGCGAAGCGGAGGAGTAGAGGGCTCGATAGGGACACAGGTACATCCTGCCAGCAACACAGCCAGCTGAGCGACAACCTGTTTTATTCCAACTCCAAGCAAGATCCCGATTGGCTCTTCGTGGGCAAGGTCAAACTGGCTAAGAGTACGGGCCAAGTGTACAGATTCAGCAAATAGCTCATGATATGTCAGACAACAAGAGCCATCTATAATAGCCAGAGCGTTAGGGTTTTGCAAACCGTTTTGATAAACTGTTCTTTCCATTGGTTGAAGAAGCAAGCGATTGTTATGAGTATAATGTAGGTTTGAAAAGAAGATGATTCCCAAAGCTGGTAGGGATAAGTTGATGTTTTAATTGAGTATATAATCAAAATCTCTTTTCATCTATGAACTCTTACGTAACGTATGGTTTTAAGAACACAGCACTTAGTTACACAAGAACAATGACACTTACATGCACAGTCACACAAGCACACCATCTTACATTGGGATACCGGGATACCAGACCTAAACTGGCTGTTAGACCCAAATATCGGGACAATGTATATGTAAAGGCTTATATTGGCAAAGATGAGGAGGCATATAGAGCTGAAATAGAGCCTATAATAAAGGATTGGCTGCTGTACTGCCGCACAATGTATCACTGTAGTGATAGTATTAATCTTACAAGGGAGATCTATTGTCTCAATAATTGTCGAGCAATTTAATTGCTGCTAGAGTGCCATGTTTTAAGATATTGTGTAGCCAATACTTCACTCGTTCTCTAATTTCCCAGATAATAACTCAAAGAAAAAGCATCACGATCACTTGTGCTCAGTTGATATTTTAGTAATAAGAGTATTTTGATTCACATCTTCTTATACTTAGTTTAGTTTAATTTAGTGGTGTCTAACGCCAAGTGAGAGAGGTCGAAGACCTCCTCTAAGCCTCCCCGGGGGAATTGGGGGAATTGGGGCATTGGGGCATGACTAGCCAGGAAAGTTACAAGTGATATACACCAAGCCTAGAAGCCAAAATCCAGCTATATAGGCGCCAAGCATGTGCCCATCCCGCCAATTTTCTCCCTCTGCTATTTGAAGGAGATATTTGTATAGTAAGTTTCGCAAAGAAAGTTTGTTGTAGCAAGAGCTAAGGTTATAAGCCTGGTGAGGGTCTAGGGTGTCGAGGTGATGTGTCACCTGTATTAAGCTCGAGTGAGCGATGTGTGGCCTGAGCCGCTTCTGGTACTCAGGCACCTCGTAGTAATACCTATAGAATTTAAACGAAATTAGAAATACGGTCACTAGATATAATACATTATCGTTACATGATAATTTTTATTGGTCTCCTGGTTGTCCCTACTTTAAACGACAGAATTCAAGTAAAGAACATCCTTGTACACCCGGTGTTGGACACAGAACTCTGCGCGGCTTTCCCCCTGAGATCTAGACACTCATGTTGTGCCTAGTGCAATTTCATGATGCTGTACAACTCATTATTGGTGGCAATGTGGGTATCAATACCCGCTCATTGCTTTTACTTACATACCATTTTAGTTCACGCCTGTATAACATGCCTTCAGGACTGTAATTCATTATATCCATCAAGAATTCGCAAACAACAGTGCATTAATTCACACTCCACAGCTCTAACTTTTGCTGGGGCTTCCAAAATGCGTGTTATTTTTACCCTTGGACTAGGTTGCCTTCTTCTAGGCAGCCAAATGTTAGCTTTACGCAAAGCGTACAATTCGGGTTTCCAATTACACCTTGGAAATAGTATCACTTCCACCAGTATGCATACCTCTTTCGTCTATTATCTTTGGTTACCGACTGATCTCAGTTTAGACACCATGGGCAGTAATGCTGACATGGAATCCGCTATCAAGAAGGCGACCAAATTTGTCTCCAAATTGACTCTTGCCGAGAAAGCTGGTATGGTTACTGGAGCTGTCACTAGTGGAGGTTGTACCGGTAACATAGCTCCAATCGAACGCATTGGATTTCCCGGTCTATGTGTTTCGGACGGTCCTGCTGCTGTTAACCCTGCGGATCTCGTCAGCATTTTCCCCGCTGGGGTGACTACCGCTGCGAGTTGGGATCGAGATCTTATATATAAACGTGCATTTGCTCTCGGTTCTGAATTCAGAGGAAAAGGCACGAATATTGCTCTTGCGTAAGACTCGTCGTATAATATTATGCAACAATTCTAACAATTGATAGGCCAGTTGGTGCTGCACTTGGCCGACATCCTCTCGGCGGTACGAACTGGGAGGGGTTTGGCCCCGATCCCTATCTCAGTGGCACATCAATGGCTCTGACCATCAAAGGAATGCAGAGCGCCGGAGTCCAAACTAGTTCCAAACATTTCATCGGCAGCGAGCAAGAAACACACAGATATGACATATCGTCTAACATCGATGATCGGACACTTCATGAGCTTTACCTGTGGCCATTCGCTGAAGCCGTAAAAGCTGGAACTGCATCAATCTTGTGCAGCTATAACCGCATCAACCAAACCCACAGCTGTGAAAACTCAGAACTCCTGAATCATATCTTGAAAGAAGAATTGGGTTTCCAGGGGTATGTAATGTCTGACTTCTTTGCTACGAATTCAGGGGTAAAGTCCATTCACGCCGGTCTTGATCTGAATGTTCCAGGCGTTATTAACGCTGGCGCAACAAAGTCATATTTTGGAGACCACGTTATAAAAGCTGTAAACAACGGCAGTGTATCACTAGCCCGTGTAGACGATATGGTGCGCCGAATCATGACTCCATACTTTCTTCTAGGCCAAGACCAAGGATATCCAACAACCGATTTATCAGTGGGCTGCTTACAATCCTGCGGCACACGTTTTGAGCCGGGCTGTATTAACAACCAGACTTGCAACATTCCTGCTCGTGATGTCCGCAGTGACCACGCATCCCTGATACGTAAACTGGGCGCAGCTGGCACTGTTATGCTCAAAAATACCAACTCCGCGCTTCCTCTTCGAGCACCAAAAACCATTGGTGTGTTTGGGAATGATGCTGCTGATCTAACCGATGGTCTGGCATTCGTGCAACCCCTTCCCGAGGAAGGGTTCGATATTGGAACCCTGGATATTGGCGGAGGACCTGGCTCAGGTCGACACACATATGTCGTATCTCCTCTAGAAGCCATCAAAGTTCGAGCCCGGAAAATTGCTGCGAAAGTCCAGTATGTCACCAACAATGCTGTGCTTTCCTCCAACGACTTCCATGGCATCTACCCCGTACCGGAAGTTTGTCTTGTATTTCTGAAAACTTACGGCGCAGAAGAACAAGACCGCACGTCTTTTGAACTGTCCTGGAATTCCACAATGGTTGTCAATAATGTGGCTTCGCATTGCCCAAACACCGTCGTGGTTACACATTCCGGAGGCGTGAACACCATGCCTTGGGCGACGAATCCAAATGTCACAGCCATCCTAGCCGCGCACTATCCGGGACAAGAAACGGGCAACTCGATCGTGGATATCCTGTGGGGCGATGTCAACCCCTCAGCAAAACTGCCTTACACTATCCCTGCCAAAGAATCTGATTATCACATACCAATCGTCAACTCGACTTCTCCAAGTGGTGACTGGCAGTCCGACTTTACCGAAGGGTTATTTATTGATTATCGACATTTTGATGCAAATGATATTACACCTTTATTTGAATTTGGGTACGGATTGAGTTATACAACTTTTGATATTACTTCCCCGTTATCCATTACTACACTTTCAAAAAGTATAACAGCATTGCCGGATCCCTCACGAATCGTTGAACCAGGAGGGAATCCTGATCTCTGGACATATCTCCTCAGTGCCGAAACAGCAGTCTCCAACACAGGCCCTGTGGTCGGCTCCGCCGTTGTTCAACTTTACATTTCTTTTCCACGGAATACAGTCCCAAAAGATACGCCAGTTAAGGTGCTTCGCGGCTTCGATAAAGTGAGCTTAGAGGTTGGGGAAAAGAAAAGTATAAGTTTTGATTTAATGAGACGAGATGTTAGTTTTTGGGACACAGTAGCACAGGACTGGCGGCTTCCTGATGGCGAATTTGAATTAACTATTGGCTTTAGTTCGAAGGATCTGCAGATTAGTAAAACAGTAACTTTTCTTTGAAATCGTTCTAGGACTTAGACATATTTGGAAATATTTGAAAACAACTAAAGATTATTTTAAAATGTCATGATGCCATCTAACTTAGTTTTCGAAATATACTCTTCTAGTAACTAAGTCTTAGAAAATATATAATCTGGTATGTTTAATAAACATTTATTTCTTTTTAATATAGATATAAATCTTAAGATACCATAGAAACGGGTTTTGCTATGCGGGAAAATATATTCTTATTTTCAATCTCTTAGTTTTATTAGGGTGTCTGAAGACTATATTCAGGATGGTGGAGTATATTATTCTTTCATCAATGTTTCTACTCCGGGCCTTCTAAAACCCTAATTGCTTTCACTATAGTAATAACCCCTACATTCAACACGGATTTATTTCCAGCTACTAGCCTGTCATATCTGACAAGCTTTTGCGTCATCAATAGCATTTTGCCAATCTGAAAACTTCAGATATATGCTAATAATCACAGTGACCAGTCCAAGTCCAGTCAATGGTCCCACCCAAAGACCAGCTAGGCCAAGATTCAGCGGCCCAAATGTGAGTAGCAATGATAGGGGAACCGCCCAGCCATAATAAACTCCAAAATTGATTATCCCTCCAATCCTTTGCCTTCCTAATCCTCGGAGTAAACCGTTGGCAATGGCAGACATGGTATCAAACAGTTCGGCGGCCGCTACAAGTGGAATGGTTGCTAAGATCAGTTTCCGAACATCGCTATCACTAGTGAAGTTGTCTGCAATGACGTGACGTAGAGAAAGCAGCAGCACAGTATTGAATATCCCAATACCAACAAATATAGTATAATAAATGATCCAAAGTTCTCTCGCTGGTGCTACAGCACCACGCCCAATAAGGTTCCCAAAGCGAGTCGATGCGGCAATAGCGACAGGGTAGGGAATATGGTACATAATAATAGTAACCGATATCAAAACTGACTGTGCGGCGAGTGCTGCCGTGCTGATGTAGCTTGACAAAAAGGCAAGGATTTCGAAGGCGAGCCATTCTGACAATATCATTGATACACCTGGAATACTAAGCCTCAACATGTCTCCCCAATTCCAGAACGCCCCCTTTAACAAGAGCCCTGGCCAGCACTCCAGCAAGTCTCGAGCAAATGTATTGACGTATACCAGCAGAATAAGAGGCTGAAGGTTATTGGAAAGCGCAGTGGCTAAGGCTGCCCCCTTCAAACCAGCATCAAATCGAAAGACAAAGAGCCAACTCCAGAAAACATTCAAGGGTGCACAAAGAATCATAACAACAAGGGAAGCTGTAAAATTCCCCTGAGCTTGAGTAAAACGTTTGCCTGCTTCAAACAGTCCATACCCTGGAGCCCCTATCAAGTAATATCTCAGATACAAGCCGGCGAGCTCCGCCAGCTCTGGCTCAGGTACCAGCCGCTGCAGGATCCAGGGTGATGAAATCCAAATAGCACCAATGGGTATTGTTGCCACTATCATTAAGGCAGACATACGCTGCAAATGTAAACCAACTAGCTCTTTCCTGCCTCCGCCATAGGCCTGCGAGGTAAGAGTATCGAGTGACGTGGCCAATCCTTCGTAGATGCTTATACCGGTAATTTTAGCTACCATGATTGCGAGTGAAGCACCTGCTTGCTCTTTGGTGCCTAGCTTTCCAGCGATGTAAATTGTGATCAAATAGTATGAGTATTGTAACATATATGTCAGAATAAGTGGCAGGGCGCTTTTTGCGAGTAGTTTGGCTTCGACGCTCCATATTGTGGCAGGTTCTCCAAAGGTGGACTTAAGGTGTCTAAGACCTCTGTCTATGATGGCATTGTACCCATTTTGGCGATTGTTGCTGGTGGGGCGCTCAAGATCGCGGGAAGGAAATTCGTTCAGCAGAGGCGTCGTCTCGGGTTTTCTTGGAGCTTCCATGCTAATCTTCTTCTTCACCTCAGTGGCGAGGAGAAAGTTAACAAGCCGTGTAATGCAAAAAAGAGGTAATTCTGTGCTGGTCCGCAGTGTGGTATTTCCTTCCACTTAGTATAGGTATAATATTCTCAAATGTAATTAAGATCTTGGACGTGCAAAATTTGGACGAGAACCTCCCTTTTCTAAGACTACCTACGTGTAAAGGGAGAATATTTTGTGCGGAGCAACCAGGGTTATGTCATATCTATGCATCTATGATGACATTCTAATAAACAATAATATAAAAATAGTTTGAGTAACGTCGGGAAAATTTTGAAGTTGAGATGACCTTTATGAATTAGAAAATGTATTCGAAGAAATACATTACTATTCCGACTAAAATCTTTTCGGTTTGTATTAAAAGCGCCCTACATGTGCATCTGCTGAGTATTTTAGTCTTTAGTAATTCTTTCTAGGTTTTATAGCAAGTCGCTACACAGACCAGAATCTTAACATTACAGAAAACCTAGCAGAGTACAAGTATGCCAATGCTACTCAGGATAATCGTTTAGAAGGACATTTCTATTTTTCAATCAAGTGATATCAATTCGCGTTAACCTAAAACACGAATTATTTGGGCTCCTAGGTACCGTCAATTTCTAATAGTTTTATCGAGGATACAACGGAGCCTAAAATTACTCTTGTTGATATGAGTATATACGTTTTCCGGTGCGTAGTACTACATTGTCTAAGTGGACTATACTCTAAGTAGACGGTGGCAATATAGAGGCTACGCACATGTCCAACAATTGATTTGAATTGAGACAGTGGCATATCTGATCCACAAAAGGTAGCTACACCGAATGTACAAGATTCAAGTTCGTAGCTAGATAGGTAGAGTGGCGCCAAACACGCCGGGAGTACCGAGTGCAATATGCTACACAATCTATAAATTTGTATCATTTACTTTATTGCAATTTCTATACTGTCAGACAAAACTTTGTTTTGCCTCGGCGTCTCGATCCGTATAGCTTCGGGTGGACTGGCAGCCAGTAGTACATCTCCACAAGAATAAAGCTGAATCGTCTCCACAGCTGAACCGAATTCCAAATAACTGGGTAGAGTTTGAGAGGGAGGTATTTAATACAATCCATCTTCATTACACTCGAGTATTGGACATTTACGATTCTTTAATATTTCCAGTTATTATTGTCGAATTCGTGCCTCCCTCTTGGAACCTCAGTCCTATGCCATGAGTCCAATCGTATTTCCAGCGCCAAGGGAGAATCTTCTGCCCTTTCTCGCCGACCACCATCTTCCATATCTTGTTCCAGTAGTAGTCTACTGGATACTAGGTAAGTACCCCTGCTGTATCTTTCTGCCTTTGAATTTCAGACTTATTCATTTTTAGGCATCAGTTTCCATTACATCGAGAAATGGGGCTTCTTGAAACAATACAAACTTCATACCACAGCCGAGTCTCTGAAAAAAGACCGCGCTTCAAAAAGGGATGTTATCAAAATGGCACTCTTCCAGCAAGCGACACAGGTTACGCTTGGTTATTTAACAGCAGACAATAAGGAAGTCTTCTATCCGCACATATATCACATCGAAAGACTGGTTGAGAAGGTCAAGGGGGCGCAGTTATTCCTCACCGGAGCTTTTTGCAACCCGTGCAGTGGGCCATTTAGCGCGCCCTCAAAAGCCATGGCAGACTGTCCCTACCTCCACTTTCCAAATACAACCGCTACGAGCTTTAGTTTCCCGTTGGCGCAACAAACATGTTATGATCTAAGCACTACAGGATCTCTACATACGCAATGGCAATGGCTTACATCTCATCTTATTTACTGGTTCCTGATTCCAACATCCCAATTCCTCTTTGCTCTCATCCTTGCAGACACATTCCAATATTTCATGCACCGAGCAATGCACACGAGATGGCTCTACAGTTCGTGAACCTCCCAAATTTGTTGTCCTATGTTTATGATAAGAAAATAGGAAACATCCACTATTTGCACCACGAGGTCTACGTCCCCTACGCATACGGAGCATACTATAATCACCCCTTGGAATCAATACCCATTGATAGCATCGGTTATCCTCTTGGTCTCTGGCTAGCCGGCATGAATAATCGTCAAGCAACATTATTCGGCGCACTGTGGACTTTCAAGAGTGTCATTGACCATTGTGGTTATGACTTCCCGTGGAACCCGTGTAATATTATCTGTCCGGATTCTGTAATCTTTCATGACTTGCAGTAAGTTGATCCGGAAGAGAAGATTCTTGGGAGTTATATACTAATGGGCTATGTACAGTCATCAATCTTGGGGACTGAAGTACAATTTCTCGGTGTATATGGACTTTTGGGATAGGTGGTTTGGTACGAGGTGGGACGCAAGGGATTCAAGGGCAGAGGAGAAGTATAGAAAGGGGCTAGAGGCTGCCCAGAAAGCCGTAGTGAAAGACAGTCTTGCAAAGGGAGAAAAGGCTGTTTCTACTGCTCTGTCATATAGTAGAACTAAGACCCTGACGCTTAGACCCTAAGGTAGGGTCTTGCAATTGCGTGTGGGTCATGAATTTGGTCTGCTGCTGTACAGTTCCTCGGAGTCGATGTTTGGTGGCCAAAAGGGGGTGGTATGCAGCCTTGTTCTTTTTGATATAAAGAGCTCCTAGGATGCATGAGATTAGTCGATGTTTTATTACTATCAAAATTACTTGTATTTAGGAGTTTAGCAGGAATTTTAATATATCGCAGCTTGTAAGCTATAACCACTTTACAATTCCACCTAGTTGAGACAGTAATAAATATCCGGGTGTGAATTGTATTATCTTCGCTATATAAGAAAGGATAGAAATATCTTATGATATAATCCCCGAGAGGTTCATTATTTACCCCCTATTTAGACCTGAGAACGAAGAAAAAAGCGTTTTGGCGTTCTGTATATGATTTATTCTAGGGAATTTAGCAGATCAGGCTCCGGAGCCAGCCTCCGGAGCAAGATTGACAAGGGTCTGGTCTTCAGCTAGCCACTTAATTTCTCATGTGAGTTATTGCAAGTTATGGGTACACTGCACAAACAACCAGTGCATCATTGTGGAATTTCTTTTGCCGAGGGCTTGGTGGCTATAAACGGAAGGTTTGTCGAAGATCAAGTATATCCCGCAGTACTACTGGCAATTGCCACGTCGTGGGTTGAAGTTCTAATCCATTAGTAAATTAGTACAACTAGTGATTTGGGGGCTTGGTGTTTTAAAATCGAACCTGAGCGCCTCTGCTCACGAAATGATGTGTACAATAGGCATCGCACATATGCCGTTTACTGTAACACTTGTTGTACTTGTGGGATGCTCTGAACTATTCGATATAATCAGATCTAGCTTTGATTGAACTAATGAAATCGACACCCGTATTACTTTTTCCAAATGCATGAACAATTGATTGGCTGAAGATCCGAAGATTGCAATTTTCAGGATCTACTCTGAAGACACGATTTAGAGGTATTCGCCGACTGGCAGCGTCAAAGTGAACTTGATGTTCCTGGGATTCCGAGGTTTCATGTGGCTTATGCGGTACACCTTCGGGGACTTGTTACTTCATAGAAGGCATGTAAGACACTGCACACCATGAATCTGCAGGTGTAGTATTATAGTGACACGAAGGTAATACGAACCACTTTTTATCCCCGATGTGAAGTATATTCTAGGTTCACGCATCTCTCATAACAATTCAAAGAGCAACTATTACTGGATCTACCCGAATACTGCATCCGCGTAGATAGTTCCGCGGAAGTAATTCAGCTACGAAGAAGTCGTTGGCTGAACTTGACCATCCGAAACTAGAGTGGTCACGACCACTACACATGAGAATCATTTTACAGAATCGATAAACCCTGAAGATGCACACCGCGCGTCCCAGTAATATATTCCGATTTATTTTGCCGTTTGGTCAAATCACGTGAGGCTTAAATTGGAAGCGAGCAACATAGGGGCTGATTAGAATAACTTCCATGCCATTATATCTTCGAACACGTTGAACCACATTATGCCCCATCAGAACAAACAAAATAATCAAATTGTTCTATCAGTTGATCGATAATTTTGAGCAGGTAACCCGCAAGAGGATACCAAATATGGCTAAGGTTTGTTAATAATTTACCAAGTTCTGAGATGACAACGAGGCGATGTTAATTGTCAGCAAAACAGATTACTACCATCCTCTTCGACTGCGACAACACTCTGGTCTTGTCCGAACATCTGGCTTTTGAAGCATGCTCTGATCTTGTAAATGAGATTTTAGCCTCGCGAAACATCCGCGATCGCTTTACCGGTCCTCAATTGCAAGAAGATTTCGTTGGGCAGAGCTTTCAAAATATGGTTCGTGACACCTATAGTAGCCCCAATTTCCTTTTTTTTGATGCCATTTTGGAAAGAAGCAAATATTCTAACCGTTTCTAACAGATGAAATCACTAAAAACTCAATACAAGTATGAGTACCAAATCAGCGACGACGAACTGGACGACTTCGCGAGTATGGAAGACGATATAGTCATAGCTAAGCTGGGAGAGAAGTTGACGCCCTGTGCTGGTGTCGCGGTGGAACTTGAACAATTGCTCAAAGCTGGCACTTACAATCTCTCGGTCGTCTCTGGTTCTGCTCTTCGACGTATTCAAGCTTCGATAGAAAAGGTCGGCTTTGATAAATATTTCAGCCACAATGAGATCTTTAGCGCTACAAATTCTCTTCGGGAACCAACATCAAAGCCCGATCCAGCCATCTATCTTCATGCTTTGAAGGTCTTGAAGAAATCACCGGGAGAGTGTGTGGCTATTGAGGATAGCAGATCGGGTGTAATGGCTGCAAGGCGCGCTGGTATCAAAACAATTGGGTATACGGGCTGCTATAAAGAAGAAGAGCAGGCAAAGATGAAGATGCTACTAGTAGATTCTGGCAGTCTGGTCATCATGGATCATTGGAAGGACTTTCAGCATTGCTTGGCAAAGATTCAGAGTGGCGACGTTTGAGGGCCAGGTGCTTGCTGAGCCTAAAGAAGACGTTGAAATAGATAGAGAGTTTTATGATTCACTAGCTATGTTTGAATTACCACAACTAATTCTAAATGTTATTTTGGTTTTTAGAGGCAATGAAACTTAACCCTAGCGGCATTGTGACATTAGTACATCAGTACACCGATTGTCTACGCGAGGCTCCTGTTAGTGCTGGATCATTTGTTAAAAGTCATTAAGAAGCAAAAAGCTTTGCATTGATCTATCTAGGTCAAACCCATCTACATCTATTCTGCAACGCTAACTTTGATTAAAATTGCCCTGAAGGCTTTGAGAAAATTAAAATTGTCTTCTGCTGTCCCATGACGTCCAAACTACTCCACTTCCCCATCTCAACCGAGGGTCTTCGACATAACTCGTGCATATTCTTGTGCTATAGCTCCGCAAATACGCTGTCTACCACGCGCCCTGCGCGGTATACAATTTCATCGATTTCACACCGGCTGACATCCAAAGCTGGAGCCAAGAGAAAGTGATCTCCAATCCATCCGTCGGCACAGCCAGTCGCGGAGAAGAGGCAAACATCATACCCCTTCTCAAGTCCTCTCAAACGAAGTCGTTTTGCAACATTCAGCTTTGGATTCATTGGAGCTTTGGTTGACTTATCCGCCACGAATTCAATGCACCAGAAGAGACCGCGTCCTCTAACATCGCCCACATTTGGATGGTTCTCAAATCGCTTTTTCAGCAGCCGGCCGAGATAATCACCCATTGCACGAGCATTATTCACTAAATCATTTTCTTGGACAATGCGCTGGACTTCGAGGGCTGCGACGACGTTCAATGGATGGCATTGATATGTTTGGCCGTGCTGAAAAGACCCACTGCCGGCCTTCAGACCCGTGATCACATTCTCGTGGATAAGCAATGCAGATATTGTTCCATATCCAGCAGCAAGACCTTTCCCGATGGCTTGAATATCTGGTATAACATCTTCTTCTTCCCATGTGTGCAGGGTGCCAGTACGTCCTAAACCACACATGACCTCGTCAAATATGATAAGAGCCTTATGACGCTGGCAGACTTCTTTCATTGCTCGAAGATATCCAGGTACTGGAGGAACACAGCCAAGTGCCTGCATTTCAGAAGTTTAGCATGATCCTCAGTTTGTTAACAACGGGTAGACTCACAGTACCAACCATTGGTTCCACAACAAATGCACATACTGTGTCCGGCCCAAGTCTTTGAAACTCATCCTCTAATTCTTGAGCTAGACGAGCTACATAACTTTCGGAGGTTTCGCCTTCTCGGAGCTCACGGTAAGGATGGCATGGAGATACATGAGACACGTTGGTGCTAAGTGCAGACTGGAAGAGTTGTTTCCGTGGCTTGAAGTCTCCCAGAGCGAGAGTACCTAGGGTGCATCCATGCCAAGAGCCTCGCCTTGCAATAAAGTTCACTCGAGCAGAGTCTGATGAAACTTCCAGATGGTATTGCATGGCAAGTTTCATGGCAGCTTCTACTGCCTCCGAGCCTACTAGCGTGTTAGCCTTGTCAACAAGGGGTATCTTCTAGGAAAACTTACCTGATCCAACCAAGCATGCGCGAGACAATTTACCGCCCGTTGACTTGACCAAAAAATCCGCAAGCTCCAATGCTGGCAAGTTCTGAAAGTACCCTGGGTGCGCGTAGGTCAACTTGTTCAGTTGGGAAATAATTGCGTCGTTTACGCGCGCATTTCCGTGGCCAATTCCAGAAACAGCGGCACCACAACTTGAGTCGAGTACCCTTTGTCCATTCTCGAGAGTAAAGTAATGTCCAGATGCTGATACAACGATTGGAGCTGTTGTCTTATATGCAGATTGGTAGAACAGTGAATCATCTGGAACTTCGAGACCGATTGAACCCATTGTGACAAAATGAGGTGTTGAATAAAATTCAAAGACTCAAAATCTTTTCCGGTTGAGTAGATCTCGATCAGAAATGGCAAAGCTTCTGGTCAAGTCTTTTTAATGCTAGGTAGCATAACTTTACGTCACAGTAGGTTGCCATTGTGGCTACTTTTGGATATATTAGAATCAGCTCCAAGAAGCTCAGAATGCAATTCAAAGATTCCCTGCGATATCGGCTTAAATGTAGTGTCACTGTAACACAAAGACGTATATCACGAATATTGGTACTTCGTGTTTCCTGCAACCAATGACCAGGATTGGTAGTGCTACGTAGCCACCACGCAAGCCACTGACCTGCAATGGTATAGGACTCTACAGAAATACCTCAAGACATTTCTCCTAATAAAATGCATTGCGGGCGGCTGTACACTTTTTCATGTTTGACACATATATCAGAATTTCTTTTTAAACATAGCCTATATTTTATTTTGCACTATGGATAATCGTTACTAGGTGTTAATTTTATTAGAGGTGCTTGACATACGTTGCACTTAATCTTGATTTGTATCAACTATCTAGGTACCATTCTTTAGATGGATAGTACATAGTCGTACCGGCCTTGATATTAAACTTTTATACTCGTAGTAGATTATAATATATTATACTTATTAAACCTTAAATGGAGTGTTTTATGTCCACAATAGGCTTAGCGCCGTCTCTCGATTAGCCAACGCACTGAAGACCTTTCGTGGATAACCTCAAAATCCATCCTACAATCAGCGGCATCTGCGTCATATCAAGGGCTTCATTTTCCTACTTACCGTCCCTCTTTATTAGCTAGCTTTTAAGCCCCTCAAATGGGTGCGATGGCTCTTAGCTAGCGCTCTCTCTCTCTCACTAATATAGAGGCTTCTAGGAAGGATCACTAGCACATTGACCAGCTCGATCGAGAAGCACTAAGCTAGAAGCTGTGTCTGCCAAATACAAAAGTCCTACTCACTTCTTTCGTCGTCCCTCTGCTTGATGTGACTATTGTAGACATGAATATTACTTTATCTTCAGCTATTACTTTATATATATCACTTGATTAAAAAGTATAGCTTGTTAAATAAACTCGTCACAGGGCGAATGCAAAGTATGCAGAGCAAAAGCCTGAATTTAATATAAGAAGAATTAAACAAAAAGATAAGGGAAGCTTCTCCCGTATAAACTATATAAAAGGGGTTTCTTAGCTTCTTAGGGAAGCGACGCGAAGTCACGTGCGCAGGCACCACGTGCCAAGCCTTAACACCGGGTGCAACCCGTCACAAAACTTGACTTGATTTATTCTTAATATTAATCTAAGAGAAGATTATAAACTACCATTTCCCATATAAACTCTTAAATAGATGCGAAATATAATAATATGAATCACCAACCGCCCCCCACTCCCCCCCTTACCCCTTCTTCCTCACCCGAAAGCCTATAGCTAGTTAATTACTTGGTAGCAGCTGCTCAGTAGAGGCTCCCAACACCAACTAACCTATCACTACTCTATAAGCAAACCGGCTCTTAGTTTTCTAAAGCTTGAATTCTCTTTCCTCCCGTGAAAAAAAACTATTTGGCATATTAGTACCTTTAGATCATTGTTACGTGGACCAAGTGTGATGGAATAGGCCTCCAATATAGAGAAAGGAAACTTACAGTTGGAATAGCACCACTTATTGAGAATATGCCCATTGCTACCGTCATTGCCTTCCAGCCGTACTGCTCACTAATAGCGCCGGCAACAATAGGGCCAAACATGGTAGCGGCAGCCATCGAGCAATTAAATAGAGCGAAGACCTGACCGTAAGCACCTCCCGGTCCAAAGATCCCGGGCTGTTCCTCTTCCATTTTTTCGACGCATGTAGAAAGGTCGGCAGCAACAGGGGCGACAATAAGAATGTTGGTGAATCCTGGAGTTTAAAATTAGCAAAGATATAAAATGTGGAAGCTTCACGCTGGTATAGAACGATAAAAGACCATGTTTACCTGTTAAGACTAATAGACCTCCTAATAGGACCTTGTGCTGCGTATTATTTTCTTCGACAAGTCGCATCAAGAATAGTGGTATAGAAGTCAGCGCGCAGCCGAGGACTGCGATCCATCGTGGACCAAAGCGATCGGAGAGTTGACCAACGAATGGCCCTGCCAGTGCTGGGATAGCGAGGCACAGGTATATGAGACCAGCATCGAGTGAATTCCAGTGAAATGTGTTTTTGACAAACAAGGGTAGGACTCCGTCAAAAGTAGCCTGAATAGATACGTTGACGAAAATGCCATAAATGTTTGAACTGACGCGCGGGGAAAGGAGGAGAACAATAATAGTTGGGAGTTGCCTAGCTTTCGTTGCTGCAGCTGGCTTGCTATTGTGGTAACTCTTCTTGTTGGGGAGAAGCGCAGTAGTTTCGTTGTTCTCCGCCCTTATGTTATCCTCTGGTATTGCCAATAAGTCTTCACTGCCAGGCGTGTTATAGTCCGCAGGCTGGTGGGCTTCCCTGGTGGTGCGCTCATCCTGATGATCATTGCTGAAGGTAGTGTATCCAGATATGTTGTTAGCTAGCGATGATGTGAGATATTTCTCTGCATGTTTCTTCTCTATCATAAAAAGACGCATGACAATATCGACAATTATAAGCCCTAGGATCATCAGAAATACCGCCAGATAACCTGACCTGTGGTATACAATGCCACCGAACAGCGGAGCTATAATGAGCCCGAAGCTTGACATTGACATAGCTGTCCCCATCCACTGGCCAATCTTTTCACCTCCAACTGTGTCAACAAGAAGTGCAAGTCCTACAGTATAAACAATGGCTGCAGAAAAGCCTTGAAGGACTCTACTGACAACGAGGACCCATGCTGAAGTTGCGTATCCGAAGAGGAGAGTTGCTGCTCCGAGGACGAATAGACCCACAAAATAGCTAGTAGATCTGTTGGAAGTATGATCGGTAACCCAACCACAAATAGCTGAAAATTAACTAGATTAACTTTCGACCTCCTGGAAACATATAATAGGACAACTTACGAGAGCCGACAATGATAGCAAAGCCAAAGATTCCAAAGATAAACGAGGTCCACCATTGCACTATACATATTCGTTAAATCTTTCCTGATCTTCCTTTCGCTCTACATACCTTCATCTTCTGGCACTCCTGATCTTTCGTGGAGACTGAAAGGAAGAACTGGAACAACCTATAACGAGAGTTAGTATTTTCTCATTAGGATTTAGCCATACTAAATCAAGCCCCAAACAGTTATTCCAACCCGTCTTGACTTACCACAGCGTAGAGGAAGGCATCCTAAAATGAAAAGTGGGTTAGTTCAGGTAATGATAATTGGAAACATAAGTGCGTCTGAGATACTCACTGTGAAAATAGCAACGCATATTGTAGCGAGGATGTAATTGCTAGAAGAGCGAAACTCTAGTAGCCACGGTTTGCGTAGAGGCACCTGCTCTGCTCTTTCCATGTCGTCTGCCATTTCTTCGTATGATTTGATATGATGTATTCGGTTTTTGGAGTGGGAAGTAAGAATTTTAGGAAAGAATCAGATGAGCTGCAGGGCAATGGAGGTCTTCCAGCTACGTCCGTGGATAAGCTAGACGCTTTTGCATTTGCTAGTAAGGCGGATTGCACGGGGGTAATCTTCTACCGCCAATTCCTCAAGAAATGTTACCTCCCTTTTGCTTTTTCTCTTGGGGATTGGTTCATATTGCCTAAGCAAGAGTGGAAAATTGCCAGCGAACAGCATAATACGAGCACGACATATGCCGGGAACTAATTTCAAGTGATACAAGTACAAGATAAATATCTCCGGAACTCATATCATTACCAGTGTCATAAAGCCATGAATAAATTAAAGAGTCCAATAGTAAGTTGTGACGCGGACGGGTTATCGTTCTACAGAGCGTAACGAGAGACGAAGCCACACGAAATATCTAATGGTACGAAATACAAACATCCAAAAATCCCAGAAAATTGCTATGCCTTGCTACTTCAGGAAAATGCCACAAGGAGGGGTTAAAAACTACACAACTGGCCACAGCGTTGGCTTTGATAGGCAATTAAAATTACGTTGTTAAAATCAACGGAAGGAATAAATGTAAACAAAGTGGATATTACACAGTTGATCATTTGCAAGCCATTTCCAACATTTGTGCCGATCAATTTCAATGAGGAGCTGGAGGCGGGGTTACTAGTAAATGGTGCAATAATACTCGATTGCAGCTGATGTCCTGTGATACTCGAAAGCTGGATGAAGGGTACACGAAATGGTGTCAACAGGGATATCGAGTGGAGTATTTTGCTCGGTCGGACCACATGAATGCCGAAAGACAAAGGTAACGTTTCTTCCTCAATACAAGATGAGGCTTTTATGCAAAGTAGGGTTTTTTAGATCAAGGATAATCATTTGGCGTTAAAGTTGCCCAAATCGCTCTACGCTCCATCTTCTTGTCTAGCTTGGTGGGGACATAGTCCGCGCATTTTCGTGATTTTTAAAACCAATGCAAGCTTGGTTAGACAGCGTCAATCATTAGTTTTAGTAAGTGAAGAATGGTATCAAACGTAAGCAACCAGGATATTCCGTTAACAGCAGAATTATCGTCTTACTCCTTAACCTTCAATATTTCTTCACCACTTCTTTGACTCCACTCCCCCGCAGTCTAAGTTTTCCTCATTCGACCAAACATGCATCTCGAGACTTTGATACTTGCGTCCTCGGTCCTTCTCAAAGCGGTGGCTGCGAATTGGATAACGCAACAATGGGAAGTAATAGTTGTGGGTGCCGGTCCAGCTGGAATCATTGGTCTGTCCAGCTCACCATGTCAGAGCCCGTGCTGACATACGCTTGTAGTTGCCACTCGAATGGCAGAAGCAGGCCAGAACACTTTACTATTGGAAGCCGGAGGACCGTCCTATGGAATAACGGGTGGCGATCTGGACGGCCGACGACCAGCAAGTTCCACACTTCCAACCCCAATTAGCACTAGCTAAGGCTCTTCTAGTCATGGCTAAAAGGAACCAACCTCACCAGAGTTGATGTTCCCGGTCTCTTCAAATCAATCTTCGACGACGAAAATGGGCTGGTCTGCAATTTGAATAGCTATGGTGGATGTACTGTGGGAGGCAGCTCAGCTATCAATGCTGGCGGTCATTTTGAACCACCAGCAAGTGACTATGATCTATATTTCCCCCTCGGATGGAAGTCTAAAGACATGCAAAATGCCACACGGCGCCTCTATGCAAGGCAGCCATCAACAAACCTCACTTCGCGAAATGGAATAAGATACTTGCAATCTGGCTATACGGCCGCTAGGAAATGGCTTGTAGAAGGACTAGGGTTTGAAGATATTGACATTAATGGCAAAGCTGATAAAAAGACGGAAGTATTTGGGCATCCTGTTTTTGACTATGCAGATGGACAACGAGGAGGGCCAACAATAACTTATCTACCAGCGGCTTTAGAAAGGTCCAATCTCCAACTGCAGACAGGTGTAAAGGTGATAAGAGTTGAAAGAAAAGGAAGTCAGGTCACGGGAGTAGCAGCATTAATCAACGGTGTGATGGAGTTCATCCCAATCTCCCCAAAAGGCCGGGTCATCCTTAGCAGCGGCGCGTTTCAGAGTCCAAGCCTCCTCATGTTCTCCGGAATTGGGAACCCAAGAGTTCTCTCGCGACTCCAATTAGCTGGCAAACTATCACCAACACTGCGGTCTTCTCAGTGGATCAAACTGAATGCTGTTGGAAGGGGATTATTTGATAATCCACACGTGACGATTGCATTAGAGGGACCAGACATAGAAGATTATACCTACTCATACGAATCCCCATCGCCAATCGATAAAGTTTTGTATCTGCAGAACCGCAGTGGCCCTTATACGTTTGCTAGCGTGACGACTGTGTTCTGGGATACGCTCACACGTCCCGATGGCAGCGTTGCGGGGCTTCAGGGAACGATTGACTCCTCTGGCCCTCCACGGCAATACCTGTTCAGCGAAGATCTCACCCCAAAACAGTACCCAATGATGGGACAGAAGCTCATCAACAACGCTGTCGGCAACCGACATACCGTCGGCATGAATATACATGGAACATCCGGCATGAAGTCCACCGGCAACGTCGTGCTCGGAAAAGACTTCAGTTGCGGCCCCGACTCCAACGTATATTATTCCAATCCCAAAGACGCAGAGGACATAGCATCATTCATCCATAAAATATTTCGTGGTCTTTCCTCGTCTGGTCTCACACCCGTCAATATTCCCCAAAATGCGACACAACCGGAAATTCAGACATACATCACAACACCATCATATTATACCTCGGGAACGTCAAATCAGTGGTCTAGCAGTTGCAGGATTGGGTCATGTGTGGATGTGAATACAACTGTGGTTGGGATGGAAAATCTTCATGTCGTTGATTCAGCAATCATTATGCCGTTGTCTGTACCACCCCAGTTCGGGATTATGGTTGCGGCTGAGAGGGCGAGTGATTTGATTTTAGGGATGATCGAAGAGAGAAAATGAGTTGTTGTAGTCGTGATAGGGTGGTCGATTGGCTTTCCACTTTGTCGAGATCAGCTTATTCCAACAGGGAACACGTGTATACCTAAATGCTATGTTATATTACCGCACCTAGGATTTGCCTGCGGAACTTTTCATTTCTTATCAAGTTACCTGCCCTTGAAGTCAGCAGGATTAATAGATGATCATCGTGACAAATTTATCAGTCGAAACCTCTGCACTATGAAGTTGCGGGATGATTTAGGAATTGGAGGTTTGTATTTATCTCGAAAACGCGTTGCGGTGAGTTCAAGAAGAGCCCATGATAATTCAAGATTTCAGTGGCAAGACTGCAGAGCACTTTTGTTCTCTGAAGGTTGTATAAGAACTCCGATGTCTATAGTAAGCGAAATTCTTGCATAATATATGATTAGTCTTCCCCTAGCTAAGTCAGTCATACTGCCGCCAGCTATCGAGCTTGTTTTTGTGTTCACACTTGAGGAAGAATTAACATGAAATGCATCTTTTTATTCCCATGGAAGTCAAGGAATTACACAACTGCAGATTCACAGTCTTAGTTACACAACTTCCAGCTCAAAGCCCTCAAAATCCACAACAAGTGCCTCCTCTCTCCCTTCACACGCGTCGGGTCTCGCTGCAGAAACTCCAACCCACACTTCTTCCTCCTCTCCACCACAAAGCGCCCATGAAATCTCTCTAATAGGCACTGTCTTCTCCGCATCAACTACATAGATCCACAAAGCCCCGTTCTCGCTTCTAGCTTCTAGTGTGACCTTATTCCCTCTCAATCCTGTTTGCACCAAACTCATATCTGCCCCTCGATCCGTCACAACCGTACTGACGAAAAGTTGATCTTGGAAGAACTCGATACCGCTTTTGATCCATCTTTTCGTGTGCGGGAAAACAAAGACCAGGCCACCTTGATCGTATTCGGTGGTCCAGCTTGCAGAGACGGTGACTCGGGCGCGGCGGAATGATGACAGGGGGATCAATTTATACAGGATAGGAGCGTTGAAACGGTTGGCTTCAACGGGCACAGGCGTGCGCCAAATGTCTGTTGACGGGTTGGCGGTGAGTTGGAACGATGTGGATGTGAGGGATGGTGGAGCTGCGTTGCTATTTGTGATCTTGAAGGGGAGTTGAGTAGTCATGGTGTAGGAAACGTTTCGTCTTTTTTTATGGAGAAATGAAGAATGGGTTCTGCAAAGGGAAGGAAGAAATTTATACCAAATCTCTATACTAATGTTACACAAGTCTGGCTTACTGTTGCGTGATCCAACGCGTGACACTCGTTTAAGTTCCAACCTTCAGCTAGGCTATAGGTAGTTTATAAGACATTTATAGTTCTGAATTCATTATAATCCCTGCTATCTTCGGGTCCCTTCTTTATTTATTATCTAGCGTGGCAGCCCAGCCAGTCATCATTGCAGTCCCTGGTTACACAGCTTGATGTGAATCCGAGAATATGGATTACTCTTAAGCCGGTAATCTATTTATATGCTAGACTAATAATCAAGTCCTGCAGTCTATAATTGGTGTCACGCTCTTCCCGACTTGTATAATTAAATAAATAAAAAAGAACCTAAAATGACTAAGACTATATTAATCTACGTATATCAGGTACTTTGAGAAAGCAGGGTTGGTTGTTTGTTAGTATACTTTGTAGTAACGGCAGTATGCGGAAAAGAAATCCTCTGCTTTATGTTCGTCCAGAATATGGATTGTTTATTCATTAATGCAAAGTAAATAAGTTAGGAGTTGTAGTCTTTAGCATAAAAGGTACCTAGTTAAGTAGAGGCGTGGCGTTAGCGGACGGGGACGGGTGCGCTACGGCAAGTGGGTCTTATTACTAAAAACACCCCAAAATCTATAAAGTCTCTTCCCCCCCCTCATCCACCCAATTGTGAGTATAATATTGATTGAACAAGTTCTAATCCCAATTTTAAATTCGCTGCGCTTACTATCCCAGTCAAAACCTCATTATTATCCCGCATACTTGCTTTTGGAACAAAAATATCATCTTAATCATCCCACTTCCCCGCAAGAGCAATAGCACTAAACCTCAAATCCCCCCCTCCACTCGCCTTCTCCATTTCAATGACCCTCCCCAGCCCCAACGCCAAACCCCGCTCACTCAACACATCTTCATCGTCAGCAAGCATACCACGAAATAGCGGCCCTTTCCGACTGCCCTCCAACTCCCACAGTTTCCCATCATCGCCTTTGACGAAAGTGACGAAATGCTGGCCTAGTTTATCACCAGCCTAATCCGATTATCAGTAATATTCTTCCCCCCTTCTTTCCTCCCACAGAAAAAATACACGCGAAAAAATAGAAAAGGAGAAGAAAGAGAAGAAAGGAAACTTACTTCCGCACTTGGCGCAGCCGTATCTCCCATCTCAGCTACACTCTGATGCGCCGTCTCGAAATCCAGATCATCGTATAGCATCTGTGCCCTCTCCGCGACGCCCAATGGGAGTGCCTGTTCCCTGAGCTTCTCAAGCGTACTTCCTTTCTCGATATACTTTCTCGCAGGGCCGTTGATCGCACAATGTAGGAGGCCAATACTGCCGCATGCGTGGCCGATGGTTTGCTTGAACCACACTATGCCGCCCCATTGCTCGTCTTCGCCTGTATTATAGTCTGATGTAAAGATTGATTCGGATATGGAAGGGGGGGATGAAAGTGCAGGGTAGGTAGAGTCTTCGGCGACGCGGTTGGCGTGCCAGGCTGGGGTGAGCGGGAGGATTACTAGCAGAGCGTGGACGGGGCGCGGAATGAGGGCCAGGAGGGTGGGGTCGGTCAGGGAGTAAATGTCGTGAAATTGGAGGGAGGGAGAGAGGCCGAGTTTGAAGCCTAGGGCGTTCATTACTTCGGGGTTGTTTTCTAGGGGTATTTGTTAGTTGGGTTAAGAATCAACGTGGGGATAAGGAGGAGGGGATATGTACCGAGGACCGTGAAGGTCTTTTGGCCGTTTATAACTTGGACTGGGATGGGCATGTTGGCGGTTGTAGACTTAATGTTGTGGTGTGGTTCTGGAAAGGAAGGAGGGGTATTGAAGTGAGGTGGTTAAATATATAAAGTACGCAGCCTTGTCTGCGAGGCTGAAATGCGGGGCAAGGCAGGCAGCAAAGGAGTATGAATACATGCTCACGTGGGCTAAACAGCTTGATCATTTTCATAAATTCTTCGTTTATTGATTGTACCAAGAAAGGCTCCCTTTATCAAGCTCTATTGTTCCCTGCAGGCTTGCCAGTGTGCTCTTTGCGGCCACGTCAAAATCCTTTCCTTGCCCATTTACTCCCCCAAAACACCAAAACCAAGCATAAGAAATTTCCCATTAATCGTCAACCAAGTCCCACTCACCCATACTTTCATCATCTGCTCCATCCCAATCACTCGTATCAGTCAGCTCAGACTTCTCCTTCGTATCCTCGTCTTTCTCTGGCTCTCCTATTACCCCTTCTCGTTCCTCCCAATTAGGTAGACAAGTCCACTCCTTGTCTGACAGACACAGCAAAGTATCAGTCGTAGTTGCCCAATCCATCTCGCCCCGGTTGAGCATGGTCTGGCAAACACTCTGGATATGACCTCTAGCCTGGTCGAAAATTTTTACCAAACTAAACTTCTCGAAGGCCTCTTTATCATTCTCAGACTCTGACAGTATTGATATGACCCCTGAATGGTGCGGAGCGTTTTCAGTGGCAGCATTGAACCAGCCTATGTGTCTTTCTAACGTAGAAGTCCTGATGTTTTGGATGTCATGCTGTTCACAGATCCATTCACTTCTTCCTATGAACGGATTGTTTCCACGGAACCTTTCCCAGTTGGAGGAATTGACTGCAAATACTGGAATGTTTGACAATGTTTGCCAGAAGAAACGCGTCATGGTACGCTCTTGTATGGAAAAAGAGTCGTAGATGGTCTTGAAATTCGCAAGATAGGGCCTGACATCATATTGCAATCGTCGATGGTAGTTCGCGGTCGATACTTGTGTATCTGAGAGACTATTGTAAAGACAGTGGATGATTGCGCCACGAATGTAAGTAGTTAAAGCCTTCTCTAAGCCTTCGATAACGTCAGCCATGGACTGCAACAATCTCCTTTCTACCACCGTCGAGACGCGATCTTTGAATTGGTTAATCTTTTCCCATTCAGGAAGGCCTCTCAACCATTTCATATCAGGATTAGACAGCTCTTGCCATGTGTCTTCAACCCGACTGTGCAATTGCTCTCCTGCCTGCTTGATACGGTCCTGATACGTATCATTCAGGTTTTCGCGGGTTCGGAGCATTCGCGTTTCTTCGATATCGAGGAGACCTCTTGGAACTTCTGCAAATCCGGAGGAGGAGGATATTCGTAATGCCTCTTCAGATACAAGAATTCCAAATGCGGCACGAGTAATGATCGTGTTTTGGAGTCCAAAGCCCATTTTTAGGCTAGCTTCCGGCAAGACTTCGAAGAATAATTCATTCTTGGGGGCTAGCATCCATGCGAAAATTCGATCAGTCTTCCTTAATCAGCAAATGTTTTATAAGAGATGACTGCAAGTTAGATGGATTGGGAAAGCTTACAACATAGGAGGTGCACTCAAAATATTTTGCAACAGCACACAAGGTCCAGATTTTGGGAGCCGAATCCAACCATGTTGGTTCTCTACCCTCGATGATTTGCAGCAAATGCTCAATCCCAATGCGATATCTGACCGGACAATACTCCAACACTTCGTCAAGCGTTAATGTATCCACGACGCATTGATCGGTATCAACATCTTGGGTGAAGGGCATGTCTTCTTGGGCACTAATTTTCAGTGCCTGGAGCATATCGGCATGAAATGTAAAATCGTCATCGGTGATTTGTACATCATGCATTTCTGCATACTGTCTTTTTGCATGTTGATTTTCTGTAGAAGGCTCTACCGGCTTGCGTGATAACCGAGACCGCACTTCCTTTTTGGGAGGTATTGCTGGCTCTTCTGAACCGGTGGCAGCTATTGCATCTCGACCACCGACGATATTAGATGGGACGTCATTGAGGTCTTGACTACTGAACCAAGAACGGATTCCCCTCGAGCATCTTAATTCGGAAATCAGCTGCTCTGACACGTGCCTAGACAATTCCGCGTCTTCTAGGTTCATAGGGGCTACAAGACGCAAGTCAAGTATGAAATCAATGCCTTTGGGAAGACCATCAGGGTAGTAAAGTTCGCGAGCAGCTCGTTGAAAGTCGACAGAAAATATCTTCTCGAATTTATTAGATCCAGTTGAGATGAGCCTTCTGGAATGGACGCGAAGTTCCTTGTTGAGACTGAAGCCTGTTGGATCGAGGGGTTTGTAGTCCTCGGGGTGTATGATCACAAGAGTATCTCCGCTGTCCAACGAACTTTTGCCATATTCGAGAGCGCGTTCAACGCGATCAGCGAAGGCCATGGCGTTTGGACTGTTTGTTGCAGGCATCTGGTAGACCCGGAGTCGAGTAAGGCTGCAGCGTCTGGAATGCGAAACACACACAACAGAATGAAATCGGCTTTTGTTGAAGGTTCTTCGAGAGAGAAAGAATTCAAAGCTTCAAGCCGTGTTAAAGAGACACGTTGTAAGACTCATGAGGCTCTCGGTGATTGTTCATGTCGACCTTCTTCCAGGCAACAACATGCCTCCTCCTGATAGCCTCACGGTCATTTCACGTGACTGTGACCAACGTAACACAAAACAATGTTTGAGAGTTTCAAAGGCCGTATAGCATTTTTTCTGTCTCTAAATTTCATATTTGTGAGTTCTGTAGGTCGGACGCAAGGGTTTGTGGTGAGACCAGCTTGCTTGTCCGTCACGTGCAGTGACATTCCGCTCCCCTTTTTCATCGGTTCTGGTACAGACATAGCGAAAGTGAAGATTAATTTAATTCAGGCCACTCTTTAGCCATAGCTTCATTCCGTTCCGCGTAGGGTTTCGTATTTAATTCAATAATATAATGTTTAATCTGCAAGTAGTAGTAGGTGTTTGAGCTCCACTCCGTTTGATTGGTCGGCTTTAAACATTTTGAATTTAATCTTAATTCTATACTTACTTAAGACTTTGGGAATTTCATGTAAGCCAGTGGAAACTAAAGAATAGATGAAAACTTACTCCATTATGCCTTTATCTGCCAGCTTTCGTATGCTCCGGTTTTATTGTGAGTCTGAGGTTTATAAATCTTCCAGTTCCTCTCTACAATATAGCAGAGATATCTCAGAGGTACGATTGTGCTATACTAGCTCGACCCTGTTTTCCGATGGCGAGAAGGCCTATGCTAAGCTTCCATGCAATGAGAAATGTCAGCTTATCGCTTGGGTCTTTCGAAAGAAGGTTGCTTTCCAGAAGTCTGCTGTGTGTGTGAGAGAAATTTCACTTGACGGTAAGGGCAATGCATTTGGTCGTAACGGCGATGCATTTGGCGTTTCTAGAGAGCTTCTCAACGGTAAAATACCGTCCGACATTCTCAGTATGGTTCAAAATATCATACTTTGTGGACTGTAGATTACTGACATATCCTTCAGACAATATGCTTCAGGCTCGTCAAATTGCTATCCAAAAACTTCTTGATATTCCGTACCAGCGAATCGATCGATACCACAATAGTGCTAGCCCAGTACGTAGTGATGACTGCACGACACTCACCTACAGCGAGCTCATTCGAAAGCTTGAGAAGATTCACCTGTTTCCTAAAAGGGACAGTGTACAAGTGCTCAGCAGCGTGGATGAACTTGCAGAGCAGATCCAATGGACTGATAAGCACTTCCTTACTGAGGATTCATATAACAATCATATATTCTGCGGTGTATATGACTTAACACATTCGGCCATTGAAGCTGTGAAGGGAATATATTTTCCGGCACTAGACTAGTATTGTACGTATATATGCAAGGATACTTCGTATGGAAGAATAATTCATAGTGAGAGGAGATATTGCTTGATGTGGGAGAAGAGAATGAGGAGCGGAGGCATGTATCAAGAGGCACTTTCAGAAGAAATAGTAACTAGCACAATTCTGTAGCCAAAGAAATAAGCCTAATAAAGTTGAGGGAATTTCGCGAATTTTAAAGGGTGCATATAAGCGAGGTCCGCATGTGATAGGGAATACAAGTAGTAGGAGTATCTTTATATATATATTTTCTTTTATATTATAAATTCTCCAACAGTATTCTTCCCCTCACCCAGAAGTGAGTGTTAGATCCTATAGACTAGATCGATCTTCCCTCATCAACCTCTGAATCTCTAAAAATCTCCTAATCGTCATGCCTTCCATCAGAAAATTCCCAGCATTTGAAAAGCTTCCTGTTCGAGCCAAGTAAAACATCCAAAATGCAGCTTCCTCCTTGCCCCGTGCAGCGGCCGTGCCTACCAGGATAACCCACAACAGGACTCCAGGATATCGTACCCAGAAGTCATCTTCGGTGCATTTTCCAAATGCTCCCTGAAGCTTTCTGAACCCCTCATTGTTGAGAAATGACGAGAAGTCGATGTTCAGGCCAGTGAGGCTGCGTGAGTAAATAGATGCAGCACCTTGCAAGGTTTCTAAGACGTGGTCGTGGGAGATATTGTGGCAGGATGAGAGAATTGGAAGCGTGAGAAGTGGTGTTTTGAAGCTGTGTCTCCGCTCTTCGACAAAAGGAACAGGTGGCTCAGAAGTGTGATCTACGTGAAATTGGGCTTCATGCCGAGACTCAAAACTTCGTGTGAGATTCCACATTGATTTCAAACACGCCGTTATGGCGCGTTGCTTTTTGTGGTACTCAATACCATCAAAGCTTCCAGTAGCAGAAAGGGGCGATTCATAGATGAGAAGGCGATAGTTTGTTGATGGACTTATTGGCCGAGACACAAAATATTCTACCATAGGGAAGCGAAGAGGTTCCCCTGTTAGGACAGCGACCATCGAGTCGAAACTTCGCAATTGTTATATGTGTGGTTAGTCACTCTTTGTCATCCTTAGTGGAACCGGAAGGTAGACCTACAGGGTAAGCTTCGCTATCATTGGTCCATCTGTTTGAAAGGACCGGAATCCCCCTCGCAGGTCTACGATCTTTTCGATAGCATTCATATGACTGCTTATTTCTTTAGGATTGTTGTAACCAGCCTGTTGAATACTCAGCACAAAACCTGAACTGACATGAGATACAATGTTTCATGATATGGACAGTTCGAAGTGTATAGAATAGCACTTAGCATGCAGCTTGCATGATAATTGGTGCAGGGGCAGTCGGCTTCTAGATTTGCCCTTTTATAGAGGAGTGTCTGCTTGTATTTCGCGAAACATCATTGGGACTCTACGGGTGTGTTTGGGATGGAAAGGACATGGCTTTGCTGCATGCATGGTGAGGATGCTCTTCAAATGAACTAAGATCTTACCGTCCACTGAGTGAAAGTCATGATAGCTCCAAGCGTTGCATTACTGACGGCTCTCGTAGAGTCTTTTAATTGTTCCTGGATCCAATTTATTGTCTCCACTCGGAACTGGAAATATTCAGAGCTTCGTCCGATCCATGCTAATACTGTAGCATCTAAAACAGCGCCTTTCACCATTGTGTAGTCCGGGCTCCGCATGTAGGGCATCCAGTGGGACTGGCGTGGAGTTAAGCTTATGCCATGGCTCTTGCGATCGGATGACGTTACGCGGAAGAGAGACTGGAAGTTCCAATGGGATCTATTAACAAATAGAACAGGACCGTCCTTCTCAAACCATGCGTATGGGACTACTATACAATACAATCACTACGAGTAAAACACTATAGCAACAAGGAAGTATCTTACAATCTGTCTTGAACTGAACTTCCGTCAGAGGAGACGGCGTGCAAGGACTCTCAGCGAAAGAAGTAGCAGCGATAGGACTAGCCTGACTCGGGCAGATTTGTAGCAGCCTCTTTTGTGGGCCTTTCTTCGTGCGTGACTTTTTTGATTCTCGCCGCTTTTGATGCAGCCCTTTCCTACGAAGAACAAGTTAGCTCTGCTTCTTTATAAAGGTTTAAGGGTCTATCAGTATCTCAGGAGCTGGGAGACATGATTTAGCGCACGTGCTAAAAAAATTGTCGTGCACAATTCAAGACATGTGTTGAAGAAGGAAATATAATCCCTATGGTCGTACATCACATGTGATCTGACAGTGCTGAGGCTTGAGACTGTTCCTCCCGGCCCCATAGGTACAAATAGGAGAAACGGCATGCTTGGTTCCTCTGGTCTGCCATCTTCTTCATGTGGTAATTGAGGTGACTGGCACATTTCTACAATGTGGCCAGCTTAATCATCGAAGTGTATATGAGGCGCTGGTGATGACCGTGTGTTGAGATACCTGTCCCTGTACACTAGTAATCAACTAGCTTCGGGGTAACTTCCTAATGTGGTTAGCAATCCATGAGGTTAGTATATTCATGTACAGGGTGTTGTCACCAGATCTGCAACTTAAAGATCATATAACTTAATAGGCTTATATGGACACCGGGTCTCGGAAACAATCTTATTCTAGTATATAAACTCTTTTTCGGTGGTTTGATCTCCAAATAAGGCATAAATGATCATATTCCAGGATCCATCTAGCCAATCAAGACCTTATTAGCTATGTTATAATCCTTGAAATGCAGATTTGGTGACAACGCCCTATAAGGTTCAGTATAGGTACTGTACAGACCAGTATTTTCCCTGGCTATTGGCCGAGTTGCATGCTCCATTGAAGTACTTATTTGGGTGCAGAGCGCAAAGATATGTAGATATGTAATATAGTGGGGTTGTTAGAAGGAATGCGGGGTTGTATTACCCCTGCCAGCTGGCGATCACTAGATTAGGCTAGGTAGGCTAAGGTAGCTATAGCAAGTATAGTATGTGATGACAAAACAAGTAGGAACTTTATTTCATCAGCAAGGTCATTTGGAGAAAAAGCCAATTCTGGATGACTTATTCGTTGGTGACCCGTTAAGTACTTCGAAGAAAGATGCTGCCACGGAATTATAATAAGTTTGGCATTATCACCCACTAAGTTCTAGTGGAAAAGCAAAAAGGAGAATACGATCTGCCGTTAATTATACTAGAGTTGAAGTTAGCTCGGGGGTCGCGTCGATGAGACCTAAAGTTTCATTTATATTAGAATTTGTTCTTCGCACAAGATAGAAGCAAGAATAATAAGAAGATTAGTATCATAATTACAGATCTATTTATTAAATGAACATTCTCAGATTTTAATAGATCGAGCATCCAACTCCTCTTCTACCCCTTTGCTTGGTCACCTCGGTACCCTTGAAAACACATTTCTCGTCCATCCATCTTTCATAACAGTAGGCTCCCTTACCAATCTATACCCCCCAATCTTTGGTAATATTATCGCCCATACAAGCCAATACAGTCCTCCACCAGCTAATATTGCAATCCCTACAACGCAGTGTAGATAGTAAGGCAGCGACTTGTAGACATTTTGGCCGTGAGTAGGTGGAACGAAGGGTGCGGCGACGAGATAGATATTAGAAAGTAAGAAGAAGATGACTACTGGGAGAGTCGCGCGGAATGGCGGCGCCCACTCGCTTGGATTGCGATTGGGTGAGTATGGACGGCGATAAAGATGTATGAGTGCACCAGCAACAAAGACATTCACTACAGCTAGGGGATAGGAAATGACGCTGAAGTGAAATAATTAGTGAGCTGTTTAGCGACGAAGAAAGAAGAACTGACTTGAGGATGAAATTGTACGCATCTCCAGGTGGAGGCGCGAGCATAATGACGACCGATACAACCCAATGCTCGAAGAGTCCCATGAATGGAGCATTAAAGGGCTTATTACTAGCCCAAATTCTCGAGAATGGAAGGATACCTTCGCGGCCAAATTCTTGTACCACTATTAAAAACAATATATTAGAATAGTTCTTCCTTATTTGATGTCGAGTTGAGTTCGTAACTTACGTCGGCCCTGAGAAAATATCACACTCAATACGTTTCCAAAGGCAGAAAGAGCAACAAAGACGGAGAGAACTCGCTCTGCGCGGGCTCCAAACATGTTACGGAAGAATGAAGCTGCCAGGATGCGACCAGAGCTGATGATTTCGTCTTTGGGGACTGCCGCAAAATATGCAACCTATAAAAAGTCAGTTAGCAGTTTGATCCGCCGAGGAGTCTTTAAACTTACATTGCATAGCATATAGAGAATGGACACCAGGCCAAGTGCTAATGGCGCCGCAATCTTGAGTGTCCTGACGGGGTTTTTGGTCTCAGAAAGGGCATAGTTCGCGTTGCTGTATCCGATATAACTCCATATCACGTTGTAAAGTGCGGTGACGACTCCATATCTGTGATAATGTTAGTGATTAGCCATCATAATAGGACTCTGAAGAATGTACGCGCTGCCAGTTGTTCCAGCGAATGCATTGGTGAAATTATCTGGCTTTTTGTCTAGCTTGGTGTGGCCACCAAGAGCTACCTAGAAAGTGGTAGTTGAATTAGTATCCTGTAATTTAGAATTTTTTAACTTGAGAAGTGGTTAAGCTTACAAATCCCGAGAAAACGATTAATAATAGGATAAGCAGTTTGATTATTCCCAAGAAATTTTGCAGCCTTAAACCCCAGTTTAAAGCCAATCCATGAATCAAGAAAGCACTCGTAATGCAAGCTAGCCCCACACCTCGCTGATTCCATCTGGTGATTTCCACTTGGGCAGCACTAAGGATATACTCCCCAAAAACGACCGAATTCGACCCAGCCCAACCGAGAAGTACAACATAGCCTGCGTAGAAACCTGTGGCAAGAAATTTGGGCTTGCGGTAAACATACTCGAGATAGTTCTTCTCGCCACCGTTTCGTGGAAGCCCAGTACCGAATTCCATGTATGTGGCAAGACCGGCGGCTGCAATTAACATTCCTGCAACCCAAATGAATAACGCCAATCCTACAGATCCGGATAGCGATAGAATCGCACTTGGAGTTGCAAAGATTCCTGTCCCAACCATTCGGTTGAAAATGAGGAATATGGCGGATGTGAGCCCGACTTGGCGACGAGAATTCGTAGTTTGATATTCGGTATCATCTAAATTATATTAACACTTCTCTGCTGGAAAACAAAATTAGCTGGTTTTGAGTGTACCTGGAGCGATGCCATCTGCTCCAATTGCAGAGGTTTTGTTTTCGGGGCCATGGTTGGAAGTTACGTCACTTCTAGCAACTGTTGTCTCCCTCGAAGTCGCCATGACATAGAATAGGACTGGTATAAGAACAATCCACAGCAGTACAACAGATGTTCAAATAGTACTAGAAGTTCAAGATGTGAAAGAATAGGCATGATTTACTTATTCTTATATAGCAGAAAGAAAGCAAAAACTCGCTCCCGCTCCCTGTTCATCTAAACCGCGGGTAAGCCGCCATCACACCATTGTTAACAGATGGACCATAAGACACCATACCCAACTGCTCATTTAAGACTTTTAAATACGGCATCACCGTGCACCAAGAAGATTTTTCTTCACGTGCACCAGTGAGAATTCGTTACGCCGTTGCTGCTACGTAATAAGTTCGCTTTATACGGACCGGTCCGAATGTCGCAACTACAACCTGGTATGTCGTCAAAACTTCAAAAGAAAATCTACCAGCATGATGAATATAATATTTCGCAGATGCAAGAGGAAGGCAATTACTTGAGAATAATTGTTCCAGCCCACGGCTCTGCTCAAGCACCGGGGCGTTAATAACAGCCGTGCCAGCTGATGCATCTATATCTGACTAGGTGTTGGAATATTGGATTAGTCAGCAGGCACACAAAATCTGACTTCGTAGCGTACTTTATACTTCGCGATATACAATACTGACACGTTACAACACACATAAGTCTAACAGTAGGAGTAAAAAAGGGATTATCTAAGTGGGAGTAAAAGAAGGCTGCGAGGGAAGGTTCTAGCTCTATTTAGTCACTTTAGAGAGGTAGAGGAAGTACGATTGCGCCCTATAGAGAGAGAGAGAGAGAGGAGATAATTATGCCCTATAGTCAGAAGGTATTAAATATATAGGAAAGAATGACGCCAAAGGTCTCATATAAGGTAATATCTAGGAGCTCTATTTCCCTTGGACGTGCGATATTCGAAAAGCGTTAAAAGATCAAGCTAGGGCGAGAAACACTGCCTGTATCAGATATCTACAAAGTTTGACAAGAATACTTTGATTTAGATAATGTCCCTCTCGCAGCCCAGATAAAATGAATAACCCAAAAAGGTATACGATAAAGGTTCTATCTCAAGAAGGGTAGCATATGAAACTAAATCTTAAACAATCTACAAGTGTGCTCTGTTAACTCTCGCAGCCGACAAATTAAACAAGCCCAAAGGTATATAACAAAGAAATCTACTTAAAAAAGAGTACCATATGAAACCAATGTTAAACAATCTGCAGACGTGTCTTATAACCCTTATCTCGTCAAACGCTGTCTGGAAATGATCTAGAAGGATACCAATTTGCTCTTGACAACGATAGTCTTCGCCAATGTTTCAATTGAGCCACTGGAAAGCAACTCAAGAACTTGAAGATTGGCCTCGAATTCTCGTGTGATGAAGTTTCGGACCTCAATGGCGACCAAGGAGTCAAGGGCGTAATTCGCGAGTGACTTCGTGACATCCATATCTTCCTCCTCAAGCATCAAAACCGAGGGTAGCTTGCTCAATAGACCCTTGCACACAACCTCCTGACCTTCTTCGGCTGTTTTCGAAGCCTTGAGAGCGGCGTGGAAAGAGATGGCAGCGGCCTGCCCAGTCGAATTCTCTGCAGCTGCAGCCTCAGCAGCGAGACGAAGGTGTTTGAATTTTGCGTCGGGAGTCCAGAACGGGGTGGAAGACGTAATCCGCATACCAGTAATAGTGTGATGATTACAAGCAGTCGCCAAGCGACCACTGATGGCTGCTCCAATCAATGCCAGCACTTCAGCTTCACAGATAGTATCGCTTCCAAGATTCTTAGCAACCTCCGCAGCCGCTTCGAGATTTTCTGCAAGATAACCGGCGTCGGAAACAGCGGTCAAGTCGATCGACGAGGCAGGAAGGCCGAGCTCAACGCGATATTGAACGAAAGCATTCAAGAACGTGTTGGCTGCAGCATATGCAGCCTGACCTCTGTTTCCTACGGCACCAGCAGCGGAGGATATGGTGACAAAGAAGTCAAGAGAGTCATTCTTGAGCGCATTGTGGAAATTCCAAGCTCCTCGAACCTTCGACTCCATAACAGTGGTATATTGACCGAATGTCATTTTCTCAAACAAAACGTCCTGCATGTGTTAGCTAAAAATTTCGAAAGAATTTTGGGAGCCTTACATCAAGGACCATGGCACCGTGAACCAAACCTCTGACAGGTGGAAGGCCAACTAGCTCATTATTGATGAGGTTGTCTACAGAGCTGCTGTTAGTAACATCGCAGCGTCGGACCACAATATTGGCGCCAACTGTTGCGAGCTCATCAATAAGTTCTTTGACTTTGCCAGTTGCAGACCCGCTTCTGGAAACAAGAACAATGTTCCTGGCGCCTTTTTCAACCATCCACCTCGCCATACTTCGTCCCAGTCCGCCAGTTCCACCAATTAAGATGTACGTGGCATCTGAGCGAAGCAGCATATTCAACTTGGTCGAAAGAGTTGCCTTGGACAATGTTAGTTGACATAAATTCGGTGAGGCAGAAGGGGAGCACAAGCATACTTTAACCTCATCCCCAGGTTGTGGGGCCACAACTAATTTTCCCAGTGATGTTCCGCTTTGCAATACTTTGAATGCTGTCTCAACGTCCGAGATCGGAAAGACTGTAATTGAGGCAGCAGGGTTGAGTTGTCCGTTTTGAAGGAGCCCATATACATTTGAAACAACGCGCTCCAATACTTTGGGCCTTTCTGCAGCGACAGACATCAAGTCAACAGAGATAAAACTTGTGTTGTTGTCGAATCGATTGGTTTCAAGTCTTGCGCTAGCATCCCTTTTTCCAACAACAACGAAGCGTCCGAAGCTACTCAAAGAACCCCAAAGTTCTCTCAAAGTGTCGTTGTCTGTAGCGACCGAATTTACTACAACATCGACGCCTCGTTTGTTGGTTGCTTGGCGGATGACTGGCCCAAAAGAAGCACCACGGCTAGAGAAAATGTGATCATCAGGGAGACCGTAAGTGCTTGAAACGAGTTCCTTTTCCTCAATACTTCCAACAGCAGCAAATACTTCAGCCCCGACTATTTGAGCCAGAGAAATGGCGGCCAGGCCAGCCGGGTCGGCAGCGCCGTGGATCAAAACGCTTTCATCGCTACCAAGTCGCCCAAGATCGATCAAACCGTAATATGCGGTGTAATATGCCACTGGGATCGATGCGGCCGCCGCGAACGACAGGTCATCGCTAATCTTCAGCGCAAATGCTGCCTTGGTACGAGTGTAGGTTGAGTAGACGCCGCGGGCGACAGTGACGCTTGCGACTCGATCGCCAATTGCGAGATTGGTTACTCGGTTTCCGATCTGCGTGATAATACCACTGGACTCAACACCAAAACCATCCGTTTCCAGTTGGTTGGTTGCAGCCAAGATATCTCGGGAGTTCATACCAATTGCCTTGACCTCGACCTCAATCTCATCGTCGGCAAGAGGTGCCTCCAGTGTTTGATCATCGACAAAATGTAAAGTGTCAAGGGCTCCGGGCGTCCCGATAACCATCTTCAGCGGCCTTTCCGCCTGAGAAAACCGGGTGGCTTCAAGGACTGATGCATTAGTGTGTTTGTGAACATACTCGTTCATTTCGGCGTCGTTGATTATTCTCGGTGTGAAAAATGAACCTTGTCTTTCCATGAATTCCAACTCGCCGTTCGTCTCTGCTTTAGAACCAAACGCAGCTTTGAAGACATCGAGAATCGCCTTCACTGTAAGCTCATCGGAAAGTGGAGTCTTGGAATCCAAATCCAATGTTGCAAACTTAAGGAGCGTCTCGGAGCGAATGCTTCTACTCAACCCTGCGACCATATTTGCATCGGGGTTCACAGATGCTGCATATGCTCCTCTAACGATCCAAAGTACCCCCTGGACGGTCGTCAATGTCTTCTGCAGGGCGAGGAAGTCGCTTTCCGAGAGATTCGAGAGCAGAGGCTTGTCTAGCTCTGAAATGAATAGACATAGTTTGTCACTGGAATCGGTCTCCGCGAGAGTGCCAGCAACAGGTCTCCTCCCGGTGGAAAGCTCCAAAATATCTGCCAATTTCGCTGCTAGCAGCTTTTGAGAGTCTGATTCTCCATGGACAATCACAATTTTGGTTTCGGGGAAGGCAGCTGGTTCATCTGCATTCGCAGATGAATCGCTTGAAATCCCGTTGGAGGGTCCGTTGGAGATTCTTCCATTGGGTTCTGGGATTGCAGACCCATTAACTTTCTCAGAAACCCCATTGGTTTCCTCCTTGCTGTCTTCGCCCGAGAGTTTCGGTTCTTTCACCACGCCATTGGAAGTTCCGTTCACATGGTTCCCGTTCGACGTACCGTTCGAGAGCTCAGGGGAAGAGTTGTTCGATGATTCATCCGACACTGGTTGAAGAATCGGTTCCCAATCAAGCTTATAGCAGAGCTCCCTGTAGGCGTCAGCTTCTGACGCTAAGCCTCGCTCTAGGATCGGTGAAATCGTCAAATCATCTAGCGTAATGAGTGCCTCCGCAGAATCATCACCAGCGGTAGCAAACATTGATACCTGTGTTGGCTTTGGGTGTAACAGGGGGGCAGCGCCTTTGCAGAAAGCGCGGAGGGTATTCCCTGGCCTTTCGAAAAGCTCAGTGATATCTCGCGAGATACTCAAACGGCCAATGGAAGAAGGAAGATAAACGGTGTTGACGGACGTTCGACCTGCGCCTAGAATGGGCCAGTACATCTCAATCAGTTGTTCAAGAAACGCCGGGTGAATAACCACGCCTGTTTGAAACCCCTGTGGCATTTCCTGGGCCGTATCTGCAACTGTCATTTGTGCCGTAGAACAACTGTCATTTGCTTTGCAATTTTCCACCTGGAAAGTAGGCCCATAAGAAACGCCGAGCTCTGAAAGAGACTCGTACATCACCTTCTTGTCTACAGAGGTGGTTTCTGCGCTGTTGACTTCCAATATGGTTGAGCGCAGCAACTTTTCGGAATCTTGGGCGATTCTAGCACCGTCGAATTCCTCAGACTTGTTGCTTTTCACGGCGACAAGACCTTTGCAGTGTTCCGTCCAACCTTGGCCCTCGGCCCAAGAATGAATTCGAAATTCGTCCCAAACCTCAGATGAGACAAGGGTACCCTCCTGGAACGGACGAAGTTGAATTGTTGTTTCAACATCTTTATCGGTGATCATGAGTGGTGCGTGAACGGAAACGTCACGGAGAACGAACTTGTCGAAATCAGTACCATTAGAAGCGGCTCTTTGAGATGCAGCTTCTACAGCTATTGCGATGAAACCAGACATTGGGAAGAGTGTCAAGCCTTGAATCTGGTGATGTCGGAGCCATGGGAGGTCGTCAACGCGAATTGTGTTTCTCCATGTTGGTTCCAAGTCATTAGAGTAAACTGCAAGTGACCCGAGAATATCATTCCGTGGTGTAGACCTATTTCTTTGCTTCTGGGTCATCCGAGATTCATGCCAGTATTTAGTGTTGTGATTCCAAGGGTACCGAGGAAGATCAACCAATAGCGTGGGCGGCTTTCTTGGCCTTGGGAAATTGACCGCACCAAGGTCCAGCTTCGCTCCTTTAACAAAGAGAGTGCCTGCCATGTTCACAGCTGTCTCAACGGCATCTTTGTTTCTCAACAGAGCTGATACATAGGGTATCTTCATTGCATTAGGCCCACATGTCTTTAGAATCTGTTTCACAGGTCCTGCGAGTGCTGTTGAAAGCGTTAGTGCAGGCTTATATTGGACTTGTCTAAGAGTAGAGATCCGAGCTCTCGAGACATGCCAAGAACTCGCAAATTAGGGACAAATTGACTTACCAGAGTGTGGACCAAGTTCAACAAGCATGTTGACACCAGTTTTGTGACCATCGGCAGGGGCACACATAGCTGTTAACGCCTCGGAGAATCGCACAGATTGTGTCAGGTTATCAACCCAGTAGGAAGGTTGGAGTTTGGCACCGTCAACAAGATGCCCAAGCAGGGCAGAGTAGAACTTGACGTTTGTAGATTTAGGCGGAACGAGTGTTTGAAGCGACTCTTGGTATTCCTCGGCGATCAACTTCATGTGATGAGAATGATAAGCTACGTCGACTTGGAGCTTCCTGTTGAAGACCTGTTTCTGCTCAATCTTTGTTTGAAGTTCCTCAATTGCCGACACGTCGCCGGATAATGTCAAACTAGATGGACTGTTGAAACAAGCAATTCTGACTTCTTTCGTCTTCAATTCTGAGATGAGAGGTAAAATTTCCTCTTTGCTGCCCCCAACAGCCATCATCGTTCCCTTGAGGTCGGGAAACTTCTTCTTCAGGCTCACAATGGACATACCTCGCTGGTAGGAAATTGCCATGCATGAATCAAGCGGCAAAATACCGGCAGCGTATGCGGCAGCGATCTCTCCACTCGAGTGGCCAGCAACTGCAGTAGGAGACACACCCCATGATTGTAGCAGATCGGTCAATGCAATCTGAATAGCTGTGCATGCAGGTTGACTGACATGAGCCTCATTGACGGCTGATGTTTTGGCGTCCTTGTTGAGTTCATCTATGGGTGTGTATTAGTACTCGAGCTTCTCCGCGACTTTTTGCTAACTTGCCTATAACAGAAAACGTCGCCCCAAATGAAGCAAGGCATTTGTCGCAGGCATCCATGGAAGCTGCAAAGACAGGATATTGTGCGTATAGCTCACGGCCCATGGCATTCCATTGAGCTCCTTGACCAGTGAATATGAAGCCAATCCTAGTCTCGGTTTCTCTGGAAGGGGAGATCTTTCCACTGTTCAGCGTTTCGATGAGCTCGAAAGATGTTGGAGATGATATGGCAACTCGCCACTGCATGAATGACCGTCGTTGTCCAAGGGTATATGCGACATTTGCCATTAGGTCGCTTTGGAATATTTCTGGTCTCTGCTCCAAATAAATGCCCATGTTTTTCATCATAGCTTCCAAAGCAGTCTTGTCGTTGGCTGAGAGAACAAACAACCTTCTAGACTGAAAATCAAGAGGATCAACAACCTCCGCCTCATTCTTTTTCGAGAAAGGTGCCCGTTCTAGGACGGCGTGGGCATTTGTGCCACCAAATCTACAGAAGTGGAATGTCAGCATTTTATAATTCTCTATTAATATAATAGAAATAGAGCCATAGATGGATCTTACCCAAAATTATTTACGCTTGCAAAGCGCTTTGCTCTCGGCCATGGGGCCTGGCTGACAGGTACCTATGCCTCATTAGTCTCATACGGAAACTTCAGAGGGAAGTAGCTCAACCATACCTTTAAGCCCCACTTAGAAAAGGGAATTTTCTCGTTCGGTTTCTTGAAATCGTAGTTCGGCAATATGAAACCGCGCTCTAGCATCATTGCAGTCTTGATTACCGATACGATACCTTGTTTCAAATCGTCAGTAAGCGCCCCAAAAGGGCATCAGGGTATATGTTTACCAGAAGCAGCCTCTAAATGGCCAATATTAGACTTCAAGGAACCTAGGAATAACGGTTTCCTAGCTGTCCGGTCTTCACCAAATACGTTATGCAACGCAGTGGCCTCGATAGGATCCCCAACTTTCGTCCCCGTTCCGTGCTACAGATTATTAGATTTAGCGATGCTGTTTTATGGATTGAAATTCCGGGGGTAGTCTTTAGGTCTTAAACCCCGCAAATCTGGTATAAAAGGGATCTGAAAGGATCCGGGGCAATGCTTACTGCTTCGATATATCCAGTGTCCTTTGGATTGATCCCAGCTGTTCTATAGACAGCTCGAATAAGGGACTCTGTATTTTAGGTTAGACCCGATCATGTGACATGGGTGAGATATTCACCTTGTGCTTCGCCACTTGGCATAGTGATACCAGGAGTTTTGCCATCTTGGTTGATACCACTACCGGCTATGACAGCTCTGATTGTGTCGTTGTCCTTTAGCGCTTGGTCTAAAGGCTTCAACACTACCATGCCACAACCTTCCCCACGACCGTATCCTGTCCCGCGGTTATCAAAGGAGAACGACCTTCCCTCTTCGGCGAAAAGGCTGAGACCGTTAGTGAAATAATATGACTGATTGAGTGTAGATCTTACCGTGACATTGACATCGAGATCCACATTTCGGGTAGCATATTCAGATGGCATCCACCGACCAGTGCTACTTTGGACTCGCCGTTCCGTATACTTTGGCAAGCCTGATGTATGGCAACTAAACTGGAAGAACAAGCCGTATCCATCGTAAAACTTGGACCCCGCAAGTCAAAGTAATGGGAAATTCTATTCGCTTGCATTGCCATGGAGCAGCCTTATATTATTAGAATCGAGCATCACGATATTTTGTATATCAGTTGACTTACCGCTAGCTTGATACATAGGAATAGACTCCGAGTCTGCGAATAACTGTGCCTCGTATTCAGAGATCGAGCTGCCTATGAATACTCCCACCTCTTTCCCTACTATTTCGTGTTTCGGAATGCCTGCGCTATCAAGGGCCTCAAAAGTGCATTCCAGTAGTATGCGGGCTTGGGGGTCCATTGAGATCGCCTCTTGAGCCGTGAGACTGAAGAACGGGGCATCGAATAATCCTAGATCTTCCTTGAGAAAATTGCCGCCGATAGTGTTTTGGCAACCGCTCTTTCCAGGGTTTGGATGGAAAAAACTTTTGTTGTCAAACCTCTCCTTAGGAATCTCTGACCACCCAGTCCGAGATCGGGAACACAACTCCCAGAATTCATCGGGAGTAGTGACATTTCCAGGCAGGCGGCATGACATGCCTACAATGGCGATAGGCATCTGCTGCGGTGTGTCTGACTGGGCGAACCCGCTGATGTAGCCTGTTGTGTAGCCGTGGGTATAACCAGTTGTGTAAAGGGTCGGATCTTCGCGTTGTCCATTAGACGGACCATTTCCATTCGATTGACCGTTCGTAGCACTGTTTACATAACCGTTGTTATGAGTATCTGGAGTAACCCCAACAGAACCGTTGGTGCCCTCGTCCACCGGGAGCGTGGTTGTCGCGGAAGGTGACATGATAATTGATGTCACTCAACTTCTATGCAGTCTAGGTGTATCGATTCAAATTTCAAGCCATCTTGTGGGTGGCAGGATTGTTGCTTATATATAGTTCATACGCCTAGATAAAAAAATCCGCTGTGTAGATGGATACTAATTTCCGTCGCTGCTTCACAAAACTTCAGATAGGGCCGATGGGCCGCGTCCGGGATGTTATTTGCAGCAAAGGAACGGTGATACTATCTTGATTCGAGCTCGAGATTAAAGCAGCATGCATTGCAAGCAGTAGAGCTAATTGAAGACCATGTATATATTAAAATTGTTCGGGGATAGACATAATGATACATAGGTATTGTTAGTAAACGACCTTCCGGCCAAGGGATGATATCTTCCATGCCATCGGATAAACGGAGTGATTGACCAAATAGTAGAATTTCCATGAGTAAGAGGGTCCTTCGACCATGAGTTGACGCGTACGCCAGAGAATGGCAAGACGAGGCCTTCAACAGCATTCCAAACCAGAATAATTGCATTCCTATCTGAAGCCGTCCCAAGCTTTTGCCGATAAGGGGTATTTCCGGTAGATTGCCAAGCATATCCTTCGCTGCAAGTGCCGGAGGCTCTGGGAGCCCTGGGGGAGAGTATGCACTAATGTGTTACAAAAAAGGAAGCTTAATCGGAAGTACAATAGGCCCCTGTATCTTGATCGCCGCGAAAGAATGCCAGTAGAAACAGCCAATATCGAATTAGCAAATTGGGAAAGAGAAATAGATTGCAGATACATTTTTCAGGGACATACAGGTTTGAGAACTGCTCGTTTTGTGGTACATAGGTAGTACATGGTATGGAGGAAGAAGTAGTAGTTGCAAGGCTAGTTTAGGATGGGTTGGGATGAAGGAATGGATATTCGGAGAAAATACCCGCCGCTTGTCCCTGTTCACTTGAAAGGTTGGTTTAGCTGGCTGGCTGGCTGTCTGGCTGGCATGGCGGGCTAGCATGGCATGCGATGCGATGCGATGCAATGCAGGTGCAATGCAATGTAGTGAGTGTCAAATCGCAGAATACACCTTGATCTGCTTGATCCGTATGCTTGATAAGACTGATAGACGCGTGGCGCCAAGGAGATTTGATGAGATGCAGAAGGAAGGGAAGGGGAAGAAGGAAGATATGGGAAGGAGCAAAAGTCGCGAGAGACACGTTGCGGGAGAATCCGGGAAAACGTTACTCCAGCAGGTTCGATCTCACGTGCAAATCTTCTTCGGGACATCACTTCGTCTCCACCCACCCTCAACCCCCCCCC